GAGATCCAAGGACTCATCATCCTCATACGCCGAGGGCGGATCATAGTCGACGACGGGTGGCCCGTAAGTGGATCCGCGCCGTGGCCTGCCTTGGTCCCGCGTCCTGGAGGCCGACCGTTCCTGGCGGTCGGGCGGACCATACTCGGACATGGCGGCAAAATACGGGGACGGTTGGCCGTAGGGAGATGGAGCATAGGCTGGCGTATTGGTGTAGGCGGACGAGGATGGGGGGGGACCATGTTCATAGCGACCCATATGGCTGGGAGGATACATAACTCCACCACCCATCCCGGGAATCATACCATGAAAGCTCACCGGTCGGTTGTTGTTCGTATGATAGGTGTACGAGCGACCGTTGCGAGGCCGGTTGCTGTGCGAGACATGGACATCTTGGACGGCGGAAGGAGCATACCGCGGACCTTGTGGCGAGGGAGGGGGGTAGTCGTGGGCGGACGACGTGGTGGATGGTGACATATAATAGGGGTAGTCGATGGCTCGCGGTTCAACGGGGGTCGAGCCATGATACAAGCCTTGATCACACTCCCAACAGGTGCCAGGGAAGTGCCGCATCTGGGAATTTTCCCGTCTGCGGGACCGCGATGGCGACCGCTGCATGGAGGCGTGATGATGGCTCACAGCAGGAAAGGTGCCAACTTGCATTTTCTCGTCCCAAGAAGGGCGAGTAGGTCGTTCTTTTGGACGGTCTTTGCGGTGGGAGCGAACACGTTCGAGGTCGGCCCTCTTGGGCGTCGTGTCAATTTTAAGAGGGACAGGGTCTTTCCGGCCCGACGGGCCAGATTGGGTGCTGTTTACGGTGGCGGCAGTGCGACTAGAGTAGCCAGAATCGCTTGCAATATCAACTAGGGCTTCACCAGCTGATCTCAGGTCCAGTTTCGAACGTTTAGCAGCGAGGTTGGCGACTTGACGGGTGTCCGGGACGATAACATGAGCGTCTTCGTCGTATTCCTCACAAAAAGCAGCATGAGGAACTTTTCCAGTCATGACTCCTGGACGGCCAAGGCCCAGGTTGGGACCCTAAAGGGGGGTGAGGGGGGGGGACGGGGGGCTGGTTTGGGAAAGGTGCAGTGTGGATGACGTGAAACGTGGTGATCCAACAGGGCTTCGCTTGTAGATTAGGTACAGCAGCCACCAGTGCTGCTGCTCATCCGAATGACTCAATAATATTTTTAGTCCCTTCCCACCTCTGCTTTTTTTTTTTTTTTCCTTGTTGGGTGCCTGTTCAGTCGCTTCTTTTTTTTTCACTTTCTCCCTATCGTTTTTCTCGGACCCTCTCTTCCCTGCGATACTTCTCCCTCCCCGGTTAGATCACTCTACCGGTAACCCACTCTCTCTGTGATAGTGTCAGAGATGGAGCAGAGCCTGCAGATCAATCAAGTAATAGTTCGATGGCGGCGCGTCTAGATTGCTGTATGTCAACGATGAGCCGTGGGTGCAATGTGGCAGTCGTCCTTCGCATGCAATGTATCCATCGAAAAAAAACGACAGGGAAAAAAAGAAAACCACTAAAAAGCGTCGGCTGTAAGCTAATTTGGCAGGAACACTGTGTGTGGTGGAAAAGGCGGCGGTCGGTTGGAGAGAGTGGATGAAGACGGCGTGCGTGGGTCAAAGAATGGAAAAAGAGAGGAAGAGCGAAGAGGAGTCAAGAGGAGAAAAGCGCGCTGCAGCGTCGCTCTGGCAGACGGTGAGTGGAGGAGTAAGAGGCGAGAAGTGGACGGGGCTGCAGTACGTAAATGCAGAAGAGGGAAGAAGTGTCACCAGCGAGAGTCTGGTTGGTGAGGGATGAGAGACAATGAATGATGAATGGAGGAGTGATTCTGCGCCTGACGAAGGGCAGGACAAGGTGGGGTTAATAGTGGGGATTGGGAGATAAAAGAAACAGACAAACCAGGCCGGAAGGAAAATTTAAAATCTGGAAGCAGAGAACACAAAATATTTGGGACTAGTAGGAAAAGAAAACAACTCAGAGAGATGACCCAATCCAGATACAGTATTGGATTCAGAATCAATCAATCAATCAATGAAGAACAACAACACTACAATGGAACCCACGAACGGACTGATAGGAATGAAAGCAATAAGTAGAGGAAGAAAAAGAGTGGGCGATCGACACATGAAAAGGGACGAAAGGCGATGGTTTTAAGTTCGGGGGTCGTGACCACCGGAAGAAATTGTAAAGAAATTCAAAATTAAAATGACAGAAGATGGCGATTCAACACCAGGTTTCTTCCTGGATCGGAATCTCTCAGAGGGAAATTATGATCATTACGAATTTTGCCTTCTTGGTGGTCTTTTTTTTTGTAGAACGATTATTTTTCTGTTTATCTTGTTTTTCTTCGTTCGATTTTGATTTGAATTTCTATTTCATTTTATTGATCTGTCAAAGATTGAGAAAAGCGATCAATCAATCCACAATTCATATAACAACAATTATAATAATAATAATAGATCAAGATTATTATCTGTAGGGTGAGACTTTCTAATGAACTGTTGAGCAAATGGAAAAAGAAAGCAAGTCGGAACGGAAAGTGGAGGAAGTGGGGACACACTCCAAATCCACTGGTGCGATTGATGCCTGATCATCTTTTTTGCTGATATTTAATACCCGTTCTGATGGGCGAAGTAGACATACATACCCGTGACCGGTATGTATGTATGTATGTACATCGGAGTAGGTACCTTGACCGGTGGCATGGAAGAGTACTAGTAGTACTAGTATATCAACAGGTCCCAGATTGTTCCAGCAAAAGTCAAATCAAGTCAAGATTCATCCTTACTTTTATGTCAAATTTTCTTCTTTCCAACGCCACTTCAACAATACCAACAGCCGTACAGACGGCCTGCAGCTGCGTCCCATTGACGTATTAAAACCGTCGGATTTGAACACAGCAGGAGACCGGGATGTTATGTATCATCTAATAATAACACAGTGGTTTTAAAATTTGACAGATATGGGCCAACTACAATTTCCTTTCTTTTCTTGTTGGTTTTCGGATTCGAATCTTTTTGTTGTTGTCAGGCCCAGCCCGCTATACTATCACTCCGACGAGGAACCGTGGTTCTCAACGGACCCAATCCATGGAAGTGGGACAAAGATAACCGTCTTTGAACTGAAGTATATACCGACAACTAGTGTCACCTTCAGGTACCTCATGTTATTCTTCCCACCCCTCTCATTTGGAATTCGTTTTCCTATAACCACTTCAACCGACTATGGAACACACGGCTAAACCTATTGCCACCGTGATTTCTACGATTATCTATGTTACTATGTAGAACCTCACTTCAGCCGGTACGATAATTTCACTCCGCAGTCGCTGCCCAAACCCTCGGAAGCTGCAGAAGGTAGCGGCCCAATCACAATGTATCGCCTCCACTGAGGCATATTTTGGAGAGAAGAAAAATGTTATTAATTAAACAAAAAAAATTTTTTCCTGTTGTATCCGGAGTATTGTCACCGCAAAATGTCGCAACTGGAGGGGCAGGACCTGCAGAGTCAGCAGTAGGTTTTCTCACTCTCCATCATCCTGCATTTGTCCCATAGCCTTGATTGGCATTCAACCCCCACTTAGTATTTTTATTTTTTAATGATATACACTCAATATCCCATTTCCTTCCAACCATCTACCCGTCAGGCCGTCAGTGGAGCGTTCGGTGTATTAACGGCATGGAAGCACGCTAGAAAATCATCCTCGACAATGTCGATCCGAGTGCACGACTGCTTGATCTATGTTTCAAAACTCGACAAATAGCCGTTTGCCTCGGACAACTCTCACCCGATACTCCTCTTGTCCCTGCCACTCATCCAAGAGTTCTCTACAAGGGATGCTGGAAACGGACTCGGGGCACACGACCACAGCATCGTATTTGACAATGACGTCTGACTGTGAGCGGTTCAAATAATAAGTCTTTTGGGCACTAACGGGATTCACTTGTCACATTCTATCACATTCATGGGCTTGGGCTGGAAACCTTCGAATACCAATCGTTATTCTAAAGGGTCGACTTGATAATGAGTCATCTGACTAGAAGTAAGGGATGGGTGTAGTTTTACAATCAACTACAAGAGTCTCATGCAGCCAGTGGCTTAGTTTCCTGTCCGCATGGGATTTGCTGTCACGATTAAATGGAACCCATCGCAGTACATTAACAATGACAGGCTAAGATGCGCATTTCAAATCAGCCGACTATCCTGGCTCATTTCCCAGCTGAGGCTGAGTGGATCTAACCTTATCCCAAGCTTTGCGTCATGCTGTCTCCTTGAAAGCCGTGTCCTTACCGATTGGCTCAAGAAACGCAGCGCGTCAGGATCAGGGTGCTACTTTTTCAACCAGACAGCGCTTCTGTTAAGCAACAGAACCCATCTGCGAATTGCTTTATCAGTTGCACATGCCAAGTGCCGGTTACTCATTCTCATGAGATGATGCTGCCATTGATGCCTAATGTCCGAGATAGCTGTAATGTCTGCTGTAGCTTGTTTATTATTAGCTATACGCGGGGTGCTGTTGACTGATATCATTATGCAATTGTAGTCACTCTAGGCCATCTGTAACTTCGGCACGGTGTTGGACGCGGAGCGCCGAACTCGCAGTTTCCTGGTTGAAACTTGCCATACAACCAGAGACGGAGAGATCTAGGACTAAATAGGGGGTAGTTATGTGTTAGATTGGCTGACTGATCATCATTTATGTGTTAACTAGTTACAGACCCGCCCTGACCCAGCCACTAATTTCTGACCCCCCGTAACTGTAACCCCAACTATAGTTAGTTGGGTTGGTTAGTTATACACGGGCATGACTAACTAAGCTATAGTGACTAATTCCACAAAGAGTCTGGATCACATGATAAGGCGGTAAAGTCAAGCAGAATGGTTGGCTACGGCCCATGACAATTGTAGTACGGAGGAGTATCTCTCTTATGTGCCATTTGTTATTTGTTCTATTTTTGTGTTTTTAATTCCTCTGTACATACTTCCCCTTCTCCTTTTAGCAAAATACTGCACAACCCAGTTCTCATACCACCCCAGCTGGCTTACTTATACTGGACTTAGTACTAATTAATCGGTCCTTCATCTCTAAACTTGACTAGATAATAGGTAATGTTTGGAGGGTATTTTCTCATATATATACTCTAGATCATTATAAGAGACCAAACACTTACCGAGACATCTAGTCCACAACAAAGAGGCTGCCATTCCTCACTGCCTCTACTTCTTCGAAATTTGTACGCCTCTGCCATGCCCACTCATGAATCTTGTTGAAATTCCGGCAGGTGTGGTGGGTGGCTGTGTTAAGTATAATCTTCCTATCCACAAAGATCCATTCCATTGGGGTGAGATCTGCATGACACTGGATTGCCTGTCGTAGATGGTTGATGCAGTGCCCTACACTCGTGAGCGAGATGATTTGCAAGGGAAAATGAATGTAAGTGAGTAACGAACCTATATGATCTTCACGAGATGGGTCGTCCGGATGGCTGAAGACGTCGTAGTAGGTGGGATACATTGCTTGACGAAGTCGGTTCTTGAACCTTACGTTAGCTATTTCATCCCAAGTATTATGTCATCCTCTAGCATTTCAGTACTTACAAGGCAGTGAAGTGAATGGAAGACTTCGAGTCCAGTGAAGTAACGATCAGAGTCTGGCCATTGAATTGTTCTTCCATCCAGATTGGCGTTCGAACCCTCCAAATCAATGTTTAATCCTTGGTTTATTGTATCAAGTCAGTAAGTGTATAGTATATGCTTAGCACCATGACATCTATGATTAATGGAAATAACTAACCGGATAGAAGAAGATCCCACGCGCGATCAATCTCTGGCGTTGGGCTCCCGACATATTCATGGCCTCCATGGTCTGTGAAGTAGTTTCCGTTCTCATCTAACTTGACCCCACCGTTGAAGTCATATTGTATCAACTCGATCTCGGGCTTGACGGCATCTATTTACGTCGCATTAGATTCATATTGAGCAGAACTATGCCTGTATGCCGCCCTTACCTAAGTCAGAAGCGAATCCGTTCTCATAAGACGAATGACTTGTTCGCGTATTTAAATTGCTGATCCAGTACACCGAGCCCAATCCAACCCAGAAGATATTTAGCGAAATCGATAGGGCGATGAGAAACTGTGTCGTTCCCTTATATCGATGGTCCTTGGGCCATGGATGGTTTGGTGGCTTCAGGAGACTGTCGGATTCGCATTCGCCTATTTCGTCCTTGTCTGTCATGGCGATTGCTCGAGTGAAGTTTCAGTAAGTGATAGTGTTCAAACTCAGAGTATTCGCATGTAAACCTAGTCAATTGAGTAGGGTCTCGCCCTCCCTGGTCACTGTACTCATACACATAAGCCGGCCTAGTATAACGTAATGCATGGTAGATGATTCTGGCGACTTATGTGATCGAATTAAATCACGTAATAGGGCCACTATAGGTAGTCTTAATGGACTTTTAATCGAGAGACTTATAGTTTGTCGGCTTGTGAATGTCCACAAAATCTAGATCTCCATTGTATCCGTCAAATGTCTATATTCTCATCAAAGCATCCAAGACACTCGAGCCAAACTCATGATCAACACAGTCACCAAAGGCCGATGACAGAAGATGATGATGACGAAAACGGCGAATTTCGCCAATACCTCCCAGCACCACGCCATATACCATGGACCTGGTGGTGTCTACTAAGCGCCGGACTCCTCGTGGTAGCTTCCCTTGCTATCTGGAAAGTAACAAATCCACCACCTACAAGTCTCCACGATTTGACCTTAACAGACGATAAAAAGTCGTTCCCGTCCGGGCAGTTGACCTGGTCGCAGAAGTTCACTCCATTGCCTTGTGGCAAGTCTCCAAACGAAGCACTGGCGCGAGGCTGCCACTTCGACATCGTCGCCACGGCATGGCTCCCCCCGAAGTGTATTGACTATGAATTGGTGGCCGACTTTATGGCCTCATACCCGTGGCAATACTTTCCGAGTCCGAATGGCACGGATCCGTACTCGAATGATGCTGATACGCTGGGATCTCAGACGGGGCTCATTTGGACGACCCATCGCTGGCATTACGCGCACTGTCTGTATATGTGGAAGAAGTTGAATAGAGCGTTAGTACGAGGGTGGATGACGGATGGGGAGACGATTAAGCTGGGACATACTGAACATTGCTCTACGACAATTTTGAAGATGAAAGATCCGGATGTTATTGGTACTATTGTGGAGGTTATTTACCCACCGTGTTGAAAAGAGTCAACTAACCAGTTGGGTGTTCGTCTCCACATAGCGATGCGTTGTCTAAGTCATAGTTAAGATGCTGTATATGATTAACTCCCTCATAATTGATCTTATTCAAGACTTCGTCTGCGATAGAATATCTATTAAAGGATCAACCTTGACAAAGCTCCTTGTAAAAGGCATCTGTCCGGGGTTGACGCCTCAAGAAATTGGTTATAATCTTCATCCCATCCAGGCTTCCTCCCTTCTCAAGAACAGTATATCGGTATCTCCGGCCCTTTAAACAGTTCATAGGATCGCTTTTGAACACGGTATAGAACATATCTGCAGAATAGACCTTCGAGCTATTTCACAACCTTTAGTAATCAAGTCAATGCTTGGCTTCAAAGAATGGATCTCACAATAGATAACTGTAGTACCCTGCATCATACTCCCCTAGCAAGTGTTGAAAACGTGTTTGACCATGGCCCCAGTTGTCACCCGAGGGGACGTCCATTGGTAAAATCTTAGCCAAGAGGTCATTGTATTTCGCCGAAATGTCTAATCCCTCGATTGTGTGTTGGTCATCAGGCTCGTGGACTACCATGTCAAACATAGCAAAATGCAACTGACGCAGATGGAACAGTGCACCGTTTACGTGTTTGGCACGGAGAAGACTCCCGATCATCGCGTCAGGCATTTGCTCGTGAGGCCGAGGTACCCCATCTGCTTGTTCTTTCCAGTGGTCAAAATACTCCGAGGAAAGATATGAGTAGTGCCTGCTTAGTGACCGCAGTACTGATGGAGTCCAGCACCAGTTCTCCAGCATCTGGCTAGGGGCTTCGCCAAAGTCTACTTCTGTCTCTGTACCGTGGAAATGCGAGTAAATCGTTTTCGACACAAGATCATGGATTCCATGTCCTAGTTCATGAAACAAAGTGATAACCTCGTCGTGTTTTAAAAGAGAGGGGTTTTCCGAACTAGGCTTGGAGAAGTTGCACACCAATGCTGTGGCAGGATATCGTCGTGTGCCGTTTTCTTGGATGTAGCCCTACCGGCAGTTAGCCTTAATTTATAAGAAGATGTATCGATAGTAACAGACGGGTATCAAATTGAAATTTGCTGCATTCGCATATTTACCCTCCCGAAGGTAAAGATCCATATAAAGATACCCGACGAAGCCACCATCCTCGTCGCTGTTCCAGACACGAAAGACTTGTACGTCTTCATGCCAGACAAGTGCATTTCTAGGACTAGCTGGCTTGGCTCTCCCTTCTCTGCTCAACTCACTGAAAACAAGACCAAATAAAGTTTCACAGATGCTCAGCATACCCGTGACTGTGCTTTGAAGAGGGAAATATTCTGCAATCCTCTGTTGGTGTACCGAGTACTGCGTCTCCAACATCATTCGATGATAGTATTGATGATCCCACAGAAAGTACCGGCCATCGAATGGTTCTCCCCGGGATTCAAGGTCGGCCTTCTTGAGCTGCTTAAGCTTCTGGACTTCCTTCCGTCCATCATTTCTCAATTGAGCATGTAAATTGCTAAGAAAAGAATTCACAGTCTTTGGACACTTCGCCATCTTATCTTCGATCCGCAAAGCAGCATGACTGGGATAACCAAGCAGACGAGCTGCTTCATCACGAAGCAGTATAGCCTCCCTGAACAGTGACACATTTTGTCCACATTTATTCTCGTTGGCGATATAAATGCGTCTCCTCGTCTCACTGTCCCTCGCATATCTAAGCGTTTGAAAGAAGTCTGCGTCATTAAACGTCACTTGGAACTTATCCTCATTAACCATTCCCGCTTTGCCTCTCTTTAACGTAGATAGAAATCCACCCGGTAGCCCATCCAACTCCGCAGCCGTAAACCAGATACCCGCCGCACTATTCGCCTCAGCTAAGTTTTTCTGAAACTCAGCCTTAATCCAACTAAGCCGCGACTGAATCTCCCGAAACCGATCCCTCTGGTAACCAGCCGACAACCTCAACCCATGCCGAATATAACCTATATATATCTTTTTCAACAAGCGATAGGATTCTAAATCCAGATTCTCATTTTTGTGGATGACAGCGTCAACCAGCGCAAACAAACCGTCATCCATCATCGTCTCCACATTATAGCTATCCAGCAGATTGCGGGCCTCGATAGAGGCATTACGCAGTTCGTGGTTTGCCGATACGGCTTTATAAAAAACAAGGATATGGGACTTGGAAGCCAGGGCGTTGTCAATGTGAGCAAGGGGTAGAATGACGTTGGTGAATGTTGCGGTGTTGAACTGCACGTTCCTTTTGATCAGGTTTTGGCCCTCGCGGGCACGCTCGATTAGATATTTGGCATCTTGAATGATGGAGACCGGTGTGGCCGTGAAGGTTGGAGGCTGCTGGGGTGCGCTTCGTTCTGGGGAGACCATTGCTGATGAGTCGATGGTTTCTCCTTTTTGCTCTTTACGAGGGCATTGGAATATTGGCATCGAATTGTAGGATCTCCTAGCTTATTCCAGACTAAAGAAGAGGGTTGCCGGAGATGTCTGATTTAATCTATTGTTGGCTTACTAGATAGATAAGATATATTAGATCATATTTTTACATTATTACGTGATCTAATATTAAAAGCGGTAATAAGGAACTGCAAGTAGTGGAAAGGATCGGGTGCCATAGATTTATAGTATCACTAGCCTGCAGGTCAAAATCCTATATTATCACTACATCGGGAATCTGAGATAAATTACTAATTTCCAACACCATTCGTATAAAATGGAAGCTTCTAGTACACTGCTAATACAAAGAATAGAACCCTCAAATACCCTTCGCATGTAGCCTGGCCGCATTCTTATACAATACATTTGGATCCGCGGCATCACGATCCCTTGACCATTCCTTCAATGCGTCGTAGTCGCGACAGGTGTGTACGGTTTCGAATATAGGCATGATCCAGTTCCTGTTTTCTGACCATTTAATGGGAATGAATGTCATATCTCCGGCGCACATAATGCTAAGTCGAAGGGCATCGATGCAGTGTTCTTTGCATTGTTGTTAATGGCTCATCAGCAACCAACTTGTTCTGGCAAATTAGAGTGGGTGGGGACATGAGATATCATACCAACATGAGCTTGCCAAGTTGGATCCTTCAAGTTTGAGTAATAGTCCAAATATAAAGATTGGCGTAGCATGTTCTTAAAAGATCAGGGCCAACGAAATAAGCACGACACCGATTGTGGTAGACTTACTACACAGTGAAGGTCATGGAACACAGAAACCCTTTCCATGACGCGTTAGATATCCCTTCCCTTAAATAAACCGGAATATGCCAATGGGCCGCTTACTGTGCCATGTGCAACCCGGTTTCAGGGTCAAGCCATAAGCCTCCTCCCAACTGACTTTCTTCTTGCGGTGTCACAAATACATTTATTGCTAGAAATTCCCATTAGCCTGCCTCCTATTGCATGTTCATGATGATATGATATCACCTACCCCCGAGGAGGTCCTTCCATGCGGCATCAATGTCTGGGGTCGGCTCTCCGACGTAAGCGGGCTGAGTGACAGGACGATATAATTGATGGCTCTCATTATATTTCAGCTTAGCGTCAAACTGCACCTGTTTCATAGTGGCGGGGATCTCCCTCGTCGCCGTTGCTTCGTAATGAGCAGGACTCACTCATACCGAAAAATCGACTTACCGAATTCGCTATCCCTCCACGATCCGTTCGGGACACATCTTGCAGGAGATCTGGTGATTGAGGCTCCTAGGCTGACTAACAAAACTAATGACACCAGCCATGGGGTCATCGATGCATATATCTTTCCCTGTGACTTGCAACTGCGGCAAGTTTGGGTTTCGTGCAGATCTCGATCCGGTAAATGATCTTTTATTTCCAACGTAGTCTCGGAGCTGGATTCATGCGATTGATACATTGCTCCGTGCATTATGCCGCACAATCAAAGATCTGGCGTAAAGTGAAGGTAATAAAGTGTTCAAAAGGCTTGTCTGTCTTGGTGATTACGGTTGCGGCTTACGTGGGTGTGCTGATGTGAGCTTAGTTATTACGCCATTACTCTAAAAGCCCAGCGAGAAAGGGCAAAAGGAGAAAAGGACCTCTGAAATATCCTGCAAACAATTTAGAAGTATACATGTGTCTATTCTACCAACTACAATCAAGTCTTCAAATTTCAACAAATGTTTCCTTGGTGGAGGCTGCCCTATCACAGGGTTCACACAGACGACTCAGCCACAAGCCCAAGTTCAGACGAAAGGAAAACTAGTGATATCGACAGCCTAGCAGAGGCCCAACCCGGCAATCTCCAGATATCCCTGCATCTTACGCCCTCATACCGAAACGTCGCCTATACCGTGGTATCGATTTGCATTTTCATCATCCTGATATCCCTGGGTCTATACGGTATTCTTACTCAAAAGGACAGAAAATCGATAAATGGCCTATCTCGACTCTGTGGAAACTCCTCATCGGAAGCTCTGTCTCTAGGATGCACTTTTGACCACCTAACGTGGTCTTGGTATCCGCCTAACTGCCCACACTACGCAAACGACGAGTTCATCCACGCGGAAGACTGGAAATACTACTTTGATCCACAAGGTAGGAGGGAAGCGGTCGGTATGGAGTTCTACAAGGCGTTGGATACTGGGGAAGACCTTTACACGGAGCGAAGAGAGCATACGACTCACTGCGTCTTTCTGTTTCTTAGCTTGGGACAAATCATCAGGGATGGCACGCCGTATCCGCCCATTCTCGTGAAATATGAACATGTACTGCACTGTTCGGAGATGGTTCTGAAGGCGCTCAGGCGGGATGAAAACTGGCGTAATATAGATACGCATGTAGGGAAGGTTTCTTATGATGTGATATGTTAGTAGGATACGGATTTATGCATTAAGATGGTATACTCTGTTCGGCTATGGTTTTAATGTGCTTCAGGATAGTACTTGGACTCTAATTATCACCTGAAGATGAGGGCGAATGAGATGTGAGCCATGCTCGGCACATAACGCGGATTCCTATCTACTAGGCTTAGTGCTTTTACCTTTGTTATTCGATAGGCAGGATAAGATGATGTGCCTTTGTAGATAACTCCATGTGCGTCTATATGGCCACGATGGGTGCTTTAGATCCACTGTCCACACTAACATTGGGACGGAAGCCATCAGAAAGATAGCCGGTTGAGGGGACAGTTATGGGATTTATTGAGCGACTGTACCATGAGAAGTTGCACCGGTTTCCGGCAGCTATTTCATCCAGACCCAACTAGTTGAATATTGTTGACCTGTAACGATCTTCTTAATGAACGACTTTACTGACATAAACCACCAAGAGTGATATGTGTACATTAGTAGAGAAGACTTATCACTGGAAGACAGCATGATGTAATAAAATAAATTGCCAGACAAAAGTTCGATATATTCGACCTACGTGAGCCAGAAGTGATACCTTTCATAATTACCTTGTTACAGTCATCTATTTACCTAGATAGTAGGTATTTCGCTCATCCGAGACTTACGTGAGATAGTTACGCATCCCAGTGAAATCTTCTCTTCGAAAATGCTATATAAGCGCCGCCAATTTCGACAGTATTATTTTCCAAAGCACACTGCCCAGTCTATTCTTCTTGTGGCGAACATTATTCTCAAGAAGGCCCAGTCAGTTTCATCATCATGCGTTTCACCGCAGCATTCGTCACTAGTTTGGTCGCTATCGCAAATATTGCGGCGGCCGTTCCAATAGCCAGTGCTGATGATGCGTTAGTCGTCAGGAACCCGCACGCTGATATCAGTAAGTTTTTAATCGCCCACTGAGGTAAGATGAAGAGGGGCTTATTATGAGTAGAAGAGAGGGATGCTCAGCCAGATGCTCAGGGAAACTATAGTGAGTACTATTTCTATCAGTTATCTAGCTGAAGGAGAGACTTACCGTGAATAGAGCGAGACCCTCAGCGCGACGGCCAGTGTTACAATGTCAATGCTAATACTCCTGGCCCCGCTGGCTGTGCATCGGTGCCATAAGTTCAGTACTCGATACCCAGGGAAGCTATTGTGAGTTCTATACCAATTTTCGGACTAGCAGCGATACTCATCCTCATTATAGAGTACAGTCGGGAACGAGCTCTCGACAATGTTTGAGATATGACCATAGGCTGGCTTAGAGGTACTCTGGCTTTATGAGGGATATGATATGTATGTACTGGCTCGGGATAGCTATGCAACCGCGATGTGAGGAATGGAAGACACCAATAAAATCTAGCTGACGGGCTCTGGAATTTCCATACAATTCCTCGTAGCTTCCATTGCCTAGTTTTAGTCATATACAATACTACTTAGCACGTATTGTGCTTCCCAGAATATATATATACCTCAAACCATACAGTGGGGGTTCAAAAGTATTTGACCAGCTGTAGCTATAAGTACTTATAGGTATAGGAGGTCACATACTTTTGAATCTCCATTGTTTGCCAGCTCTAATTAGAGCAAAGCTAGGTAGTCCATACATCCCTCTGCAACATGATTAGTCTATCTTATACTACACTAATCAAAAACAAACTACGGAGTAGTGCAAACCTAGATGTAGGGTTGGAGATAGTTCCACGTTTCGAGGGGTATATAATGAAAATATATCTCACACAGTTACTATGATTGACATTGCATCCTGCTTTTCCTCCAGTTCTCACGGCTCTCTGGAGTTTTTGATATAACTTTTTAGTCGAATCAACTTCTATACAGGATTTCTTTTAAAGATATCGACTGAAAATTAAACAGTACATACTTCAGGATCATTTTAAACCGCATTCTCTTGGTAACTGCATGATTGTGTAGTATTAACAGCCTCGATTCTTCATAGACCTGATATCAAGATAGATCATATTGCCTTAAAATATGGGGTTGGCGCCTGACCACCAGGCTTATGTGAGTAGGCAGCAAGTACACTAATCGACTTACGTGAGAATGCACCTTGCATATTTGACTTCTGTGACTTTCCTTTGTTTTTATAAGTCAGGTATAAAAGTAATGAAGTGTTGCGTAATCTAACAAGCTTAATCGAGGCTTAGAGCGCTTCACACAATTTTTTCATACATCCTAGCAACATGGGACCTGGAGATGAGTCCGAGCCATTTCTCAAAGATCCTCGCCAGCCACCACACCAAACAAGTGATCCTGAAAGCCGAGACATATTCGGTCTCCGGAAAAGTTCTAAGCTCTGGCTTATCTCGTCTTACGGCCTAGTTTTTATCTTCGCCTCGTTGCTCTGGGGAAGCCTTTTCTACGCTATGTACATCTCTCAGCCAAGTCGCAAAGCAATCCAGTCAATCCATGAGACTAAAGCGCACGGGAACATCACCACAAATGCAAAGCTCCTCAACTGCGGCTGGACACCAGCAGAGGCTAAGGCACTAGGCTGTCAGTATGATATTTTGAGCAATCACTGGGTGCCGGGGGTTTGCATGGATCAAGAATCCATTGAGGAATATCAAACTGATGAATCATGGTTTGGGTTCGCAGACGAGAATAGAACGGAGCTCTTGAGTATAGACACTATGTCTGAGATGAGGTACTACTATACAACTGAAAGGGACCATATCGTTCATTGTGCCATGTTGTGGAGGAAGCAGTTTAGAGCGTTCTTTGAAGAGCGGGACAAGCTTGACACAATTATTGCTGATAGCGAGCATACAATGCATTGCTCTCAATTCTTGATGGATATGTCAGATAAAGGGCCGGATTATAGAAACATGCCGATAAAGACATGGGTGGGATATGCTGGTTGCTGGGTGAAGGAGTAGGCGGTGGAGTGGTTTGAAGATGGCAATTACCCTGTATGATACCTCCATGCTGACAGCTTTCTCTATTATACTGGCACTTTCATCAACTAGTCTTTACCTATACTACATCAAGGGGGCTCCGCAGCTTTTAAGTAAAAGACGAGGCTATGCGTCGATATCGGCACCATATTTGAGGAGAAGAAGCGTCAACGACTCGGAACCGCGTTCAACTGCCAGATGAAGAGCGACGTTCCCCGATGTATCTTTCCAATTCACATCAATTGAAGCTTCTAATAATAGCTTTACCACTGTTTCACTTTCACTTTGAACAGCTAAAAACAACGCCGTACGTCCCAAGTAATCTGTCGCGTTTAGATCTGGGGTCCTTTCGATCAAGACTTTGACCAGCGCTTCACATCCATTCTCCGCGGCAAGGTGCAGTGCTGTCTGCCCATTTCCATCCTGCTTCATGACGTTGGCTCCTCGCTCCAAGAGAATGTGAGTAATTGACTCATTTCCACTACAAACCGCACGATGAAGCGCTGTTCGCCCCAAGTTCGTCAGGAGTTCCGAGGGAGGGGCATCCTGCAACATGGGATCTATAGCCCATATCTGATCGTCACAGGAAATTTCGGGAGGAACAGGATCTTCTGTGTGGCCCGCGAGGGCCGATATTATCGTATCCGAGGATTGTGCAACGACAGCTTCCAAAGCCTGCAATCGCTGCTTCTGATTCCGCCCTAGAGAGTTATCATAAGTCACTACACGCTAGTCATTCGCTAAAAGAGGAACCTTCTCACTGTACGTGCGCTGCGCAAGACGATTCTGATACCGTTTACGCTCCTTTTTGTCCAAGTCTATAGTATGATCCTGAAACAGCTGGGCAGTACCTCGGTCTGTGATGCCCCTTCCTGGGCGGTTGGTAAAAGCCTCGGTCATTGTAAAACGTTTGGTTTATATAAGGTTTCGGATCGGTAGAACGACAGTGACTGAGAAACTACAACCTCAAGCCAATGGTACTATAGTGAGACTATCATTTATTAGGTGCGTTATAGAGCCTAACCGATGCCATTTAAATAGTCAGCACCCCCTGTCTATTTAGGTGGTTCTCTAAATGAGGTCGAGAGCCTAGATTTTAGTAAATTATAGCATTGTCTTGCCTTACATCCTGCTATTTAAGTCTCACTTCCAATGAGAAGAGCACAAGCTGTAAGTATCTTATACAAGGTGAGGCCTCTATATCCTATTCAACACTATTTCTTGTCGCTAATGCATCCGCATATTCCTTCTTGCCATACATCAATGTGATAGCCGGTTTGGCTTGCATTGAGCCATGCAGGGTCCATACCTTATTCTACTTCTTTATCGGAATTGGCAATACACTGACTGCTATGACGCCATCATAAGCAAGTGAGAATTTATTGGAGATTGTGAAGTAACATTCCATGTTGATCAGTGGGTAAGCGGCCACGTCATCTACTAATTACTCCGAACTTTGGACTTCCCTTATATGACGGACAAGACAGCCGCTATGCATCTTGCCTAAACAGGGAAGGAAGATTGGATTCGCAATATGATCCATGTAAAGTCATCATCGCGTCCCTCCTTCATTCCCAACACAATCATTCCCTTTCTTCTATAAGATTTTCATGTGGAAATAGTTATAATCGATGTGATGCGATGTAAAAAGGGGGGAGTAAGTGGGAAGGCTGTATCCAGAAGATTTCTCCCGCAAAGGCACAAAAGGCTCGATCTACACGGATGGTCTCATTTGCCCCAGGCATTTTAGGTTATATCTTAGCACCAGCAAGGCCCACTTTTATCGACTAGTCCCGTTCCGAATATTTTTTATCACTTTTAGGTACTATTGCCCCTATTGGAAACTTAGGGACTACTACTGTTAACTCCTCTATATTCTTTTATTACCGCTAATACAATCCTAATTTTTAGATATAGGTTCTATATTTAATTACTAATCTTAATATATTATAGAGCACAAAGTAGAGCGCTACTAAAGAAGTGCTATGCTTAATATAAAACGTTGGGGTATCGGTAAGAAATCGCGATTCTCCGGAACCTCGATTTAGTCCGCTGTACAGACTACGCCCCAACGATTAGCTTCCGATAATCTCACGGCTATGCCCGGGATCTGCATTCTACCGGTGTTTTTCGCGACTGCGCGTTCATTACTCCGTACAGTCAACGTAATATTCTTCATATCAACCGTGACGACATGGGATATATATGGGCATCTATAGATTCCTCGATGGGCAATGTCCTAATATCCTTACAATAGAGGCATTGCTCGACAAATATTGTCGTCGCCGCAAGACACCACAATGTTTCTATAAGTGGTTTATAAGGTTGATGATCTATTAGCGACTTTTACTCCGTACACCGACGAAGACCAGCTTATCACGCTAACTTTTAAGCGGCCTGGCGTGCTTCGTGCTTCGGAGGGAACAATGCTCCGCTCTTGTTTTTAATGGATGTACCGGTATGTACTGTAATGCGGTTTCTCGTATTCTTTACCCAAAGTCGTGTAGATTGTCGAGTTATAGCCAAATCTCATGCTCTTGCATTCATGAAAGATCTTCCCCTCTCGGGTATAAGACTGCAATCGACTAAACCCGAGTGGTCTCCCATAACCTTCATTGTAACCCCACCATGAAAACTCTATGCTCTTGTTGAATTTACCATCTTTAATACTGCACTGAATGGATCAGATTGATGCGCGGTCTTTGCTTAACCCCCGAAAGGAGCATGTATTAGTCACGGACCTTGTGCTGGTAGTGTCCAATAATTGCTTAATGATAGAGCCATAAATGTGATGATGATATCTCCTCTAAGAATATCATTATATCCATATCGATAGAGCGTTAATTATAACCAAGCACGCAAACGGCACTAGGTACTGTACTATGAAGGAAGTATCACGTCCCATGCAGCCATCTACATCACAGAGAATACCAGTGACAATACTCGACACGGGTTTCGCCTCCTCAATTACAACAAGTGAAGCCAACCCAAGTGGTACACACCAATAATAACCCCAAGCGGAGAAGCACAATGACCGGCGACGGCTACGAGTTGCTTGTGCATTAGAGATCAAAATTGATCCTCAACACCAAATCACCCATCAATGATGCGACTGCGGGATCTGCATCAAGTGCTGCTGATCTCAGCTCGCAAGCTCCCTGGCCTCGGCTGCATCCAAGCCCCATTATGCGTTGTGGACAGCAAGTTACATTGGCCCTCCTACGAGAGGCGTTTGCGACAGTTGCTCACTAGTTTCACGTTTTATTATCAGATGTGGTTGTCAATGGCTTCAATAGGAAATAGACTGGGAACAAGCGGAAGAGATTGGCTGGAACATGGGCGAGGACGGAGATTATGCGACGTTCTAGTCGATCATTGACTGTGCATTCAGATATAATAAGGCATCATAATAATGACAATTCTCCCTTCTCGAACAGCTTTCAGGAGAATCAATAATGAAATCCGAGTCTTCAGAGAGACAAAGATTGTCCAACTTTCATCTACGTAAACCTTTTCAATTTATGTTCTAAAGAAGATATGCATCAATGTTTCCTGTGCGATTCATAATCACCAGTAGATTTAAGTATAGTTATCCTATTTGATATCTGCGTTACTGTCTATACATCAGCGAACGAGATGTTATTCGCACTGAATCTCATCAAGAAGATGGCCAGTCACATTCCAGTGGTAGAGAAAATGTAGAGGGCAGTCTTTTAGGCAAGGGCCGATTCAACAGATATGAGCACCTTTTTGTGACACTGTAAAAATAGGTATCAGTTTCCCGACAACAGAATCTTTCTTACTACATACATATTTTAGTATTAGTGCTAGAGGCTAGAACCCATTGAGTCTGGGAGGAGGGGATTGTAGCTGTGCCATACAATTTCTGGTTGAAGATTTGAGATAGGATCGATAAGATAAGCCGTGCTGACTCATCAAGTTGCCGGACCAACGCGATCACCCAAACAATAGAAGAGCGTCATTCCCCAGCCTCTTGATTTATTCCAACCACCGCAATCTCGGTCGGCGATCGATCTGTTTCTGTTCCTTAAGTCCTCAATCTCTACTATTCTTTCTACTTGCATACTAATCAAGGGACAAGCATCTATTGACACGAGAAGCAAACAGTGCACGAATATCTTCCACCTATCTACGATACCGATCGAGCCCTATCTACGATAGTGGACCGCTACCACCAGACTAAGAATTCCATCATTCCTGCACTCGCCAGCCGGTGATACATCCACATTCCTGTACAATCTGAAATGCCATATCTCTTCATCGTACATACCAACTGACCACATCAGAGTGCCGTCTTGAGCTATACGCTCTTGACAACTCTCTTCGCCCAACATGCCTCCAGTTATACAAGTGGGGGATGACTTCCCCAGCATTCCAGCACCCGACAACAATGACGTGCTCAGTAAATTCCAGCCGTCGCCAGAGGTCGAAGCCCTCGCGGAACGATCAGTGACAGCATCACTCCCGGAAAAGCCCCATTATCTCGTGGCACGAGATAGCTCTGCAAAGTATATCCCGGGCGAGGGTGCGGTTGACCCACATAAGATCAACATGCAGGGTCTGCTGGCGCTTTTCGCCCTTATCGGAGCTGCGTTTGTCCTCGCCGCCATCTGGTTCTTCTTCTGGGCCAAGAACGGCGGATTCATCTGGCGAAAGGGAGACTGGGAGGATTACAAGTCGACAGTTCTACGACGCAAGGGTCCCGACGGCGAAACACTAAGTAATGCGACGAAGAGTACCAAGCTGGGCGGCGGCAGCGTCGTCGGCAAACGCTACGATGACGACGGCTACACAGTCTCAGGATACACCGATACAGCGACGGAAATAACAGAGAAGGACGGACCGAGGCGCAAGCCTGGGCTTAAAGAGAAACTCCTGGGACGACATAAGAACGAGCGATATGAGAACGAGGCAGATGAGGATGTGCGCGCGTACCGCAAAGAGAAGCCAGCTCGAATCGGTGGTATCAACGCCGAGGCCGATGGCACCTACTACGGCAGTGACTACGACACTTCCAATCCACCCAGTTACTACCAGCAGAGCGAGATGAGCCAGGTTCGCGATTACGCCTACGAACCAAGTCGTCACAAGAGCACACGCCGTGATTTTTCTTTCACCCCGGGCACCGAAGAAGTCCTCAGCCAGCCTCCAACAGAACATCACCGTATCCGCGAACCCTCTACCCGCCGTCACAATCGCCGTCGCGAAAGACGTCACCATGCACCTCCGACATCCTCCTCACGCCAGAGCAGTCCCCGCAAGCGTGACAGACGGTCTGCGCCGGGTCATTACACCGAGCCGCTTGACTTTTCGTCCGCTCCTTCGCGCTCCGAATACCAGTACTCGAACGTTGATACGGAAGATACTGGAACCAGGAGCTACCACCACCCGATTCCCGGATTAAGCAAGGGATACCGTCGTGATGGAGGACGGAGCCGTCGCCGCGACAGTCTTAGTGATAGTGACGGCGATGAAACTCGCTACTCGTGAGGTCTGGGTTCCTCTTATCTACGGAAGTTTCACGACAAGTCTCTATTGGCAAATGTAAATAATTGCACTTTTTCTTTTTCTTTCCTTTTCAATTTTTTCAATCAAATCGACGAGCACAGGGAATACGAATGGAACGGGCACCAACATAAGAATATCGGGAACATTGTCTATTATGTTATGAATGGTATGGATATGGTCATGGGTAATGGAACTCAATCAATGAAATCAATGTATCAAATGCAAGCAATACAACCAAGTATATCAAGGATCCATAATTCCAAGTGATAGAACGATCGTAGTGGCTTATTTGAACCTTGTAGGTGCTAGAGATATTCCAAAAAAAAAAAATTAATGAGGATCAAATGAGATGGTTGAAATGCATGAAAATGAACGAAAGCCCCATCGACAATTCAGCAAACGCCAAGAATCCCAAATCTAACGACTTATTGTACGATATGTGCATAGCCCGAAATCAACGCGAGGAATGAACTGAGGTGATAGCAGATATGAAGCAAATCCAGGATCGAAAAGCGAGAGTTAATATTGAGGAACGTCAAGCAGGTTGAACGAAAGAAACAGATCTCGTCATTGAAAAATAAAGAAAAGAAAAGAGAAGAGAAGAGAATTAAAAGCCAGGGAGACAAAGTAAATCTGTACGTTGCATCATACCAAAGGCAAGTCTTTTTTTGATGTATGTATGCAAAACAAACTCCTTCTCAGACCGAGTGACTCCCGGAAACTGTATGCATGACCCTTACAGATTCCTGAACACTCATATCACTGGTGGCGGGTGGCAGAGGGCAATATAGTGGCCTCGTCCTTAAACCATTGTTTCAGTGACAGCTGGCTAACTTTTCGCTTTTCGTAACCCTAATATCACAGGCTTTGGTTCTCCGGTAGGGATTTGAGATGACCAATCTCGATGGTTGATTGTCGAAGCCGGTGGAGGAGCTATTTGTCGACGAACTTGGTTTGGCTGGCCTTCTCCTCTATAGGCTCAAAAAGGAAGGTATTCTCTTCTGTAGAGGCCTTCGATGGATCCTCCGGTTGGCTGGGAGCAGCAGCAGGATAAAGTTCAACATGAAGTCACGATCTTAGATGTACTCATGTATCAGATATTCTTTTTCGAACCAGACTGTCCGCAGCTGATTTATATCCAGTTGCGCATAGAATAATTCGTCGTAAATTTCTCTCCTTTCTTCTTCATAGGTGCGAAGAAAGTCAATAGATTCATCGTCCATAAGCATAATCAAGGACTCGCGTTCCTCTTTCTTCTCCTGCATGAACAACCACTCCCTGTTTAGGTCAATAAGGCGCTCTTGAATCATGCGTACGTCGGCTACGCAGGACACAAAATCCACTACATCCGGGAGATCCTCCAGGGCTGAGCTAGTGGTCGATCTCACGTACCCAAACTATCGTGATCGATAAGGGACGGTTCATCGGGCGTTGGAAGAGAGTGATGATCATGCGACTAATCGGGCAAAATCTTCCATTGCCTTGATAATCGTGTACTCATCTCGCTGCAGCTCACTCTCTGCCCTATTGTATTCTGATTAAATATCCGAGTATATACCAGTGGCGGAAAGAAGAGCCTCATTTGTTCTGAAGTAAGGATTGAACGCTTGTTGGGTATCTTGGGCCACGGTAACATGTCTGATAAACTGCGCTCTGATATCGGATTCTTTTTCCCTTTTGAACCCCAAGGCCGTGGGTAGCTCTTGTACTTCGGATCATTTGAAGACAACTTTATTCTTCAAGGATAGTAATCTATTGTTGGCTCCCATTATCTTAGCGATGTACGCAGCATCGGGTCCATCTGGCACAGTCTGGTGTTCCTGTGGGTCTTGAAATCTGCTCGGGAATGAAAAACCAGCGTCCTTACTAGTTTCATTATGAGACGGATTCAAAGGGAAATTGACACTGGGTGAGTCCTCATGAGTATGGGACAGGGATTCCTTAGCTTCAACATAGCAGGCGGGAGAGGGAGAATATTGTGTGGAAGTGAATGGCTCCGATCCTCTTTCCAAATTCACACCATTTGACTCCCTGGAGAAGCCGCCGGTGAGGGCGTTCCAACAGGATGCGTGGCTGCCCCGGGCATCTCTAACTTTTCCGTGGGTATCGGTTGCGTAGAGCGCTCGTCACCCTCACTCCGATGGGCAATAACCCATATACGATGTGAGTAATAAAATTAATAATGTAGCAGGTGATAGTGTTTCAGGGCACGATGAGGTACAAGAATCCATGGCTGCTACGGGTTTTATATGGTATACTTCGACGTGTAAATAAACGGGACTCACCGTTTCATTTTGCTGGGACGAAGGATGCCAATTCCAACTCAAAAATTTGCGAACACTATCGCCCAAGTTTGGCATGTTCTCAGGTAATTTCCACGCTGGCGAGAAGAACCGACTTCATCCACCGCGGGACGGGCCGGGGCCATATTAAGTATGCGTTAAAACATCCATTGTCGAGCCTGGAGGTCGGCTCTTTGTTCCGGTTTTATGTGGTGTTGTCAGCGCCTTGAGTTGGGTTTCTCTGTCTTTCTTTTTTTTTTTTTTTTTGTCTGTCCCTTCTTTTATCTTTTTTGTTCCTTTTGAGGTGGTAGTGGTGTTGTTGTTGTTGTTTGTTGGTTTGGCTCTTGTTTCTCTTCCTGCGTGAATTTGACTCAGCAATGGAAGGCACTGCTCTATGACACGTCTGCTGGATGAGTCCGAGATCAGCAAACAAAGCGCCGTGCAGCCTTCCGGCAAATGCCCGCGCAGAGAGTGTACGGACTACATATAGACGATAGATGAGTTGCATAGGAAATTCTAATATGGAGAACGACGATCCCTACATATGGTAGATTAGCGGATGACGACATCCATTGAACCACGTTACATAATTCATTCATCCAGTTCCAGATTAACGGTGAGACTGACTCGTATATAAGGGTTGGAATGGTGACTGGCCCCCGGCCGGTGTTGGTTAGTGACGACGACCAGAGTATTAGACTGACGCTAGAAGAAAATGGACCGAAGGTCTATTGGCGCTTCAGGCGGGCCCTCCATGTCTCCGGCGGGGAACTAGTAACCAAAAGAAAGCACTGTGAGTGTTATCTAACAGTCGGAAAGTCCACCTACAACCATAAGGGAGACCAACCATAATTTAGAAGATATCAAACCCTCCAGTCCTCGTGAAAGGTCGATTTACTATTTTCCTTTTTCGGACCCGAGCTTCAGGAGCATCCCACGTCTGCGACTCAGCCTGTGCCAACAAAGACCTACCAGCATATAGCGTGCAGCTCGGCTTGATGTCGACAGGGAATGCGCGAAGAACTCCATCGGAATAGCTATGGATGGTTTGAGAACCAAAACTCAGAGCCGCATATCCTCTCTGACCATCCTAAGCGTCCAACGAAACTAGACGATCGGACTTCTAGAAACATTTACAGTCCCTTTCCCGTCCGATGATTGCAGTCACAAGGATTTCAACTTTTCTTGATCACGCTGGTTCATACAGAGTCCAGATCGGACCCTCCAACAGTATCGTCGCTTGTGTGTGTGGTCATAAGGAGCTGCTGGAATCATGACTGCCGACCAAGACCCAAGAATAGAACTGACCCGCCGCCGTCAGAGTGGCAAGGGATCTATGCTTGACTCCTCCAGTGTACAGAATCTCACTAATAGCATCGTTTAGAGGCCTCTGGTTTTCCGGGAGGGGCCACAACTTGAATGACCAGGTCTGAGCCACGAGGGGGTATGGCAACTCAACGCGACTTCCTTAGGTATAGATGCCTGCTAACATGGCAATTAACCGGGGAAGTTGTGCTTGTTGGCTGTCTCGAATGTCCACTGGCAATCAACTGTGTGCACCCTGGTATACGCATATTAGGCTGTTCCCGTGCAGGACCAGAAAGTCATTAATATTGTTAATCAATCTCCGAAAGGGTATTCGGCAAGTGTGAAGAGAATCCATACAAGTAGGTTTGAAAATCAAAACGCCAGGTGCTTTATGTGGCACATGTTTTTGCCAGTTTCGACATCAGGCACTATGGCGGAGTGGTTAACGCGATGCCCTGCTATATCACTATGTGTATAAGCCTAGGCATTCCCTTCGGGGGCGTGAGTTCGAATCTCACTGGTGTCGCTTTTTTGTTGATGTTTTAGTTTTTGTTCTCCAAATAACTGCTTACTATATATAGTAAAGTAAGTATTATTATTAAGTTAGCAGTTAAGTTGGTATATTAGGAACATTTAGTAAATTATTGCATTCATTCATATATAATAAAATAGTGGACTATCTACAAGCAAGGCACTTTGGCGGAGTGGTTAACGCGATGCCCTGCTATATCCTAATAAGGCTTAGCGTAGGCATTCCCTTCGGGGGCGTGAGTTCGAATCTCACAGGTGTCGCTCTAACTTTTTGCTCTCTTTGCTTTCTTTCATATTATTTATTATCCTATCTGTCTAATCTACTACCCTCCTTTCCTCTCTCTGTTCATCACAGCCACAAAATTTAGTCTCGCACGCCAGTATGACAAGATATGTGCGTGGTGCGGGTGTGAGTGAATGAAAATACGATAAAACCACTTTATAAGCAACCCCGATAACTATAACGTGATCGGTAAGCGAGCGACGTATGTAAGCGGGTGACGCGTCATCCATGTTTTCCATACGCCTTATTTTCTTAGGCAATTAAAACACCAACCATACTACCAAAAATACCTAAATCGTCAAAATCACACGTTGAGCAGGAAGGCAGGATCCTACTTGCTATATCAGCCATAAAAAATCATGAGTTTAGTAGTGTTACGAAGGCAGCTAAGGTTTTTAATATACCTGAGCCTACACTACGCAGGCGTTTAAAAGGGGTCTCTTTTAGGGGCAATCTACGTGCCAATAGTCATAAATTAACTACTAGTAAAGAGGAATTAATTAAAGAATGGATTCTATCACTAGATAAACGTGGAGTACCTCCCCGACCTGCACACGTACGAGAAATAGCCAATATTCTGCTTTCAAAGCGTGATACCGCGTCTCCTCCTACTACTGTAGGAGAAAAATAGGTATATAACTTTACCAGGCGTACACCTGAGCTTAAAGCCTGCTTTGCACGCCGCTACAACTATCAATATACTAAAGTAGAGGATCCTAAGGTCCTAGGTACTTGGTTCAAGCAGGTAAATAAGACTATTCAGAAATACAGTATAGCTTCAAGTGATATCTACAATTTCGATAAAACAGGATTTGCTATAGGCCTGATAGCTACAACCAAAGTTATTACTAAGTCTGATGTACCAGGCAAACCATTTTTATTACAGCCAGGGAACCGGGAATAGATTACTGCTATAGAATATATATATTCTAATGGATGGGCTCTACCTCCCTATATTATCTTCAAAGGCAAGGTGTATATAGAGGCCTGGTATAAGGATGACAGGGTTTCTTCTGATTGGAGGATTGAGGTTAGTCCTAATAACTGGACAAGTAATAATATTGACCTACGTTGGCTGCAGAATCATTTTATACCTCTTACTATCGGCCGATCTATAGGAAAATACCGGCTACTTATTCTAGATAGCCACGATAGTTATCTAACACCTCGATTCGATCAGGTCTGCGCAGAAAACGATATTATACCAATCTATATACCTGTGCACGCTTCTCATAAGCTTCAACCGCTTGATATTACTATTTTCTCGCCTTTAAAACGTGTGTACGGAGACCTGGTTCAATCTAAGATACGCTGCGGGCTTAATTATATTAATAAGCTTGATTTTCTAAACACATATCCTGAGGCCCATACAGAGGCCTTTACCAGCAGTAATATTTATAGTGCTTTTAGAGCTACTGGCCTAGTTCCTCTATCTCCTAAGCGCGTTTTATCTGAGCTAACAGTTCAGCTCAAGACTCCTATATCTCCGGGTAGTAGACCTAGCAGTCAAGACAGCTCAGCGCCTAGGACACCTCATACAGTTAAGCAGCTGGAGAAGTCAGAATCTAGCTTTAAAAAACTGCTTAAAAATCGGTATTACAGTCCTGATTCGCCGATTAAAGCTTGTCTAAATCAGATATTAAAAGGCGCTGAACAAGCTTTTCATAATACAACGATTTTAAAGCATCAACTTGATCAAAGCCAGGCTGAAAACGAAAGGCAGATTAAAAAGCGAAAGCGCTCTACTAAGCAGATTACTTTTGAAGAAGGTATATCAGTATCTGAAGCCCGAATTCTTATAGAGCATCGAAATCAGGCAGATAAAGCTATACAAACAGATAGGGTTCTGTCTACTGAATCGGCTCCTAGGCGTGCCCTATCTAAATGTTCCGGCTGTGGTGTACAGGGCCATAAAATCACGCACTGCCCGAATCGATAGAACTACTTATTTTTATATAGAAGTCTAAATTCATGGTGTTTTGATCATTTTAAATTTCAGTATGGGGGGTGGCACGTCACCCGCTTACATACGTCGCTCGCTTACCGATCACGTTAGGGAATACCCCGATATAAATAATTTCAGTCGCTTGCTAAATTGATTGCTTATAACGGGGCTCTACCGTAATGGTAGCGCCTTTAGATGGAATGGCTGTGTACGTGATGATGTTTGTGTATACTATATTACGCTAGGCCAAATGGCGGAAGAACTGCCTGGCCGGCAGGAAGGGCCGAACAACGAATGTCTGGCAGAAATAACCGGAGAACGGTAATAACTAAGACCTTTCTCTTATGCTTAAATGATGATTATGGAGAAGAAACAACGACACCTGTGAAATACTCACTCACTCACTCTGCTAAAGTGCCTGATTGGGTGAATGAAGTTCAATCAATAATTTGATACTGTAAACAAAGGGCCCCCGCGCGAGCCTATGTATTCATCATTCACTCCACTGTCGAATACTAAAAAACTAACTACCAAACCTTTTTTCTAGCTGCATACAACGTTATCTGGCTGGAGACAACAGAGAAACAAATTAAAAAAAGACGACACCAGTGAGATTCGAACTCACGCCCCCGAAGGGAATGCCTAAGCTAAGCCTTATTAGGATATAGCAGGGCATCGCGTTAACCACTCCGCCATAGTGCCCTATAACTGTTATTTTTGATGTAAAATGTGAGTAACAAACCTAAAACCTTACAGATTTTCACCTACCACATAGTTAGCAACAATATGTTAACTAATCCGCTGGACCTAGTTACTAGGACTGATAGGTTATATTGCTGTCACAGATCATACAATAGCTATAATTATAATTCTCTTCGCTTCAAACTTCTTAAGATCATTATTATTAAAACAGCTATATTAAAAGACCTACCTAGCACTAGCCTTATTCCTTGGGATACGATCAAAAGCACCGCAACAGACAATGGCTGATAACTGAAACCTAGATTCAAGACCTTACCACACAATACAAAGCCCTTAGAGTTTGCATAAGTAAGTGATATTGCCATCACTCTACCAAACGTAGCCTTATTAAGTCTTCCTTTCTCTTAGACCTTTTATTCTATGAGCTCAGTTGTCAAAAGAAATACCGAGGTACTTGAAGATAGTTATCTTATGACCTATATAGATACCCAGTGTGGCTGTGAATACGTATATATATAGGAGCTGGCAACCAATACAAGGACAGGCCGATTAGGGAACAGGAATATTATCAAGGCTCATATTAAACCATAGTCCACTACACCAATTAACTACACACAGGTAGGGTTTAGCCAGCTCTGCACTATCTGCCATAAGTCCCACCAGAAACTTGGACTCAGAGAAGTAAGCAGCTAAGCTAGCAGACTCAAAGTAGATACTGATACTGATATATGGTGCACTAAGGAAAGCACATGCTGTTCATAAACTTTGTGAAATTGTAGGTCATGTGATACTGTTACAAAGTTTGGTAGTTGGTGACTCTAAATGTATGGCATGTTATACCATCAAAATGGCACTATGGCGGAGTGGTTAACGCGATGCCCTGCTATATCACTATGTGTATTAGCTTAGGCATTCCCTTCGGGGGCGTGAGTTCGAATCTCACTGGTGTCGACTTTTTGCTTATTTGTTTTGCACTCTCATTTAATTAACATCACTTCAGCTGTACGAGATATTTCACTATTGCTGCCATCGCCTCAGTGTCATATGAAGCAGTATGGTTACGGTATTCTCCACAAGGCCCTTCCCTTCCGCTCAGAAATTCGTGCACCGTCTCAAGGGTTCGTGCCGGGAGACCAGAGAACGGCTTTTTACAAATGTCCCCGACGTTGATCGGCTGGAAATTCTTGTGGGCCTTGTGAGAGATCTTGTTTTGTATCAACTTATCACAGCCTTCCAAGATCCGGAGGAGACACTGCATTTCTTGGGTCGTAAACCAAGACAGTATCTTCATATCCTCTGCATCGTGACCGCTCACTGAGATACTCTTGTCCCTAATCTGGAGTGGCGTCTCTCCTTTGGTTTTGAGACCACCATAGCATCTTAGGAAATTCGTTACCATCATTTCGTGCTTACCTGATACATACGAGGATATCGCCTTCATAAATTCCTCCATGGACAGACCGTAATCGATATTCGCTTCATATAGCAGCTTTCCATCCAATTGTCTGATTCCAAGGTGCAGTGGAATGGGCGAAACTTCTGCTTCAACGATATGAACTCGAAATCAAGAATCCGAGTCTTTTCAAGTCTCCAGTACAATATTCTTAGTTGCTGGAGGTGGTCACGAGTCTTTTCCGTGATATTGATCTTTCGGTTTTGTGCGTGATATGCTACCTGATTTAGTGGCTTAACAGGGCCCATCAGATAGTTGATAAGCGCTTCGTAATGGAGACGACAGCAGGAAGATGCCTGAGGCATCTGTGGCCCAGGGCAAGTGTAGTACAACCACATGTTCTTGCCATTTATGAGCTTTAAGCTCTTCTGAGCATTTCTCAATGCCTGCACGAGCGTCTTGCGGAAAGCGTTCTGGGATGCGGAAGCTGTTTTGGCATCTTGTTTGAGTGTTTCCTCGATACATTCTAGTATCAATTCCAGCACTGGGACCAGTCTAAACTTTCCAAGAATGGGCTCAGATTTCCGGTAGAAATCTTGTGAGTACCTGATTTCAGGGTCTCTTTCATCGTCCCTTGACCGTTTTCGCTCTCCGCACTGTAGTGTCTGATAATCCATCGTCCAACCTTGGAGCAAGAGTGTATCTGGGACTACTCCATCCTTGACTGAGCCCCTTAGGCAGAGCGACAGAGTTAAAGAATCTCGACCTTTGTCTTGAGCAGTAATTTTATAGCCCAATGTGGAAGCGTACTTTTGAGGGGCTCATCGTAGTCCAACTCGATTCGGACTGGAATGGCAGACTCAAGCTAAAGAGAAAGGAAGCGTTAGGAAATTTATTTCAACATAAGGGCTTGTCTATTACCTACTTTATCGCTGGCAGTGACCAAATGCTCGCATATAACACTAACACATGCCCCCAGTGCTTTGTAGCACAGTGGGCATCCTCCCGGACCAGGTTGTCGGAGACTATAATCGGGCGCAGTGTGATATAAAAGAGAGTTACCTTCTATACCGTTGGGGCTCTTATTTTTCGGGTTATACCCTGACGAACTTTCGAGACATGGGTAGCGCTGGCTATCCCGGAGGCACCGCAGGGTTTACATCAGCTTTCAATGCCACAAATGTAAGTGTAGAACAAATAAAAGCAACGGAATAGTTAGAATTTGACGAGGGTGACAGACCGGACAATTTTCTCGCTAGTACATCCCCAAACCTGTCACTTCTGGCCTACCGCCAATGAAACGCTTGATATTCGTATGCTTCGACAGTCAAGTAGCCGCTCATAGCCCGCAAGAGCATGGACTGATTATATCCAGGCTACAAAGTCCAGACCAATCCCAAGAAGCTTTTCAAAGTTGGAAGAGTACGACCATCTCTCCCGAGCTACAACCTTGCTTCTATCATCTAACTGGATATCCAGGTTTTGCTGCCATTTGGCACGAGGGTATGGGGAATGCCGCGCCTCTGAGAGGAGGCACCAAAAGCCTTACAAGTGATCATGAATTGATGATTGTGGGAAAGTTCAGCACCAAGAGCTACACTGCCATCCGCCGCATGGTGGTCTTCAATGAAATGGATCAGTGTGCATGGTGCTTGTAAGTGACTCGCAGGGAATCCTTATCTGGTAACGTATACTTAATATACTCATTTAGCCCGGTGCACACCTACGGCCGCCTGGGAGTCGCCAAAGCGAGTGTGAGTCCCTCGAAGCATGCAGCCGTCTATACGAAAGACCAACAACCCAGGTACGGTCCCAACGAGCCAAAAATGGCAAAGGAGGCCATTGAGGTGACCCCTAAGCCGTATCAGAGACTACACGCCATGTCTTGATTGAATTTTGGCAAAACTTATACAGTCGAACATAACAAAACAGTTCTTCCAGTAGGGACCATCAGCGAGAAATCCATAGTCAAATCCCACTTATATGCGAAAAGGGAAACCGAACTTGAGTATTAGGATGCCTCGAATGTGGAGCGTACATGTGGTTCAGTTGCCATGCTTACTCGTCTTCGTTCCTTTTGTTATCTTCTGTCATGATCATTGACTTTCTTGCGAGTCCTTCTTTGACAGCCACATTGTTGACCCTCCACCAAACGTTTGCCATTGTTCTAATGGCATGCTGATATGTGTTCAAGGAAGACTTTATTTGTCTTGATTATTCCTCTCGATACGTTTTCCGTTGCCATGCATCACATCCTAAAGGACCTCGGGAAATTTAATTCTATTCCTCTGTGGTGCTATACCTTGGGGGTTAGTTGGTCATGGCCGAATTCAAGATTGGCCCAGGAGTGAAACTATTGTCTGTATTAATGCATGGCATGATGGTATATTAGTCATACTTTCCTCCGTGAGATAATACGAGATTTTTGATGGTTAATACACCCTTACGTGTTGAAACCAACGTTAGTTTGATTGTGAATTTAGCTGTTAGCCTGCGAAATAACACACATTGGCTTCGAAATATATTGCTCTACATTGACCTGTACTATACCTTCTGTAATAGTAAATAATCTGTTGAGATGACTACTGTATCTGGAAAAATCCGATTCTGCATTATGTATCGACTGTCATATAACTGGACCAAGGACCAGGACAGCATATTCAGATATGGAGCAAGGCGACATGGGCAGGCAATGTTTATGATTTCCCAAATCGATAACAAGAATAAGGTTCTGTTGCGGTGGGGCCGAAAAGAAAATACTGCCACTCAAAAATCTCACCGCCCGACAGATTTTCTGAACCGCCTGATGAGGAAAACTTTCAAGCAGACATCCTCACCACCATCAAAGCCACCCAAACCAAGGACGCTCGAAGGTTCTTGGAATTTTCAATCCCAAAAATGAAGCGGAAGCTTGACGCAAACGATGTTCCCTCTCCGGAGGCCGCAGATAAGAAGGGAAAGAAGCAGGACGACACCGCCGACTTCGAGAGCCTTAACCTGGACCCGCGATTGCGCCAAGCTCTGATTAAAGAGAAATTCACCAAGCCCACACTTGTTCAAGCGAAGGCGATTCCACTGGCGCTGGAGGGCAAGGATATCTTGGGTATGTGTTGATCTGAATAGTCATCTTCCGGGGAACACCGGGCGCTGATAAGATGTAGCTCGTGCGAAGACCGGATCTGGCAAGACTGCCGCATATGTACTTCCCATCCTGCAGACCATTCTTCAGAAGAAAGCTGTTCGTATACCTTTACTCTTGTTTATATTGAGTACTTAAGCATCTTTATACTAATCCTCTGCACTGTAGACCGATCCTTCATTAAAAGCGACCACAGGCCTCATCCTCGTCCCTACTCGAGAGCTTGCGGAACAGGTCCAGAATGTCGTTACCACTTTTGCTGCTTTCTGCGGAAAGGACGTGCGCTCGGTGAATCTGACACAAAAGGTTTCGGATGCAGTCCAGCGCACTATGCTGGCTGATTACCCCGATCTGGTTGTTTCGACGCCCGCTCGTGTTGTCACCAATCTCGGCAGCTCCGCTTTGTCCCTGGAGAACTTGACACACCTTGTAATTGATGAGGCGGACCTGGTTCTGTCATATGGGTACGAGGAGGACATTAATGCCTTGGCGAAGGCTATCCCACGTGGTGTGCAGACTTTCCTCATGAGTGCTACACTCACTGACGAGGTGGATACCCTGAAGGGTTTGTTCTGTCGGAGCCCTGTAACCTTGAAATTAGAAGACAAGGATGACCAGGGTGCTGGTGTCAGTCAATTTGTGGTCAGGTGAGATTCATGTCAACCCCATTGGTATTCATGATTCGGTGATTAACGTTGCCTGCTGCAGATGCGCGGAGGACGAGAAGTTCCTTCTAACTTACGTCATCTTCAAGCTTCAGCTGATCAAAGGAAAAGTCATTATCTTCGTGGACGACGTCGACCGTTGTTATCGTGTGAAGCTGTTCCTCGAACAATTCGGAATCAAGAGTTGCGTGCTGAACTCAGAATTGCCTATCAACTCCCGTATACATGTCGTCCAGGAGTTCAACAAGGGTGTCTACGATATCCTCATCGCCGCAGACGAGCAAGAGGTAGTAGGAGCCCGGAAGTCGAAGAAATCGAAAGAAAACGCCGACGAAGCAGGGTCAAGTGACGAGGATGAGGGAGAACCGGAAGAGAAGTCCAAGCGCCGCAAGGTATCAGGAAAGGAGAAAGACTACGGAATTTCCCGCGGCATTGACTTCCAAAATGTTGCATGCGTTCTGAACTTCGACCTTCCCTCCACTTCGAAATCCTACACACACCGAATCGGTCGTACCGGAAGAGCAGGCAAGACCGGCATGGCGCTATCATTCGTCGTCCCCAAGGACCAGCACGGAAAGCACAGGCCCACCTCCACCTCCACCTCCAAGCATGATGAGTCCGTTTTAACGAAGATCGTCAAGCGGCAAGGCAAACTCGGCCACGAGGTGAAACCGTACCACTTCGAAATGAAGCAGGTCGAAGCCTTCCGGTATCGTATGACCGACGCACTTCGTGCCGTAACACGACTCGCCGTGCAGGAAGCTCGAGCCAGAGAAATCCGTCAAGAGCTGATCAAGAGCGAGAAGCTCAAGCGCCACTTCGAAGAGAACCCTGAAGAGCTGCGTCAGCTGCGCCACGACGACGAGCTGCGCTCCGCACGCGTCCAACCTCACCTCAAACATATCCCAGAGTACCTGATGCCCGCCAAGGGAAAGAAGGGTCTTTCTAGTGGAGACGTCGGCTTCGTGAGTTTCAGAAAACAAAACGAGAACCGCATCAGGAAAGCAAGAGAGAAGAATCGCGGCAAGGGCAATGGCCGGAAATTCGCCGGAGTGAAGAAGAAGGTCGATCCGTTGAAGACGTTTAACCGGGGCCGGAAGTAAAAGAATTACGGATAATTATTGTGCTTCAAAGAAAATACCATCATGCTGTTCATTTTACTGTACATACTGGTTTGGGAAATGTAAAAGTTACTTTAAGCATACCAGATGAAGATTCTCTAGTCGTTTTCGATATCTACAGCTATACATGGAATATCTACCAAGAACTGTCATCTGATGAAGCTCTGTAGGAAGTATCTAGTACCTATATATGGTGATATCCTAAGAATTGAATCTGACTTCTCATTGTTCCGAGTTTATGATCCGGTATTTACTAACTGCTCCAACATAGATTTAAATACCTCAGGCACTCGCTGTCTATCCTTTTAGGAAGTCGGCTTTACGAGCTACGAATTCAGACATCCGAGTGACCTGAGAAGGTAGACAGCCAGGTAAGAAAACTATAACTCATAGAAGTAAGCTGTTGGCAATGACTCTATTCGAATATACAAGTTAAGATAGCCCTACAATGGCATTTACCTCACCGGTTTCCCGCGGCGCCATGTACTAATAGTTGAATGTATATACAACCAGGTCTCATCCCATCAAGGGAGAAGACTCAAATACTCCTTCCCGAGCAACCGCCTAAGGACATCCTCTTCCAACCCGTCTAAGCCGAAAGAAAATTGCACCCACTTTCCCTTGCCCGCCTTTCTCGTCCGCTGTACTCGCTGCTGCACTGCTTTCGCAGCTTGCACGGCTTCACGATATCGTTCCAGCTCCTTCTCGCGACGATACTTAACTCGTTCCACTTCGACGTCCCATGGAAGATCATCGGAATCCGTCGGCTGATCAGGAGACGGAGCATGCATAGAGAATGCTAGAGAACGGGGCACAGAAGAAGAAGATGATGCTGCGAGAGATAAAGACGCAGCAGCAGATTGTCCAGAAGAAGCGTGAAGAGGCAGTAACTCGCTATCATCAATATGAGGAAGCCATCCTGGACCTAGACGGATAAACTCGATATCTCTCCATGACCCATTCCATTCTGGACCGGCGACGTACGCCTCGCCATCTGGTCCCACGCCGTCCCAGTTCAGTGCTGGGACCCAGTCGCCGCAACCTTCTAGGTCTAGCCATTTCAGACAGTAAGTTGCGCGGGAGAGTCTCCGCAGGATACCGGCTGCTTCAGCCCAGTTGTTCTCGAATGAAGAGTATGCGTCTGTGCCGCCGTAGGCAAAGGTTAAGGATCTTTGCGTTGGGTGTCGTACGCGGGCGTTAACAGCGTTCGGTGTGACTGTCGGGACGGGCCAATGTGCCAACGATAGGTGGGTTATGGTTGAAAGGCGGGAGAGGAGGTTGATGAGCGAGTTCCAGTTAGTAGCAGATGGAACTGGATGCGCTAGTGAGAGATAACGGAGATTCTCAAAGCGCAGTCCTTGGGTCAGTGTTTTAGGGAGAAGAGTATTCTCAGCGATGGCAGGTTCATCATCCTCGCTCAATTTATCCTCCCAGGACGCTGGGACGGGCTCTTTCATAGTATGTTGCACCGTACTGGGTTTCGCGGACACGATTAGCTCGCTGGAAAGCTGCTTCCAGGTCATCCAGCGCCCTACCGCACCGCCTAGATCCAAGCGGCTTATCTCCAAATCACTGTCCTGCGATATATCGTCTTCTTCAGGCCGATGTTTCTCAATCAGCGGTCTTAGACCATGCATCATACCCCGCAACGGCTGGTCTCTTGCGTGGATGCCGACATAGCTAAGTAGTAGCACTTTGATATGACTAGGTAGGAGTGCAAGGAACTGCCCGTCATATTCAAGATGCCAAGCCCAATGTAAAGCCATAGATTTGAGCAGCATATGTAGCAAGGAGGTTCTTCGGGGAAACGTCGTACCCGGGAGACGATCGAGGCGATATATGATTCTCTCGGCCTCCGCTGTGCCAGCTTCCAGACCGGTTTCCTCTGGATTCTCCGATGAATAGTTTCCTAGCAGCCAGCTCTCAGGTGGCGGTGGCCCAGCGGTCCTTCTCACCCGTCGCCCACCAACTCCGGCGCGGCGGGCATCTGGGCGAGGGCGGGGAGGCGGCGTTTCGGGGAGCTCTAGTAGGTTACGCAGCGATGGATGGACGGATCGCGGCGCGACCGTCCTGAAAGGAGCTCTGGTGCCATCCTCGGAAGGAGAGCTGGACACCTGGGTACGGCGGAGATGGTTGATCAGGTCGTTGACGGATGGCTGCTCAGTTGATGACGACCGGAAACGATCATCTCGGAGGCCAGAGGAAGCTAGAGTATGGTGAGCGGTGCTAGCCGGTTTGGTGAAAGTAGACCTATGATGCTTTTTGGGCATCGAGGAAAGTGTACGGGTGGAGGATAGAGGGGAAGTTGGAAATGACGCCGAGGTGCGGGAAGGTGGAAGCTTTAAATCTTATCGATAAATCTGATAAATCCGCCCCCACTGAGTCACTGACACCGAGTCACTCGTAAGGTAGAATAAGTTTGGGTCAAGTCTTCTTCTAGTGTGATGATTTACACTTCTGGCTGTCTTTCTGCCTATTATACATTGGTATATGAAGGTCTTCATATATCACGAACCCAGGATTCATCATCCATCTTTCCTTCACGTTTCGGCCCTTCTTGGATCCAGGTCTCTACCAAACCTTCTTTTGGATCTTCATCGGGTAGCCCCCTCGAGCGTCTTACGTCTAACACAAGGTCCCTAACTTTCTTGGTGACCTCTTTGCGCAGTTCAACTGCCTCCTTTCCGTTAAGAAGCTCGTCGCTCAACACTCCCACGGGGAGGTCGCGAGTCTCCGGAGCTTTTGCTTCGGCCTTGGCCTTCAAATCCCGCCATCGCCGCCTCATATCTCCAAACACTGCGTCAGTATCAACCTTTTGTCCGAAAGTGACACTAACGTCCTTCCCGGGTCGTGGAAGGAACCGTGGAAACTCGCGGCTCTCATGCATGACCTGGTCAAACCCTTCAATCCACATAGGAACGACGTCAGGGCATTCATTGGTTTCTAGAATTAGTCGAGCAACGCCCCATTTGAAATAGCGCATTGTCTTGTTCGGTGCCTGGTGGATTTTGCCTTCCGGGAAGATATGGACCCAGGAGTAGGAGTTGCAAGAGAATGCGGATGGTGCCAGATGTGAGTCCTCTCCATTAGTGGTGTAGGCCATGGGAAGGTCGGAAAAGGGGTCGACGCAGACGTTCTGTCGACTCCAATATTGTCGCTCGGGACGGGCATTGTGTGCGTTAACGGGGAAGGGTCCTTTCGATAACAATCTGATCGCCTGGGTTACGGCTGGTTGTGCAACACCACCGTAGGGTGAGTGTGCGAGTCGATGGGTGGGCAGAACCTGACCCATGGTGAAGAATAGGGATAAGGGCCTTTCAGTCCCTCGTTGTTAGCCGGGCTGTTCGTTGCGGTAGGCCGAAAACAGGAGTCATACCTGCCCTGAAAGCAGATGTCATGACTGCCAAATCCCCATCTTTTATTCCAGTTCGAGAAGCCAAAATTGTATCGCAATGGTAGGAAACCCCACATGATCGGATCATCCATACTGCTCGTTAGCGACCATGGTCAGTGTACTCTTCTTTGTCGCGAGTAATCAGGTCGCCTCGGCCATTCTGAGGCGCATCGTACGTACGTACACGCTGATATGGTTGGAAACTATCGTAAAAAACGTGAGGTTAGCCATCGCACGTCAAAACATTATTGGAAAGACAATAAACAAAGGGAACAGTACCTGTGAGTAGGCCCTTTGTTCTCTTGGACGGATCACTTCGAGAGTCGAGCAACTCCAAAAACGAGTCGAGGCCGTTTACCTCGGGTCGACTAAGCGTATACAAAAATGAGCGACATAGCGCAGCGACTCCAAATATTGTCGCGGAGGACATGACCCTCCAGGGTAAGGAGGGACATTCCCCTGTTGCACCGGAATCCCTATCGCCCGACATCATGAAGTTATTGAAGCTCCATGAAATTATTGGGACGCTTCGAGCCTGGCGGGGAAGAAGGACGGAAAGGAAAAGAAACCAGGGACGGGGTAAAAAAGAGGACCCCGGATCATCGGCGTGTCAGCAATTGGCATCTTAATTGGTTTTTTTATTTTTAATCCGCGGAGGTTGGAGGACGCACGGACCACGTGAACCTGACCTCAGAACGGGATTTTCGCCCGAGACTACACCTTTAAACACTTGCCCTTTGTTATCGCAACCCCATATTCTGTGGCACACAAGATGTTCAAGGCGTCGTCTCCTCTCTTTTCTGGTCTTCTGTGGTAGGTATTCTGTTTGACTCTCTGTAAACTCGTCGAATCACCCGCAATTGCCCCTCCCCGAACGTTCTTCGTCAACAAGTCCAGAGTGAATTCTAACCATCTCTTCTTATCCCGAAACAGGAAGATCCCATGGCGAATCTCGCAGCCTCAGAAGGCTCGTCAGAGGAAGCGCCTTCGCTCCGTCGATCGCGTGGTAGACACCATCAGCGCCGCCCTTGCACGTAATGGACAGAAGGCACGATCCGTCGACCGGTGGTATCGGGAAATGCCTCGCGAGGAGGAGATGCTGCCCAAGGATAAATACACTCTCTTCGACAAGAAGGAAAAGACATACCGCAAAGGCATTCACAGTACGTTGCCCCTAATCGTCCGTCTTTTGCAATCCCTCTCCACCTCGCATGTCACGTCACTCGCCTGGGATGTGCGGACGAAAACCAGAATAGAATGGGAAGCTAGATATTGGGAATATGTGAGTCTGTAGCTGATATTTTATGTGACAGAGCTGCCGAAATGGACACGAGTCAGCCAGCGCGTGAACCCTCCTGGTTTCTAAACAGTTGCTTGGTGTACTATCTCGAAACACTTCGATGCGAACACTGCCACCAGGCTTTCGGGGCCGAACCTTGCGAGTAAATGCTGGGATTCATATTGTACGATACACTTTGGCGCTTATTGGCCATGCTTTCTCATGAGAGAGCGTCTTAAACTAGAAAACGGATACATGAGGGATTACCGGAGTTTTGGCAACTGGGCAAATCACACCATGACTGTGTTGAATTTCCTTGTTTAGTTACAATCATAGTTACTTTTAGTCTCGAGCGCATGTACAATTACTTGGTTTGTTTCCACGAGATTACCCGTGAACCCGCCACATAGTAAGGACTGGACGCCGCAGTGAACTAAAATAACATGCAAAAGGGCGAACATGACCCGATGGAAGATTTTAGTAAGAATATAGCAGGAGAGAAGACGAACATCGTTACCTACGTGGTAAATTTATCTTATCCAGTTAGCAAACCACCCAGGTTTTGCACGCAACTGCTGCCCCCAAAGCTGCCATTGAAGGAGTCACTGGCTCAGGTCTGCTGCTTCTGTCGCCGATACCATGCTGTTTTGCAGAACCGAGAAATACCGACTGCGATTTGCTTTGCTCTAGATCTGTTGGCTCTACCTTCGTAAATTGCCTTGCGGATTCGATACCCACGGCGGATGTTTTGCCAATCATCTAATCTTTCTTGCCAGCCTGCTCCCCCCTCATAGTATGCGGCATTTTGTCTGGCAGACAGTTGATGTCCTTGTGGTGGCTTTCGAATTAACCAACAGGCTGGATCGATATATCCGTCCGGAGGGTCATCGGCCGAGTCGTCATATAAATCAACCCGTTTGACAAAGTCTCTCAGCCCCGATGCTTTTCTGTTTTGATTGACAGCTATTCTCCATGATTCTATCCGCGGTGTGTTGGCAACTCCACGAGCCACTCTAGGATACTTGCGCTTAGGACGCCGAGGCGTTGGCGGAGGTGTTTTGAATCTGGGATCCCCAAACTGCCGCTTTACATCGATAGGCGCACGCGATGCAGGGTCATAAATGACCCAAGTGCGAATATTAAGCCAATGGTTCGGCAGTAGGGGAAAGTGAAACGGTTTTCGACCTGGCATAAGCTGGTAAGATAGCCATCCAAGTTTTCGGTCCAAGCCGTCGATCAGCCTTATCTCCCAGTTGCTCAAATGCCTCAATGGGATAGTGATTTGTGCGAACCTTGTCCCATGCAGGTTGGCGTTCTTCTTGCTCTGGGGTCTTCCTTCTTTTCCACTTCCTTGGGACGGTATGGACTCTCGTAGCTGCGTAGATGGATATTGATATTGAACAAACTGAACTTGGTTCCGATGCATATCAACGGGAAGAGTAGTCTGAATTTGACATTGATCTTGCCTGTATAACGTTTCTGCCGGTTGTCGGGCTCTAGCAATGGTAGGTTTTGATTGATAGCTTACCACCCTCGCTCTTCTTAGACAACCTTTGTGAGTGCCGGAGATACTGCGGCCACTCGAACCACTCAATGAGCTCCAAACTGTGCTACGCCTGTCTCTATTTATCATCCTTGCTAGAGTCGTTTGATGGGACGAGAACTCGGTCAGCAACTCGGACCTGGGACTCCCTGGAGGAACTGGAAATCGATGCGTGCTATATCTTCCACATTCCGGAACATTCAGTGCCATCTGGGCAGACCAAAGTTGGTATTTGCGTGAATATTTTAATGCCTGAAGGTTTCTTGATTTTCGGTGATGGTCAGTTGGTCTCTGCGAGTTCGAGGAAGCTTCAGAGCTTTTCCTCACTCCCCGAAAGGTAATCTTCAGATCTGATAGACAAGGAAGGGAGTGGTTTCGTTTTGCCAAAGGATCATTATTTGAGATATAGAAAATGAGGTCTTTTCTTGTAAGGACGCAAGCGGACTGATCTAAGGAGAGGAACCTTTTATGGTTGAGCGAGCGCGCCGAAGATTTGCCTGCTTGAATTGTACAGTAATTCAGAATCATTGTGGGTCGTTTTGCTCGGGTCACAGGGCCTACACATGGAAGGTCATCTCTGAACAACTCCTTTGCAGAGGAGACATTCCTGCGCTGTCTCTTTATCGGTAGTTTATATCTCCCAGCACGAGTGTTGGACACATTCTCGGATCGGAGAACTCCAGTCATTTTCGGGGAGGAGTATGACTCGCCGCCTTTGCCTGCGCTTCGGGTGTATCCGTAAGGGGTGTGGATAGTGTTTGCTGCTGTAAGTTTACATTTTCTGAGATGCGTCGGTAGACTTTGAGGGTGCATTGAGTCCTGCTTGCATGCTTCCAGCTCCTTCTGATTAGAACTCCACCAAATCGAACAATAGCTGTTCTTAGCTGAATTCCATGTCGTCCATCGTCGAACGTTCGCGAAACACTTTTGCACTATGGACCTATCGGGCTTTTGTCGTTGGAGCGGAACCCATCCGTACCAGGTCTTTGTGTAGCGACGCGCAGGGGTGTTTCCTCCCCCAATGACCTTTTCCTTGGTGAAGCGACGGAAGAATTTCCCTAGCTTCCAGACTAGAACGGAGACAACGAATATGCAGAATGTCCCAGTGAAGAGCTCGAGAACAGCCTTAAGAGTAATGATCTTTGGGCCTGATATTGGCATGGGAGGTGCGCCTCTAATTGGTGGGTAATAGCCAGGTAGAGTATGATAGAGTCGAGGAAAGGTCGGTGCCATCGGAGGGGGTCTTCAATGATCATTCTAATAACAATATGGGAGTAAGGTGAAGCTGCGGTGGGATTCCTTCAGAGAGGACAAGAGAGTCGTGAATGGCACGTGAGAGTTGTAAGAGGAAGGTATGACTGAAGCTGGCTGCTTCACTTTAGTACTAACCTAACCCTGCTTTGGCCGGTCATGTTCTTCGAGGTTCTTCAATATGGAATTAATAACTAAATTATGGATGATCTCACCCCCAGAGTTCAGATCCAATCCTCGCTACATCCTTCAAATTGTATCCGTAATAGCAGTCATATATTAGCCATAGCGATGGCTACACTATTAGAGTGTTTGCCAATAGAACTTGGCGCTGGCTACTATTTCTATTAAGCATAAGATAATACACATCACGAGGAGTATGTATCCTCTGACTAGCTGAGCTTTACAGGTGCCAGTGATTCCCGTTGTGAAGGCTTGCTACAATATATATCTCGATCCCGTCGGCAAGCACCTAGTGTCAGAGTATATTCTTCAAGGCACTAACAATTAGCAGGAGATGAGTATGGATGAGTTTAGTTACTACCCAAGGGACTGAAACAACAGCTACTTTACTGCCAGGATGCACATTGTATCTCCTCGATTATCCCATAGTATACAAGAAATTCCCCAAGAGGCACATGAGTTATACCTGTTGTGCAATGCCTACATCTAGCATGATAATTGAGTCGGTTGGGATAGCGTTGCCTATCACTTGGTTTTCGCAAAACTACGTTGGAATATTTATGTGGCCCTGGGTTAAACGGTGATAATCGGCGGATCAAAATTTCTTTCACCCTCCGTGTATAAGACTCATTGATGGTGAAGTTGGCTCCCATCAGTCAATAAATGTTACAGTTTGCTGACCAGGCGGACCCAATATTCCAAATGAGAAGTTTACAAGTTTTGGAAACATGAAATCAACTCCAGTGCGCCATCAGGGACGTCATGCTTCCACCTAAATTGTTTGGACAATTCACACTCATTGGGCCAGCTAGATTCCACCAGCTAGAGGTATCGCACCATTTCTGGAAAAGCCAGTGAAAGGGGACACTGCGATGGCGAATTCGCTTAGGTCTTTGTATGTTTTAGGATCGGTAATAGGTCCTTTAATATTATTTTTCAACTTTATTGTGTCACTTTCAAGATATTCAAGTGGCCAATGAAGTCCTTTCCCAGCAAAAAGTGACGTTGTGCTTGGGTCTGAGACAACAGTCTCCGTCCGTGATACAGCTTCACAAAGAAAATTTCCATCGGGCCAACCCTATAGAACGCCGACTATAGATAGGATACGTGTCCGCATCCCGCCACTGCTTCCGATTTTTTCAGGCTGCACTGTCGTTTCTGGAAAAATGTAAACATTCGCCTTCCGTTCTCTAATCCCAGGCAGAACAATGAAAATCCCTGTCTATAGGTGTTTAAATTAGCAAACGCAAATCGCCCATTCACCCAATCAGCTCGCTCGGTAGCCTGTTTACCTACCGCATTGTTTACTAACCCGATGTTCATCACAAACAACAAATACTACTAGTAATGTGAACGCCACATTTCCCTGTTTTCTCTTTTTCTCTTTTGTTGTTTTTTCCGTGAAGTTTGGGTTGAGATCTGATCCAGGAATTCTGGCGGATCTTCCACGTCAATGTCTTACTCCCAAGGTAGTATGATAAATTACGCTTGGATTTAGTAGCCACCACTAGAGTATCAAACCAAGGAAATGCGTCAGTTAATGCTGTGCAGTTGTAAACTACTGGGGAGTTTAGAAAAAACAGGTTCAACAACGTAAGTAGTGAAATCCTTCGCACGGACTAAGTGGGTCTGCGTGGACTATATGTGGTGATGGAGATAACTGAAATGGGGGATATGAAGCAGTGGTCTATCCTTTGTGATGTGAGAAAACAGGTATTGTATCAGCTCCGCGACACCTCCGTTCTTCTCTGTCAGATACTAAGCGATCGGCTTGTTGCCACCTGCGTACGCGCGGTTGGGGGCGGGTGTAATGTTTACAGTTAGGAGCATATCGAGATAGCACCTGCATAAGATCTAGTTTGCCGATCATGGATCGATAGGTATTAGTTGGATAAGGCGCTGTTTACCAAGGATGACTGGCTAGTCACGCCATCAGAGGTTCAACTACCGGCAGAAACCGCAAAAAAGAAAAAAAGAAAAAAAGAAAAGAAAAGAGGGGAAGAACAAAATTAAGAAAAAGGGTAGCGGCCTAGCAATGAAAGGAGGCGACCGAATCTCAGTGTCACACTGAGTATGGCAACGGAGAAGCAGAAGGGTGAGAATGGAAGATTGGGTAGCATCTAGGATGCTAGATGGGGAGGCCTCAGCGGCACTGGACACATAATTGACCAAGTAAGGGTCCGCATAGATTGATCCAGATGCTAGCGCTGGACAAGACCAATTCCAACCAATTTCTCACCGACAAGCAGGTAGTTATGCTGAGTGAACTGATTCGGCAAGGAGTGACGGGTGTTAGTGATGAGATGGTAAATCTCGATACTTCACCGCCACAGAATGACCGTTGATCAATAGTCTAAGCCACCTGTGGCTAGTGGGTCACAGCCCAATCAGATGAGAGAGTTCTCGCATGGTTGAGGACCGATTCACAAGCAAATTCTGATGGATCTTGCATGGCCCTGCAGGCAGACGCAAAATACGGTCCGAAAGTCGGTACACGCAAAAAGCAATGATCTCTGTCGGCCGGATGTTCCGCTAAACTGGGGACCAAGGACCGCCAACCGGGTAACACAGGGTCACAAGCTTGAGACTGATCTACAGCTTATGCCTTACTTTGACCCCTGTCTTGACATGCTGACAGTCTTGGCCCGAATTACAGAAGCTATTCATCCGATCATGGTGTTAGGTGAGAGTAACTGAAGAGGCCACTGAACCCGTGAATGCCTCTTCTCACTTTGCTTTTTTATGCTTATGCGCTATACTGATCACTCAGTATTTCGCTTAAGCTGATCACCATACTTGTTCACTTTTTTCCTTCAATATCAATTATAGTACGATTGCTGGTGCTTCCTTTTACTCAATCACCAGCTTATGCAAGCGGCAAAAATTAGCGTAGGAGCTTCTTGGCCTTGATTTAAGTAGCCATGCCGGTAATCACGGCAAAGAAAATAAAGGAGGACCCTGTCTAGACTTTGTGTAGATCAGACAGCAAATCGATGATTGGTCGATCTACACAAGAAAGGGTGAAGGACCTGCAGCCACAAAGAACCTCGTGGGGACCCACCGATTGTTGGCGTACTCAGATCCGCGGATCTCAAAAATGGGGGATGCTGTGAAGATCCGATCATCAAGGCAGCAGTCAATGGTAGCTTTGTAGCTGTGCAATCCAACCCTATAGAGTTTTGGCTTAGGGAGTAGAGCCGATGTTTCTTCCAGCTGCCTGGTCCGTAGAGTTCATATAGTTCATGAGGCTGAGGTGGAGATCCTTCGGCATTGACAGTGTGGCTCGTTTCCCATACTACTAACCTAGACGGGTAGGGGTGTGCTGTGGCGAAGTTGTTGAGGCGTCCACCGGACCCACTTACATTGATCCTCTTTCAGTATTCTCGCTTTCATCTCCGTAGCTCACATGCTCCATTCTAACTTCTCCTTCATAAATGAAGAATTTGTACTGGTCGCATCCCACCACTTCCGTTCCAGACCCTTCGCTTCCATTCTGTGGGTACTGTCTTGGAAACTCCATCCACTCTAAGAGAAAGCATCCATTGGGCCGGGATCCAAATCTGCAGTGATAATCATGTTTTTTTCTACACGAAGACAATAGGCTTGCATATCAGCCGCCTCGCAAGCTCTAATCACCATATAACCCACCTATAGTGAGACGGCACACTCGCCTCTTAGGCTACAGCTTCAACAAGAGAACATGTCGGTAATCTTTTAGATACGAGTGCCGGTGCTGCATATCTAAGATCGAGATCAGGAATCCGCTGTTGTGGACGTAATAGAATGCGATGGAAATCAATAACGGTAAGTTTATGGTCCTTGAGCTCCGCCGGTGAGGTCGATATATGCAAGAAGCCCGATTTGGAGATCCTAGCCTCATTGCCTGGCAGCTAAACGGCAAGGAACGTCTCGTAGGGAATGGAAAAACGGAGTGCTACCTCTTTGCACCGTAGATGGGCTTAGAAAGGAGGAAGGAAAAAGGGGAATCAGTGATTAATTCTCCGAGGTTTAAGGAAGCAGGCTCACATTCCAACTATACTGAAGGGAAGGAGCGGATGGACAGGCCAACAAAAAAGGAAAAATTAATAAATCAGAAAAAAAAATAAATTAAATGTGGATCAGCGAACCAATGGCCTTAAATTCCGGAGGCGCTAGCGTGGTCACCAAATCCCTAATCTTGTTACATATCCCGCGACTGATCTGATCGAACCTACCGAGAATCAATGGGAGGTCCTCTGTTTCAACAGGTCTCATTCCACTTTGCCTTCTGGGCAAGCAAGAAGCCAACTCCATTCGACCAAAGTATGACAAACTTAGATCACGTTTGTTCTCATTGTTGACGCGTAACAGCAAGACAGCAACAGAAAGAAAGACAAAATTCTGAGAAAAGTAAAATAAGAACGTGCGTCAACCCGAAATCAATAGTGAGAGCCCACATTCCGGAAGTGTCCCACACCAACGTCCTGTTTGCAGAATCTTGCAGGTGTTATCAATGCGAACCCTACCAAACCCTAACAACCCCCCAACATACTCTCCCCATACCGTCCGGTGCTTATTTCCCTCTACAGATCGGCGCCATTTGCTCATTGAGATCTATTGACCTCTAGTCTCCTGTGGTGGCAAACTCGCGGAGTTCATTAGAGTAACCATGGTTCCATTTCGCATTGCATGTATATTACTGCCTATTATATGCGGAGCTCTGTCGGGTCAGAGGTATATATGTCATGGAAGCTGGATATCGTCATGATTCAACCAATTTCAACTTTTTCTTCATCGGAGTCATCTCGTTCAGTACAGCGTGAATCGCATGCTCCTTTGTTCTGTTTTATATCACCCTTTGTTGAGTCCCCCATTCACACCTAGATCGGCGCTACATAAAGTGTCATTATCCCCTCTCAATCCCTATCACCACTGCTACGAGAAGAAGTGATAGTCCAATATGGTCCAAAGCGCTGCAAGAGTCAATTCCGGCAGTTCTAGTCGTGAATACGGCATCACATTCGAATGTGCGCCTCCGTTAGCCGTTCGTCCCGGAGTTCCCTTGACCCTACCGGTGATCGTTGCGGTTCGACCTGTCGGCGCTCCCAGAGACAATTCTGTGCAGCAGCTGGTAGTAAATGTGTCGCTACGAAATGAGTCCGGAACCGCGACTTGTCCCGGACTTACCGGCACCTTGACGTCGAGTGTTCGCAGCCGTCATGGAAACACCACGACTGGGTTTGGAAAATTCGGTCGGCTCACCATCGCGCAGCCAGGACGCTATCGACTGCGAGTAATGTTGGGCGCTGCTTCTGCCAACGGAGTGACGACACGAGACTATATTGACTCGGGAGTCATTGAGGTTCATGCTGGTGCTCCGGCAGCTCAGCGGCCAAGTGAGTTGACAACTTCATCATGGCACGATATACTCTTTTAGGAAGATCCCCTAATAGCTAACTGGCTTAAAGCTCCATCACAAGTCGCCAAACTCCAAAGCTTGATCCCAGAGAACATCGACTTGTCGGCAGGCGATATTGCAGCCTGGCAGCAAGCTTGATCCAACCGTCCCCCAACCTCATATTGCATCGAACAAGAGGAGTGATAGGAGTTACTTTCAATTTAGGTCTAGCATTGATATCTTTCCAGGGGCGTTGTTGGGAGCGTGGATACACGGTATTAACGACATAGAGGGGATTTGCTTTAGTATTGCTCCGCGGCAAATAGTCTAGAAGGTAGATATTTCCTACTGTGTGATGATAATTTCACCAATCCTTTAATCTTTTTTTTTTTTTTTTTTTTTTTTTTTTTTTTTTTTTTTTTTTTCTTTTTTTTTTTTTTTTTTTTTTTTTTTTTTTTTTTTTTTTTGGTCGGGTTCCTCAACCCTAGAATTAGTAATTTCCCTTTCATCACTGGACTGCCAAATATGGTTTTGTTTTGACCTACACTGCACTATAACATTAGATTAGGAATATCGCGTCTATCCCGAACAAATGATTGGTCGGGATATCACCCCGAGGAGCGATTTGGGGGAAATTATTTCCGTGGTTGTGTCTATCCTATCCACGCTCTTGATCCAAGCCCTCAGACCCGCAATCCAGCGATTTTACGGAGTAGACCCTAGGCCTGAGCATCACCAACCAGGCTCCACAAAGTCCTACCCGTCACTCGGTGTTATTGCCCCTCATCAGCCCCTCTGCTCCTTTCAACCCAGCATACAACCGATTGGGCCTGAACATGTGAAAATTATAGGATAAGACTTACCAGGTCTTAGCAGGATAGGCGAACAAACGTCTTGCTATCATCATTCCCACCCGCTTCATTTGAATTGGTAGGTTCCTAGTGACAGTCCGCCCACTCACTCTACGCACCATCCTTCAAGTACATCCCATTCGCTCTCAGGAGAATGTCAAGTAGCACCTACCTTTGCACCGCACTATACTCCCCCACCAGGCGTATATGTTCTTTGCTGCACCCGATTGTCAGACTTTGTCCTATCCAGAGCAATATGAACCCTCAATAGCAATCGTAAGGGTCGATAAAGCGGTATAACCTGAGGCTGAGATTTCTCCGTTCCCGGATCTATCCCAACAGATCAGACGAGCATACCTGAACTCCACGATATAATGCAGTGTAGAAGTGCAGACAAGGTGGGAACTTGATACAGAGTTGAGGTAGGAATTGGCTCCGCCTGGGAAGATTCGAAATGTTTCCGAGTCATGCGCAATGAATGACATAATACTATTCTCGATGACCAAGCCGATATAGGAAGGCGATGCGAACAGAAACTAGGATCAATTAAACCTCATTACCTGACTCCTGACAAATTATGCTATTACAGACCCACGCAGCACAAACCCGAACAAATCCGGCGACCTACTTGGATAAGAACCCACTTTCCGTCTCTAGCCACGCCTCAAAGTTCTTCAAACCTGGATGTACCCTTCTTAACGCTGGAATATCGGCTTTATACCCAGAGTCATAAAACCACCGAAACATAACCCCCAATTCCTTGAACGCCCACATCAATAATCGAGCAAGGAACCCATTAGTAAGGGGGCAATCCTCTCCGGTAACCCTCTTGAATATCCTCGCCATTTCATCATATGTGAGCTCATCACCTGCCAGCGATAAAGGCCTATTCTTATACTCGTGCGGGTACAAAAATGCTTGCGCACCAAAGAATCCAATATCCGTGACAGATATCAGCTGGAGTGGCTTCCCGCGGAGAGCGATCTTCCAACTAGTAGCGAACACGGATCCAAGGAAATCAGGCGTAAAGTTATTAAGGAATGCCACGGGACGCAAGATTGTCCATTGCATATCTGCTCCCTTGGATTGGTTGATAAGGTGGTGTTCGATGTTGTGTTTGTGAATGAAGTGGGGGACGGGAGTTGGGTTGTCGATGGACGCATCACCACCACGGTCGACGGACGTATATACGAAGACCTTCACATTGTTGTTGAGGGCTGAGTCGACAAGTGCTTTACCTTGTCTTTCTTCGGAATCCTCCTTGAAGAGGCCTGGGACAGGTGTCTGTGTTTACCAGTGTAAGTAAAATGCTTCGGAATGGCCAAGGTGGGTGAGTTAAATCAGGCCATACCTGTACGCTGAACACACCCCAGATAGGCTGCGTAGTGACTTTCTGGGCTTGTCTGAAGATATCCTCTGGGTGATCTAGATTCCCTTCCACCAGTTTGATATTCGAGGACTTCTTGAGTAGCTTTTGAGCACCGTTTGACTGGGCATCTCGGGTGACCGCAAGAATCTCGAAGTCCGCGTCCTGGTTTATGAGGTTATCGATCACACTGCCGCCTTGTTTCCCGGTGGCACCGGTGATTAGAAGCGTTCTCGACATTTCTTCGACTGATGATACGAAACTAGGACCGCAAGATAATATGAGTTGTAGTCAAGATGAGAAGGGAGATCAAGAACACGCGAGGCTTTTATAATAGGCTATTTTCCAAAATTTCATATTCCATCCGTGGTACTCATATTCGCCCCCTATTTCATATTCCCTGTATAAATGTCTCCCATTGTGAATCTTTCTGCGAGTGGCCAACGATACAACCTACGACCATATCGCCCATTGGTAATCGGCTCCACTCTCGGCGTTGATCTCAACCCCGACGCTAAAGTGCACGATGAGATTATCCAAGCTTCGGGCCTTAAACTATGAATATCTCGGTAAGCTTCAGAAAAGCTACGCATCCGCCGCCGAGTAGTATTTCTGGGTCCATAGCTGAGTATTAATTAAGTACGCCAAGGTTTGCATACAGACATGGACCTCACCCTGGAGGCACCGATCGGTATCCAGTCTCCGAGGTAGCACTTCGAGGGGTAGATGAAATCAGAAAACTTGGGTTCTGAATTATCATATCTCATTATCGTTAACTTTTTTAATAGTTTAACTAGATCAATCTTGTCGCCATATTTCCGGTAAAAATCAGCGATGTGTTTAACATTTTTGGTTCATTAACGAGCGGAACTCTGAATCTCTAATCACTGTAATGTACCTACATATCAGAACCAATACACAAGTTCCGTCTCATTAATCGAGATATGACGCTTTATGTAGTAATAGACAAATTAAGGATACGGCACAGACGATAGTGGTGAAAGTATCTACAAGGCCAATACACAATGCTACATATAGTCCTAGAAGGATAATGATTGATGACGTCATAGTCACTGGAGGGTTCTCACGCCAAGCCTTTTGCATTCAATCCCCAAACTCAATGTCGATGAATATCGAACCTCCTTGAACTACTACGAATCATAACAATATTCCATCCCAATGCGACACATTAACTCAATATAGCTATGAGGCACCTTCCAGAGTGCAACAACCCTCTGACTACGTACGAAGACTATGCCAAACTATCCCCAGGAGGTCAGCAAACGGAGCTGCAACAATTGTCGCCAACGGAAGGTCCGATGCGATAGGAAATACCCCTGTGAAGCATGTTCAAGGTCGGGAAAAGAATGTGCATATCCGGGACCAAAGCGAGCGTCCCGGAAATTGAATAGACCTCCGGTTTCCGAATTAATGGCTCGCTTGAAACAGCTGGAAGATGCTGAGAGGCTTCGATCCATGCACCCTGCAGACAAGGATGAGCCTGGGTCTAATATAGAACGACGCGGTTCATCAAGAATTAATCCTGAGAGACCAGATCAGAGTGGTCGGTTGGTAGTCAAAGATGGGAGGAGTCGGTATGTCGATGATGGTGCTTCCGTTCTCTTTGGTGATAAGGTGGGGAAGTTGGTACCATTACAATGATTCATAGTTCGTAGATTGCTGATAATGTACAGATCCAAGAGCTGCGAGACGTTCTTGAAAGTTTATCATCCGAAGAGGATATGAAGACGGAAGAGATTTTGGGCCCATTTGGTCTTCCGCACGGAGGTCTTGTTGGAGATTCTAACCGGACCAAAACGAATTCTAAAGGATTCTATCCTCATTCCACCCAGCTAGACATGTTGTGGCGTATCTACCAAAGTCGCGTTCACCCGTTGATTGCCGTCTTGCACGTACCGTCAGTGGAGCGAATGGTTCGTGACGCAGCGGATGGCATCGCTTTAGAGCCGTGCAGTAGATCTCTGATACTATCTGTCTGTTTTGCTGCCGTCGCCAGCATGACACCTGAACAGTGTGTATCAATGCTTGGGAAAACACATGATATGGCCATCGAGGAGTTGAGTGTGGCTGTGAACCGGGCCTTGAAACAGGCCAACTTTATAAAATCCAAAGATATCCCTGCTCTTCAAGCAGCAGTGCTGTTTCTTCTGTGCTTCCGCGTAGTAGGCGACACAAGGGTTGTATGGGCGGAAGCCGCCGTGGTTGTGCGTGTCGCCCAGGGCCAGGGTATTCATCGCGATGGTACAGGATTCAACCTAAGCCCCTTCGAAACAGAGATCCGTCGTCGTCTGTGGTGGCATATATGTATTCTGGACATGCTCGCCTCAGAGGACCAAGGAACAGACACCCAAATAAAGCCAGACACGTTTGATACCCGTCTCCCCTCCAACGTGGATGGCCATGATTTAATTCCAGAGATGACAGAGCTTCCACCCGAAAACACGGGGTACACAGACATTACTCTCTGCATTATCAATTGCGAAATTGCCACCAGCGTCTCCCAACTAGGCCCTCTCTTCGGTCAAAATTCAAATATATCAATTTGTGATCGAGAGGCCCATGTCAAAGCTCTAGCAAGTCGTCTTCAAGACCGGTACATGGACCATTTCGACCTCGGAGTTCCCATACAGTGGATGGTCGCGACAATCGGCAGGCTCATGCTTTTGAAAGTATGGTTGGGAATCCATATCCAAAAGACATCAGGAAGCGCCAACGAGTCAGTTTCCGCGCGACATTTAGCCGACCCTATCTTCAAAACCGCTGTCGAGATCACCGAGTTTGCTTATTTTTTCCAAGAAAACGAGACTACTGCAAACTTTGCCTGGTTGGCTCGCAGTTACAAGCAATGGCACGCCTTAGCTTACGTTCTCTCGGAACTCTGCGTCCGGGATATCAGCCCGGAAACTGACCATGCCTGGAACGTGGTAGACAAGATGTACAGAAAATGTGTTAAAGAAGCGCCTGAGACAGACTCCATGTTCCAAAAGCCTCTGACACGGCTGATGGAACGCGCCACTACGTCTAGGGCTGAAAAACTGGGGATATCTCGCGAGCTACTGGAAAATGGGCCCCCGGGGGCTCTGGAATCAAGTATCGGAGGTATAAACTGTGAAAGCAAACAGATCCTGTTCCCTCCTATGCCAGACATTCGCAATCCATACCATAATCTTATCGGCGACGAGCCTATCGAACCAATTCATTTCGACAATATTGGTCTTATCCAAGGCATTTCTGCCTCCGAAACAGCTGGCTATCTTCACCCTAATGTAGATTGGCTTTTTGAGCCCTTGATATGAAAAGTTGGTTGAATAGACTGCTATTTTCCCCCACATCTGCCGGTCATGAGATGTTGAAACAGTGGATTACCCGCATGCTTCTACCAGACTCATAAACAATCGCCCACGATGCTATGGAGCCATAATCTTTGATCTCAGTCTAGGTGAACCTGGCGACATCCGCTTTTCTATATAGCTATTGGACATTGTTTCGGGTCAACGAAGTTATTATAACATTGAGATGTTCATATCTTTTCTTCTTTCAAACGCTTTCCACCAATCAGAGACCAGGTGTGTCCCCGATTTTGCATATTCCTTCTCGGCTAACTCTTGCTTCACCTACTTTGGCCACTTCAGCATCCATGCCGAGAAATATCTTCTATACTTTGATCAAATCACGATTAAATTCCTCCGGGGTGGGAAGGTTCAAAATATATTGCAAAGGCAAACTACCTACCCATGTGTAAAGGTTATCTCTTTTCTATTGTCAATGTTAAACATGCGATCAAACCGACGACATGACATTTTCACGTACGCCGAGTTTGATGTACAAGCCCTTTGTCGATTGGCGAGCACAATGCGGCAAGGTAGTACATGTCGATGTGATATGAACCAAGTACCAGTGGAAGATTCAACTGGGCCATCTACATTGCGTTTGATGATGGAATCGAATCCATATTACGATTCCCACACACCCCGTTTATGGCTCTGTCAGAAGAAATTACCTCGAAGCTACTGGAAAGTGCAGCAGCTACGCCCAATTAAGTGAGGAGGAACAGTAATATTGCAGTCTCCCATGTGCATTCTTACTCTTAACTTCCATTATAGGTCCCAGCAATGCGTCATTCGGAACCTAATACAATGGGTTTCTTGCCTCCTGCACGAGCACGACAGTAAAAAACGTTGTTCCACACTTGGTAATATGCCTTTTTGCGAGAGCCCTTGATAGGTACCTCCAGGCTGTGCCCCATTCGTCTTGTAGTAATAAGTACAGACTAGAACTCCAGACGGAGATATTTATCAAAGACTGGGGGCTTTGGCGTACCAGGACACACTACCGGTGTGAATCAATCTAGATATCCCGTGGTCAAGCGATGAGCTTTTAATGATAGTGGCTCATCATATCCGTAGCATTCATAAAAATCAAGAAGAAAAAAAAAAAAAAAAAAAAAAAAAAAAAAAAAAAAAAAAAAAAAAAAAAAAAAAAAAAAAAAAGGAAGAAAGCAAGAAACAAGATCGGAGAGAATTAGAAATAATAATAATAATATCAATACCCTCAGGTCCCTCTCCAATATAAGCCAGATGGGGAGCCATGTGGGGCACTTTACTCTTACCCCTCCTGTATCAAAGCCGTCTAAGTTTCTGAGATGCATTTACCCAGCGGCTTACAACTATGAATTAACGGAAAAACACGTTTCCAACTGTCTGCTTTATTGAACAAGAAATTAGAAAGGCTGCCTACCATGCCAGATCCCAAGATCGAACTGCCCGCCACGGATGCATACGTTGATATCCAACTCCTTAATGGAGGAAGCATGACGGCCAGAACCCACATGCTCCATGCGGGGGAGGAGCCAACAAAAGAGTTTCGGCTGTATAACTGGGCGTTTTTCATCCAACACGCCAAACAAGGGCGGCGCATGCTCTGGGATCTGGGAATGTCATCGGTGTGTCTCTCTACGCTGTAAAGCTCGGTTCCCACCTAGAAATATAAGTATTCACGCATCAAAGGCGCCGGAAGATTTCCCACCAGCTATAGTAAATGGGCCATTGAAGGAAATCCAGCCTCAGGACCCGCGCGAGTCAATCCAAAAGCAAATCGAGCGTCGCAATGGGATTTCGGCTGATGAAATCGACACCATCTTGCTCAGGTTTGAAACCGATAAATGCCCCTTGGCGATTTGGATGCACCCTTCTTATGTATACTACATAGTCACGCACATTATGACCACTGTCGACCAGTAAGACGGGATTTTAAGAATGCGACTGTTCTTTTTGGCCCTGGCACATCTGAATACTGTGCCCCCGGTCACTTCATGAACTCGTCCTCTCCGTGGGATGGAAGATACTTCGATCCAGGACGAGTGACAGAACGGTGGGAAACATTACAAGGGCCGTGGACGCATTTCGGACCGTTTGAACGCGCGATGAACTTTTTTGGAGACGGGAGCTTCTGGGTCATCCAGGCTCCGGGCCATATGCCAGGTAATCTGGCTGCTTGTGCTAGGCTCGCAACAGGAGAGTGGGTTATGTTGGCTTCTGATTGCTGTCATTCACGGTACACAGCTCCTTGTCTTATTGACGAGTTGAACTAACCATATCACAGGGCACTTCTCGATGGTACTAAGGAATTCGGGACCTTCGAGCTCGGAGGGAGTATGGCTTGTCTCCATACAGATGTCACTGCAGCAAAGGACACACTGGCACGGATTAGATTGATGGAAAAAGAGCTGGGGGTCCACGTTGCCTTGGCTCATGATGCTACCTGGATGCAGGAGGAGAATGATCCGGTTTTATTATCTCTCCTGGATGAGAAATTCTTAAACGATATGCGTGCCGCCTTTCCACAGCAACAGCCTTTCTAGCGGGGCTTTGCTGATACATATGGAGTTGTTTTCAGGTATGCGACTCGGGCGTGTGATTGGAATCGCACTCATGTGACTGAAGCTCTAAGCGAGATTGACTACTTATCACCAACTCATTATTTCTGCTTTATGCAATGCGGGATGGGATACAGTGCATATCACGTTGCTTGATTACTAGTTTAATTGCCTGAAATGATAACCAATTTACATGTTATTCTCCAACCCGCTGGAGACACCAAATTCAGTATATGGCCCCTTTTTGTAGACTTCCCATCCCTCGAGCCATTTAACACAATCATAGGAATGGTTAATGGATGCAGCACAGATGAGCATTGCAATGTGATGGTTCTACAAATCCGACAGAATCAAAGGACTCTGCAGCTTTCAAGGCCATTGTTCATGAAAGGCTAACCTATGAAGTGGTAAGTGACCTTTAAGTAGGTATCTTGATAGAGGCCTCAGCGGGGCACATTGACCATGTACATATGTATCGGGGCCATCTCCTGCGATGTCCTAACTGTAGAAACGTAATGGATGGAAGTCAAGCAAAACAAAGGGACATATGTATTGTATTATAGGGAAAGTGTTAACAGCTGCGGTTAAGTACACAGAAGGTTACGTTCACTAAGAGTATTCTGCACGCAATCCTTGCTTGATAATGCTAACTGATTGACTACGGGTAGACCCAAGAAAATGACGTAGGGTTAGGGAAGGATAACAAGATCACAAGCCCTCTTAAAGCAGTCCACTTCGTCTTCTAGCTCAATGAACCGCATCAAACTGCTTACGTTAGGTAGGAATAGTATGCTAGGATACATCCATGCGTTGTTGCTTCTGCTTGGTATTGGTCCCAACCAATGCCTGCTTCGTTAGCATAAAGGTGGATAGCCATATTTGTTTACTATTTGGGATCACACGTAAATAATCGAAGTACACTTGAATGTGGAAGTAAGAGGTATTCGATCTATTAGTAATTTGCGCAGATATATGGAACTACTTCCTCCAGTCTATCAGGGAAGACCCATCATCTTCACTGTCCCGAAAGAGAATTTCATCCGCCATCTCTTTGACAACATCCCAACAGATAGGGAAATCTTTGAGCTTGGTCTGAATACCGGGCAGCTTGGAATACTCTCGATAGCCAGAAGGAAATTCAAAATCATCTTTGACTGGATCACGAGGCGACTGGAACTCTTTACATTTTCGCAGTCGTGCTTTGTCCCAGAAGACGTAGCCTCGATTCCTCAGCTCATGGTTAGCTGGGAGATCGATATCCCATCTCCATCTCGTCTTCTCATTCCCGACAGCCCATAGCCAACCGAAATTGCAATGATCAAGACATTCGTCGTCAGAATTGTCCCCCGTGGGGTGCTTTTTACAGTGTTCTTCTTCCTCCCCTTCTCCTTCAACCTGAGATTTAGACTCGTTTAGTCTAACCAATATAGATATTTTACCCCTAGCTTCGGGACTCGAGTTTATAACCATCCTTCTCACAATTGGAAATGGTGCGCTACTCAGCTTCCGCACGGCTAGCATTCCTCGCGAGACCAGATAGTCTATATGCCATGACCGCTGACTTTTCTTAAAGGATTCGTCATACCACCGCAGGCAAAACCAATCCAGCATACCATCCACAGGGTCTTTCTGCTCCTTAGTGAAATCGGCGCGCGCAGCCATTTTCTCCTTCGCCATTGTCACAAAGTCTTCCTCGATCCTATCGCTAAGCTCTTCCAAAAGGCCTTTATAGAACTGAGCTACGCAGGACATTTCTTCAATTTCCCAGGGATAAAGCATTGCTGCAAACCTTGGTCCTGGGTCACTTGAAGGGATCTGATCGAGAGGACCACCACCAGAAATCTGGGATATCTGGAACAGGCATGTATAAATCTCCCATCGAAAAAAAGCCCGCTGCAGACGGGCCTGCTCAGTAAAGGATAACAGCACATTGGAGGCAGATGAAGATGGTTGTAAGTCTGAAAGTGCCCTGGTGCTGTAGGAAACCAAGAAGTGTTCGAACCCACTGTAGAATTTCCATATATCCAGTAAAAGCGCGCGATCAGTGATCAACTCGTGCAGTCGTTCGCCTTTTCCTGACTTGAGCACCTCAAGGATAGTTGTGGACTCTTGATTTAAGCTATCGAAAAGCTCTGCATGCTTGTTGCGTCGATATCCACCACGCCGTTCATTATCTTCAGGGACCGACTTCCAGATTCTCTGTGCACGGTACGCCAAGACAAAGTCTAATTCAACTTCCGGTGGTATAGCATATAGTAAGATTGTGGAAATAATAGATTGCTTATATGCTGAAAAAACCCGATAAAATTGCGGTGAGGTTTTGACTATCGCGTCAAGATCTCTTGAGGAACTTAGTGACTGGAGGATATTCACCAGCAATTCAGGTGACAACGATGATAAACTTGAAGGCATTCAGGGGGTATAGTGACCAATTGCCAAAGAAAATTAATTTGAAATGACTAGGGACACTTATCTTAACTGCAGTTGTACAGTGAGGAAGAAGGCATTCAAAACAACCTGCCGTGGGGTTTGGAGCTGGACTAGATGTCACATGATTTGAACGTCCTGATGGGGCTGGGAGTTAGTTTATTGAAACATCAACCTAATGAGCTATTATATATGCTAACCAGTGAGTAGTTGCTGTCAGGCTATTTTAAGGCCGGTGCCTGTGTGTTGATCGAATCAATATCTCAGGTCACTCCTTGGATTAAACCTGACGCTTGTATCCAGATCATGGTTCCTTATGCTTCTTAAAAGTACAGCTGAGATAATACTACATTCAATAAGCGCATTTGGCATCCCAGCTACGCTCTTCAGTCTCCCAGACTAGCAGAGAAGGCTCATGAACCTCAAGGCCATTTGATAGAGTGGCTTTATGCTAGATTCATAGCGGCCTTCGTCTATCTACCCGTGGAAGATGAAACAGGTCCGGGTATCAGGGCTGTCGCCTACATAAAGTCTAAGTTGCATGCGAATGATTCTCGTTGCATTGTATGTTGTACTAGTTTGCAGATCCATAGGCTCGAGCCTCCTACCACTAGGCTAGACTGGATTTTCCAAGGTCAACCTAGTCATTCCAGGCATCGTGAAACCAACACCCTCTTACGCTTTGCTTTGAGTCTCTTTCTCGCTGTCTTCGGTATCAGATTACCCCTTTCTCCCATTTTCCTGCCCTTACTGTTACCCTTCCTATTACTCTTTCCATTACTTTTTCTACTTCTAATTTCAATATAGAAGAATTCATTGCGCCAACCAAATACTAACAAATCCAGTCAACAAAACTGCAGTTTAGTACTCTATTAGCGCTGATCAACTCTTCATTAATAGGTACAGTAAGCAAAATGCTAGATGCAACAACAAAATACACTATGCTGTAGGGACAGCCGTATTATTTCTCCTTCACATAACTCATCGTAAACCACAGCCCAGTCATAAATGTCTTGTATTGAAGTTCTCTGAAGACAAAATGTTTTGGATATAATTAACACAAATCATTGGAAATGCACTACTTCATAGTATCGTATATTATTACATACGATAGAAAACCACAATTATCGTAGTTCTGCTGGTCAGGCCTTTTATAGGTCGCGGATATCGGTGGTCTAGGGAAATACTAATAGCAATATTCGTGACATAGTCGCGACATTCTCTACCATTCATCTATATGAGTACTGGTAGGACGTAGCAACTATACATAGCTGGAAACTATACTCAGTGAGACCATAAAGCGGTTAATCACCTTATCGCTTTCGCGCTATTGCATGTGAAAACGGTGTCTCCGGTTGACGCTCTTTTTTTATTTGCGAATCACACTTTGGTTGTACATGCAGCGCCATAAGACGTCTATTGACCAGCTGACGTTGGACTTCCAAACATTGCAGCCTCAGTAGCTGAACCCCACACCATCCAACCAACAGCGACCACTTGGGAAATAGTTCAACGAAGAGGACCCCTTCCATGATTATCCGAGTGGTGATAAGGATGGAATCTACAGAAATGGTTTAAACATTGTCAGCCGGCGGTTAAGCGTGGTGACCAGTACGACTCCTCTCTCAACTCTACGACTGATTCATCGCAGCGTCATCCCCGATAGCTGTCTTTGGTATGTGGTACGGAAATGATGATCCATGGCTACAGCTTTTCGGTCTCTATCTCTCATTCTTTAGGTTACGTTGATCTCTTTTTTATGTATTTAATTTTTATTATTTTATTTTATTTTATTTTTTTTTTCGGGCGGTTACTTGTGCATGATAGACATACACCTTAGGGACCAGGAGTAATTTAGAAGAAGTTGGGGCTACATCATGAAGCCTTAACGGCATGCTTTATTATCTCACTAGGTTGCCTGTCCATAGCGGGTGGCTCGATAATCTTCAATTGAACTACCTCCAGTGTACATGTATCGTTATTTAACTCATCAGACAGACATTACTGGAAGACAAACTCCCCGTTTCCATTGAAGACCCGCTCAGAAAGGTTGACATTGCTTTCAACAGGCTCTCCCTCTCCATTGAACAAGAGTGCGCGTAGAACTGGCACTTCGTCATCCCCTTCGATCTCGAATCTGACATCTTCAGCCGACGCGGAGAAGTTCTCGCCGTCCCATTCGAAATGTCCTAAAGAAAGCTGGTGTCAGAATGGCTGGGCTAGGTTGGACATTTGTGAGTCACCCACCATCGCTGTTTCCGAGGAAATCATCAAGGTTGATTTCGGAGTCCTGGAGCTCGCCCTCTTCGTTTCTGAGTCTCGCGAAGAGAATGTGGCCATCCCTGATCTCGATATCCTCCGCACTCTCGTGGAAGCTCATAGTGAATAAAAGGAGAATAAATGACTTTGAGAGAAGATATGAAGGAGTGAAGACGAGTGACTGTTGCTTGAAGGGGCAAAGGCGAAGAAGTTGCCTGAGAAGATGGTTAGAAAACCGATCGAGGAGGTCAACAGGCTGGTTTTATATCCCCTCGACTGTTAACAGCGGGGTATACCCCACGTTGCGCCTTCACAAGGATTCATGATCTCCGACACATGGCCTTTGGTCATTAGCCCAGTATTCCCGTATGGCTATAGGCAGTGGAGAGGGGAAGGCACACACCGCGGAACACGGCGACTCCATCAAGGAATGGCGTTTCAATCCGGACCGGCAGATGGTTTTCGGGCCTCTAGGCAACAGCCATAGCGGAGAGACCTGGTATTTCTTGCCGAATAAAATCAACACGGGCGCTTGTGGTAGGTGAGAATCTCCACCTCGGCGTGGTTGTAACGGTATATAGGCCCTTGGCAGACAGGTCAACAGTGGACCCTGGAGGGGAAAGGCTCCATCGGCGGGCGGGGTACGCCCCGTAGGGAGAAGCTGTCAATAATCAACATGTCGGTAGGTCGGGAGTTGAGACTAGGCAGAGATGTTCATATTAGTCCATGGTATTATAGGGTCATTCTGCCGGATCTCTGGGAGGTTAGATGATTGAAGCGTGAATTCAACTGCATAACATCTAAGCCACCTGGGTCCACATTGGTCCGTACGATGAAGGACGCCAAGTACTAACGCCAAGCTGATTGCTGCAAGTGGCGTAGGGCTGACGTGATTTCGCAGCTCATGTGCTGCATCTCATTCCAGCTGCGTGACACTGTGTCTGTTGTTGCGTTTGTTGTGGCTTATAGACACTTGCTTTTCGAACTGAGGTCTGCTAATGCCAAAACCTAACTGGGTGCCAACTTGCGACCAGCCACTGGCCCTTCAAAGACCAATTTTCTTTTCTTTTCTTTTTTTTTTCCTTTATCATAAGTCAATTTTCACGGTCAGATTGTATATGCGCTTTGACCGGCTTTGTGAATTTATCCAGAACACGAAGTCGCGAAATCGACGGCGATTTATTTAAATATTTTTACTAATTACTTTTCCCCTTCTATTTAAATAGACTACTATCGCGCATTGATATGTTCTCGTACTGTATCTTGTTCAAATTACTGACCTCCAGATATTCGCATGGAATTAGAGGGAGGAGAAATTGTGGGGCATCTCCATTTAATCCGTCAAAACTTAAAGATAAATTATCATGTGAGAAATCCACTGGTCTATAACTGAAGTTATTATGGCTGACCTTTACCTGGACTGACTGCGGTCAATGTTGTGGTACAGGGACGGCCCAAAGTCCAATATGATAATTGTAAAAGAGGCTGGATAGTTATATATGATACTAGATTGTCAAGCTTATGGCCATACCCATTCAGTAGGAGACGAGAGGGACGGTTCGAAAGTTTCTGATAAAAGTAATGGCTAAGCCACTTAAAATGAACGCTCCATTGAGCTCGGCGCGCTCGGAATGGCGGGTGTATCACTTGTTATCTGGAATATAATTATGTTTTCTACTGACCAAAATCAATGCACCTAAGTGTGGTAACTAGATCAAGTCTCTTGTATTGTCTGCATATTACTCTTAAGATGTATCGGCTGTCACCCTTGGCTGGGCTGAGCGCATAGTAGGAGGCCTGAATTCAACAGTGGGGTAATGCTGTGATTCGTTTCATTCCATTATGTACCTTACCAGCGAACAGCTTGTCCTGTAGAAGCTCTGCTGCTGACGGTCTCCCTTGGATCAAGCTTCATTATTCTTAGAATGAACTCCTTGTCCTCCTTAGATATCTCCTATTCTGAAGCCCTTGAGAACGGTTTCCTTTTCGGGAGAAATGGTTTTCATGATGTATACCAGGATATTTAATGCCTCCGGAGGGCAGATTTTATGTTATGTCAAAGGAAATGGTCCAAAGCACTGGTACTGTCTCTGTAGAGTCTGTAATTTATAGTCATCATAATCCGCGGGAATATCCGGCTTGAAAAGGAAGAAATTGTCTTTATAGAGCAAGGTTATGAGCTGTAGTAGGATCAGAGCGGCTCAGCGGCATTGAGAGATCGATATGAATGTACCAAGGCGCGAAAAGACCATATGTCTGTTTGTGTACCCCAGCAAAATCGGAGTTGCGCTTCAGGACTCCTCCAGATAGGTGTTCCAATCAAGTCACCATCTCTGGCATACGCTGAATCCGCAGGAACTGTATTTCCACAGTCTGCAAATTGAACATCTCTAAACCGTACACCGCCTTGACCATAGTTTACAAGAATGTTGTCGGGCTTGAGATCTTTAAACTAAATAAGAGAGCGTGCTTAATCCAGGTATTCATCATTACTTCCCTATATATACAAAATTATTGTCATGTAGAACTTTTAGGGTTTCTAAAATATTTCTAGCAGCGTATTTAATCTGTGGATTTGTGAGTCGCTTAGAAATAGAGGCATTCAGAAGATTATCATCTACATATTCCAAAACTATGGCGGGTGGGTCTGACGGCTCGACTATCTCGTCGATTGAGGGGCGTATGAAGGGGGTGCGAGATTGGAAGAGGCTCAGAATATCACGCTCATTCTGAAGGCGAAAATAAGTGATACTTTTCAGAATCACTGGTTGATTGCTTCTGATTTTATTAAAAGAACTATTATAAGCTGAATCTTTCCTTAGGTTTGCAGTAGCTGCCTCCCTTGCGAGCCAAACCGTCTCTGCAATTGTTTGCCAATAGTGTATATGACATTCTGACCGCGAAGGCATTGGCCTAACCGGAGGGAAGAAGCCATGGCTGGTTGTATGTCATCTGAATATGATCCTTTTAGCCATCAATACACACGATCTTCTATCATCACGTCTAGAGTGAAGGGAAGGACGCAATTATAAGTGCCAGGTTTAGTGGTGTTATGGTGCGCCAACCTCAGGCAGCAAAGCTCGGCTTTAGGCACCAACGCTTTCTTTAGGCTTGACACACCACGCGTTGATCTATCATTTACCCCCACCATCAATCACCAACATGTCAAAAGATCCACTCTACAAAGGTCTAGGGGATGTTTTAGGAGGAATCCCTTTGGATTCCATCCAGCCAAGAGATGGAGTTTGCACGAAGGTCAATCTGACAACGTTAACATCATACAATCTGCTTCCAAAACAGCAAAAAACAATTATCGTTCCTGGTGAGTAGGTCAATCCGATGTGGATACAGATGCTCATCATGTCAGGCTCACCCTCCATATGGAGGCCACCAAATACACCAAGAAAGGTGAAGGCAGATGCAGGGAGATATCAAATGGACCCTAATCGATATGTGTTCCCCAAATGTTCTCTTGAACCACTCTTCAGAGCGTTATCGCTCACGCAGCCAACCGTGAAACTTAACGACATCGATCTTGTGACGGATCGACGCAACCTCCGTCTTTTGTTGGGTTTCGTGAGTGGTAAGAAAGGTTCATTCCGCATTGATGTAGAGGTTGTCAATAGCACAGTATTGTTCTCTTGTTGGACCCCAAGAGCAACTAGCTATGTCAAGGGATTTCACGGTTATGGGCATGAATTTGAAAAGGCATCCACCCGCCAACCAAAGGCGGTTAGGAATAGCTTGACACATAATCGGATCATTCGTTACGTGTTCGGGGATGTTAAAATTATTATGCGATACGAAGTCGACGGTTGCACCGGCTCTGACAAAGACATTCGCATGACGATGCCTGCATCAGAAGTCCAAAAGACTCCAACTGGCTATACGGTATTGAAATGCGGAAAGTTGGTCGCCCCGTCTCGGATTATCGAAATAAAAACTGGAGCAGTTGAGAAAAACCTGGATATCTCCAAGAATATTGAACAACTTTGGTTTTCCCAAACACCCTTTTTTTGTGCTGGCCATTATGATGGGGTTGGGAATTTTACGAGCATTACGAAAAAGGACTACTTAAAGTTGGGAAAACTTCAGAATTGGGAGAAGAACCATCAAGAACAGTTGAAGAAGCTTGCAACATTGCTTCGAGTCATTATTGAGTTGGCTAAGGCAGCGGCTTGGAAGAAATTCGCCTTGGTTTCATCAGAAGGCACATTGAAAGTTTTTGGGTTGACAAATCAGAATGATAAAGGACTGCCTGTTGACTTGCACACTATGTGGGAGTATGCTGGGAGTACAGCCAGCGATTCTGGATGAAGTATTTTCTGTCAGATGGTCTTTCAATCTTTGTTCCAAGCCAGTCTGATATACATTATGCAGCTCCCTCATATGTCTTCCTGAAAGTGCTGTGAGGCTGGGATATCATGGCAGCCTCTTCCTTCTATTTTATATTATTTCCCTCATTCTTTTGAGATTTTTTTTTTTTTTTTTTTTTTTTTTTTTTTTTTTTTTTTTTTGCGTTGGCAGGGTAAACATGGGACTTTTATACTCGCTCTACGTAACAACCGAATCAAATGAGCTACTTCTGGCCTCAGGTACCACAAGGTTCGGTGATACTCGACTATAATTTGACAGTAATATCTCGGCATTATATTCAAGGACATATCTTATCACTCATCGATGTACATGCCAAATGCCCATATGGGTTACTACAACTCTTCTCGTTACGATAAGCGATAACCCATGACACATGAGCGCAAAGGACATTAGTACATGAAATTTACCATACTGACCAATATACAGTGTTGAATCTACGCAAGCGCCAGTTTATTATGAATTACGTGAGGAGGACAGTTATTTCCGTCAATCGTATATTATATGGTTATAAGTCAGTAGCCGAGATGGCCAAGCAAAATATAAGACCCATTTCGGTCTATCAACAAAAGAGAAAATATCGACAACTTGACTCGCAAGTCGCAGAAAAATCATAACATAACTCATAAACAAAGCATCTCTCGGTACAACCGAGCAAGTGAAGAAAACAAATGAATCATCCACCAGATGCTTACATAGCCGGACAAAGACCCACTCATTCACTGAAAGCCGCCGAAACCGACCCTGGCGAAAGACAGGTAGGTGATGCAAGGTATTCCCATAACGGTGAACACAATTCCTCCACAAGAAGCCGAAGACAGTCCAAGAGCTAGGTGACAATATAGTCTACCCCTGAGGGGTTAAGACCATTTCCTCCGATCGATACCAGTGGTCTAATCTGATCTAATCTCACTCGGAAGTGGAAGAGGTAATCCGAGACCGACATACGTCGGTAGAGTAGCCCGTAGCCACAGCCATAATCCTCAGATAATGACAGTCATGGTTAAAATAACCATATATACCAGACTTGAATAGCGGTATAGAGGAAAAGGAAGTTGAGAGAACAATCCGTTAAAAACGACGGATCCACTTCTTCATTCATCTTTTGTCATCACGCTGGCGCAGGCGGTCAACACCGCCGCGGACGGTGTCGCGGAGACTGAATCCTCCAAACAACCAGTCGTTCGAGTGACGGCCGTAGTGGTTCACGGTTCCGCTGTAGCGGCGGTAGTCGTCACTGGATTTGCGGGAGTGGTAGGAATCAGATCTGCGCTTGGTGAAGTGGGTCTCCTTGATGGATGATGGGGAGGCGGGAGGAGACATTTGGGTGGGGCTTTCAGAGCGACGAGGAACGCTGATGCGAGCCATTTTGTCGCGCTTGAGGATGTAAGTGCTCTCTGAGTCAGAGCGACGCGTGCGTGTGGTGGTTGGGATGTCGCTGGGAGCGGGGGATTTGGACCGAGAGCGAGAGCGGGAAGCGAAGAGTCTTCCTGCTGTTACGGAGAGTCGGTTGGATTTTGTTTGAGACTGAGTTGAAGTGGTAGGCCTTTCTGGAAGGCTGGAGGAAGAGTTGGATGAGGTAGTGGTTGTATGGGTGAGAGAATGCTCAATGCTTGTCCGCTGAGGTTGCTGGATGTCTACTTGTGGGGCAGTAGTGTTCTGATCTTTCATCGCTTGAAGCAAGAGAAATTGGGAAGCTTGGTACTATTAAGATAATTATCTAAGAAGCAGAGATAATTGTTGCTGACTAGAGAACGAAATCCCCGAGAAGCACGGGGTCCCGAGGGGTTATTTATGTTTCTCGTCGGCCTCCCCGAGCGGATTCTCCTGACGACAGTTTATCATTTAGCTCATACCCCTCTTCGGCCTATCGAGATGGGAGACTGTCAAATTGGCACGCGGCCCCCTGTCGGAGGTGACCGTGCCGGCGAATGGGAGGATGCCAACACGGCATCCGGGCCCATCGATAGGGCTTTAGCGTGGATTCTTGTTTCTCGTTTTGACTCAAGTCGGTGAGGGTCCTGGGGAGACCCACTCCTCTGCCCTACGAGGCACCCGACCTAACCAATCATCAGCTGCAATAGACCCGCGCAACCCATCAAGAGGCTCGAATTCACCGCTTCTGCCTGGAAAAGTCACCACTTCCCTTAGTCACTCCCCAACTTCGTACAATGGAAATGATTCTGCCTGACCATGCTGGTTTCCATCTCATCCCGAATACGAACTGTCGTGGTTCAACATAATCTGTCACCATCGGTCGGGCGGCGGTCTTTTTTTTTTTTTTTTTTCCTTCTGAGAATGTGGACAGAAGACAAGTCAGAAAAAAAAGGAAGATAGCTAACCCCTCACTTGGACAAAACAACACACATGTTCAGCTGATGCATTCCGGGCTAAGACAACGCCCGGCCCAGAACTAGTTTCTAGCGTATTTCGAGAAGAAGACGCAAAACCAAGTCATTCTTTCTTGGCCCCCACTCGTACGAAGTACTAAATTTGACAACCACATTCTGACTGGCTACTGCGTCAACAAGATGATGACAGGAAACTGCTACATGGTCTGTTTTGAGGGCTGAAAACTGACCAGGATCCACGGTCGGCGTCCCATTACGGCTGACTACTTACTTCCGCGGAATGAGTCTGTGGAAACTTGGTAACATTGCTGCTAATTTTGATCTCAAACATACCGTCCCGCGGAGATAGCGATCCATCAGACCCAGACGCGCTTCGAACTTCTCACAAATAAATCGACCAATGCAACCTTGACTTGTGCATTCCGCCCGGATATCGGAACATTCTTCGCTCCACTTGAGGCTCTATCTTTGCCCAATGACATCATGATTGGCGCGCCCCGTTTGCCAAGAGAGTCAGTCCGGCACGCTCGTTCCGTGCTGGTCCGAATGGTCGGACTTGTTCTCCTCTCCTGTACGGAGTTAGTCGGGGTGCTTGGTCGATGGTGATAGGTTCGGTGGTAGGGCAATAATACTACGGGTGCCCTAAGGGAGTATGTATGTCAAAGCCGGGGATTACTGGGGTAAAGTATGGTCCGACAGGTTCACTATAGTATTCTGATTTAAATGAATGATCTCAAACACCAATAATTGTATGAAATATGGTTTCGTATCATTGGGGTATTAATTCGTCCTGAATAATTTTTTTTTTTTTTACCTTTCCTTTCTTATCCTTTTCGTCTTATTCATTGACTGACTCAAAAGCTGTTCGAACGCCTCCTCATTATGCTGCCAATCTAATGCAATGCAGATGACTCCATCCCCTTTAAATTCGCAAGAACCATGAAAACACAAAAGTCAGATTACCATCCGCAAATATGACAATGATGGACAAAAAAAAAGCAAAGTACAGAATAGGAGCTCATGAAAAATAACTAGAAGATGGAAATCACTCCTCTGTAAGTGTCCACAAACTCGCACTCGGGCGCCTCCATGACCGCGGTTGCTCCGAGTGACACCGGCGATGGTTCCTATCAACCGCTAAATGCTTAGGCAGACTAGAAAGCTGCCGGCCTCTATCAGGGGCAACTGGCTGCGCAACAGGGTTCTGCGGCACCCAGTATGACACAACCACGTTCTGACCGGCAGTAGTCGTGGTGGGCAGGACGAAAAGCGACCGAGCCTTATCCAACGGCGGGCGGATCATGCGCCGCAATGATCCAGAGCCAGAGCTATAGCTGTGCCTGGTGCTGGAGATGCTGTGTTCTACTGTTGTTTTAGAATAGGGCCAGATGCGGTGATGGGGGCGGGTGTTCTTGGGAGGAACGATTCCTGCAGACGCAGCATCATCTTCAAGATAGTCGCCCGAAGCCAGTGGAGTGAGAAACTGTTGTTCGAGCTGAGCCTGTTGCTCTGCGACTCGCATAAGAGGGACGTTTTGACGGGGTCCTGGTCCACAATAGGGCCAGGAATGGCGTCTTCTATGGTGGAGTAGATGCGGCATGCCAACAACGCAACGCTAATGCAAACTTGCAGAAAGAAACTGATTCCACTGGGAAAGAAGGCCAAATTTATAAGGTGGACTAGCGAGGAGAAGAGGAACGACAATAAATAGCCAAGCCCCAGGCAGAACCAAAACGCTAATGGTCACCTTTCGAAAAAGGCCGGTATTGAGAACCCTCCTTAACGAAAGTCCCAAGTCTCACAACGTCTATTCATAGCGCAATGGACACATTTCAATAGTGGTAACAAAAGTGCGTAGGCAGTCAGGATTATAAAGCAGCTCCGCCTCTATTGGTTTGGTCATGAGGCCTGCACGTGCAAGGCGCACGCGTCAAAAGTTGTAGTATACGATCGCCCGGGTGACTCGTCCGGCGACTGTAGATCCGGGGCTTGAAGACTCATAAATCAAACTAGTCCGACCGATCACACGGAACGCGTATGTAAAACGCCCTGAATTGAGTCATCGCGGGACGAAGTGGCGGATGAAAGCTGTTGACCAGTGACGAATAATGGCGGGAAATGTTGCAGCTTACTCGGCAGGAACAGAGTTAGAGCTGGTGGTACAATAACTTTTTTTTGAGATCGAGCTTACATTCTTCAAGAAGATTTTCTGTATTTTTCTTATCGCTTCTTCTCGAACTTCATTAATATATCTGGGGTCCCACCCAACTCTATGCGAGATTTTCGTCTCCCCAGATGGCGAGTGGGGTAACAGTCAGCGGGTGATGTGCAGTCTCTCGACTCCATCACAAGTCTCCCAGAAACCATCTTCGGGCACGAGCGGCTGTCATTGCCCCTCGTTCAACTGTTGTAGTGTTACATCTCAAATATAAGTATGGTGATATTTGGTCCTGGAAATGACTGCGATCGAGTATGTGCATTACGTCATTCTCAGTCTTTCACGCAGTACACGGTTGACATGTTTCTAGCGATCAACATCCACTCTGTGACCACTGACCATCGATTCTGGTACGGTCCAAATAGTCGATCTATGTACAGATGAACGGGGCGTGTCGGAAAGGTCTTGGGACATCTAGTATGAGACTCCATGATCGCACAACCCTACAAGTATCGAGTGCATCTTTACGCCGGGAGGAGTCGAAAGGTTTTCTTTAGGGCACCGGGAACCCGGATGCCTGGTTAGCAAGGAATCAATCAGGCTACTACCATGTGTGGAATCTGGAAGCTCCACCCAGTTTTCCCAATGAGCGTTTCCTGGAAGCTAAGTCACGTGGACTAATGGTTATGAGATCTCGCTCTCATACAGCAAATCCCGAGATGGTTCCCCGCTTGATCCCGGGCGTGACTACTTTTCTTCCGTCACATTACTTGGTATTATCTATCGATCGCTTTTGGTCCTTCTTCGTTTTGCTTACTTTCACAAAGGTTACCACAAATTGATATTGTCTGTATAGTTTCTGATGTATCTTCATTTCAAATCGTGGGTCAATTGATGTGCTAGTGAAAATCCCATCAGGCCAAGATATAATTTATATACAACTAGCGCGCATAAAGACAAACACCCAAATCAACGCCGCAACGTATGCTAGCCCGAAGATGCTCCGTACTTAAACCCCATAGGCAGGAGGAACGGAGTCGCATTCTAAAGCGGAAACAAAATCATGTCGGTCTAAAAGCATCACTGTTAGCTACTAGCACAAATAGACGCACTAATCAAATCAGTTTCATAGAGCTTACCTTTAGCAGTAGCAAAGTTTATCGCGATTTGCCCACCCCGTCGAGCCATATTAGGGTCTTTCGGGGCTACGGCGAGGATACCTGCCATGTTAAGAAAAGATCCCCTAGAGTATTGTAGCGTTGAAAATTCGACTCGCGTACTATCCTTGGTTGCCTGTAGAGCACCCGGCATTACGGAGACGGTCAGCCACTTGTCGGTGACATGTTCATCCCACCGTGACGACATCTGAATGGACGCCCCTTTTCGCCATAGCTGTACTTCCGTTTCACCTTTGTTTGATTTCCTGGCCCCGAAAAGGCTTTTACCTTTAGTCTCTAGGGAAACGCCGCGTCGTGAGTACAAAAGTTCATACCCGTTGGCTAGCGAGCTCATAAAGCTGCGCAGTAGCGGTTCCTCGTCAAACTCTGCCGTCATATTTCCGACCTTCTTCTCGCAGTGGGAGAATGATACTGGACGGTCGGCTGGGTACAGCCGGTCCACATGCGACGAAATATAATCCGTGTAGAATAGGCGGGGAAACCGGACACGTAGCATTCTGTGGTCATAGGCGTAATCCGTATCCCGGTAGACATAGTAGAGGCTACAGTATTTCCAGGTCAAACGAGATTGGATGAGCAGAATGGCCTTGTACTGCTTTTGGTCCCGTGAGGGATCTACAACGTCATAGACGTAGCCAGAGCTGCTAGGCTGATCCCAGGAAAAGCTTGATTGAGAGCACATGCTAAGAATGGCCTTTTCAAAATCTTCCACCTGCTTTTGGGACCGGAAATACAGTCCGAGCCCGATATTAGGGCTATTATCATCGTACACGTAGGAATACAAAGGATGGTAATTGCCATCAGTTTTGGTTGACCTTTCTTGGCACGTGTCTGACCATTTCACCAAAATCTGTCCGGAGTCCGTACCGCGGCAGACTTGGACACGGCTCATGGGCATAAATAACTCAATGCACCTCGGTGCCTGCTCGGCTACCCAAGAACTAATGACCATGCGTCGGACAGACTGCCATGCCTCTCCGTAAGACCTCTCCAGGATGCGCACCTCGCATGATTTGTGGATCACTGGGGGATTCATGGGTCTCATAGTGGGCGCCTTCAGCTGCTCAAACTTCTCGACTGAGCTCCTAAATAGGACAGTCTCAGAAAACTGATCGGAGTCCACTGGTTCTCGCTGCCATACGGCATCAAAGTAAGCCTTCGGCAGGTTTATGAAATACTGCAAGTCAGACGCATGTTGGAAAGAGACCGATACACTCTTAGTATCGAACCGTAGCACGATAGGCTCCGAAACCTTTATGCCAGGATAACCAGAGACAGTTGCTTGCCAAATTCGTATCATTTTGGCCAGATCTTCGGGTAGGACTGCCCGGTAAATTTTCAGTATTTGTCGGTTAGATAGAGCTGCCAGCATTACTGGGTCAATTCACTTACGGTCCCGCTGCAGACAAAGCGTGCCGCTTTGGTTGCATATCATTATCTTTGGCTCGCTTTCCCCTTCCCTTGCAGATAAAAGGAGCATATACGGGGCGCCTTTTGTTCGCATACGGAGTCTTTTGCTACCGATACCAGCGTTCACGAATGTCCGATAGAAAACCGTTTCTTCTTCATCTCCCGCATCTTCTAGGTCAACGGTAGCCCAACGCACATTGTTCAGACCGATAATTGAGTCACTGCCCTTATCAGCTGCTTCTTCTGGTTGCAATGGTTCCCATATTTCGATATTTTGGGACTGTATGATAGAATATTCGGGGACGTCCAGTGAGATGAAGTGTGCGAACTCGTCTTTGATGCCCTATTGAACGATTAGATTAGGATATCCATGTTAAGTACAGCATGAATTACCTCCGATAAATCAGAAATCAGTTTCCTGTTTTCATGCGTCAAAATGGTGTGCGAGCTTGTATCAGCCAAAACAATGTCGTATAAGATATATGATGCTTTGAGGAGATCGACGTAGGCCTGATTGCCTGGGGCCCAGGGCCCTGTTGGTGGAGCCACACTGCCTCGAGGGCCGACAAAATTCGGCCTATCTGAACTGGCAAGAGTTGCTCGAGCCTTGAAACCTTGTTAATCGTCGTCGGATTCTAAAATAATAGAGTAGTAGTATAATATCCAACACACCTTCAAAAGCCACCACACTGCGACTCGTAACCAATCACTTGTGTTTAGGCGCTTAATCCTCAACTCGTCTTGCACCAAGGCATCAAAGCTTCTCATAAGTTGGGGATCAGGTCGGTGAAGTTTATTGCGCGGTTCATACCGCAATGGTCGAAGGATGCTGTCTCGGAGTTGTACCTGCTGAAGCTGCTGCATGGCAGTTGCGACAGCACTTGTGACGGCCGTGTTATCCAGCTCAGAACCTGGGGACTCGGCGTGATCATTGAAAAAGGGCTCTTCTCGCAATGCTGGGTGGATGCCAAGTTGCGCACTCTCAGAGCTTGGCATTCTTAGATGCCTCGACTCCGATGCACATGAACCAGTACGTCTAACCACATAATTATGGGACATGGAACGCTTCATTTGGTCATTAATGGACGGCGAAGTAGTGTGTGCTGTAGTTGCTGACCACTCAGACCCACCAGAAAGTATCGATTCGGAAGCAGAGATACGAGCATGGGTCTCAGCTGTCGGCAGACTATTTGCTCGCCCAGGGATATTTTTCGGACTAACACGCAGTGGCTCAATACGCAGTGACTCATCAAGCTGAAAATTATCATCTCCCGGTATTGGTGGTGTCCTCAGCACACGCTGCCCACGCGACACCGTTTCTGGGGTGGACGGGAAGCTTTTCTGTTCTAAAGCATCCGCCATCGATCTCTCAATTCTTGCCAAAGTTGAACTAAAATTGTAAACAGACAAGCACTTCAAGAAATGATCTGGGATACTCACTTGCCGATTGAGCTCATACATAAGCTAAGGTTGCAGGTCTGGACCATTATCCTAGATTTCAAATCATCTATTTGTCCTCGTTGTGCGACCCATTTGACTCTTTGCCAGAATTGTTTACTATCACCCACCCCCAGATTCCTGTACTTGGCAATTAGATCCTTCAGCTGCTGTAAAGTACCAAAGCAGGCGTTCAAACATCGCTGTAAAGTATTTCTGCGACCCTCCTCTAGATCATCGAAGAAGGACGCGTTAGAATTTACGTCATCTCGGAGAGCTCGAAGAACACTTTGCAGTGAGGCTAGTTCATTCACGAGCCGCTTGAAAACTTCGGGAGCGTCACTAGTAATAAGATAGCAGTTATGGTAGAGATCCCATGCCAGCTTTGTGAGAGTGGGGATATCGGCTGCGCTTGAATCGGGGGAAGCGGCCATGGTGGCTGTTGGTTTGTCTAACGGAGTCCAATGCACGGAGCGACAATAAAACGTGTTGTAAATAACTCAACATGTGTACAGTTTAGTAGATACAGAAACTTCCCAGAAATTCATCACGGATTATGAGAGGAGGAATTTTGACCGAGATAAAAGGATGCGATGATTCAAGAACGAAAAAAATTATAGGGCAAATAGGCATGGGGATTAGCACAATGGGTGCCATTCGAATAGTAACCACGTGGGCTGGCCCAGACAATGAGGAAGATAGAGTAGATCAGAACTTATCTGACTTGACTTCTGGCGGAAGATACAGGTTACCGGTGAGTATCATCAGCCACGAACGCCCAAGAGGACACGGCGAAAGGTACCAAGGTCGTTTTCGCAGAGGCGCAGCAAGGCATGAAATAGTAAAACGGGAGGACACGAGCTTCTTCAAGTGCACCGTTACTCGTTGTGGCTTATCGAAGTCAGGAGATTTAGGGTTCCAGAAATGCTGGAAGCCAATGAGTGCGTGTTAGAGGCGAGTCGGCTCCACAGGAGGGAGATTTCTTTGACGTTTTCCCGTCAGAATGGACAAAGACAACAGCTCTTGTAGTTGTTGGATGCGTGACTGAGTGTATGGGGTTGTCGGCCCAGACTTCCTTTTTCACTTCATTTCTTCTAGATGCGGCAGGCCAAGTCGAGTGAAGTATTTCAGATCCGCAACTCGAGGGTGAACAAGAATCTGGGAAGGCTGGCTCACATGAAGAGAGATCCAAGCCATTTCCTCGTGTTAGGTCCAATCAGGCTGAGATCCTCTTTGTGCCCAAAGCCTTGCGGCTGTGGAGGAAGTTTTATGCGGGGGTGTCATTCATTGTTTGCCGTCGAGGCGATCCATTGAGCACCGCACTATTGAGCGCTCGGCTCTCGACATTGGTTCATGACCTAATAATTGTAATAATATAAAGGCGACCAAAGTGTTTCATTGGGCAACGAATATGGTCCTCTCATAAGTGAAGACAGTGTTATACTACTTAGGGAAGATGGAGGCCATACTAGTTCTATAGACTTGCCTAATACAGGTACCACCGCTTTTGTCAAGACACCACGTAAGTAATCAGTAAGTACTCTGGATTACTTACTAAGTACTCTTTAAACACACACCCACTGCTCTGACTGCTCCCGGAGTAATTAAACTAACTAGCTTCTAATTTTCTCTCTAACTAATTCTGGAGTAATTTATACTACTGACTATAACTTATTATATAATACTATAGTAATCTATAAACTGTGTTACACTAAAGTTTTTAAGATTTATAGGACTCCTATTATTATTTTTATCAGCCCTTACAATAACCAGATCAAATAACTTAGCGCGAATAATATATAATATTCTTTTTTTTTTTTTTCTCGAAAAAAAAATTGCAACCCTAGATAGGACTCTGAAAGAATAAATAGAGCTAACTGCTGCCATCTCCGGCGAGCTTGATTGACGTTAACCTGTTGGACCTTGAGTGCAGGAGTCAATCACTGTTTGGAGTATGGTGATGGCCGGTGCCTCGGATGTGTCGATCAAGGGCGGCAACTGTTAAGTTAATTAGCCTCTCCACCGCCTGGTGAGAATGGTGGTCAGGTGTGTCGTCTGGGCCTGAAGATCTAGGCCAAACTTCCAGTTTCCTGGCCTTGACTACAGAGCTGTCCGAAACCGCCTTCCATATTATATATATTGAGAGTCGATATCAAATCCTAATCACATCATACACCCAGCGACTGACCAATGGCGGCCTTAAGGGGAGTAATTGCCATGTGGCTCCTTTCAAGCATCCTGCGTGAATCCACTGCGAGCTTCAGGGCGGTACCGTGTTTTTCAAGGAGATCTCGATATTGATTGGAGTATATCCCGACAAGAACGGCTCTGCAGATGAGAAGAGTTCGGCAGATAAGGGCTCTGTGAACGAGAAGCACTCTTCAGAATTGACCATTGCGTTCTCTAATGAAATATTCAGACACAAACATCCGAGTTAATAGCAAGTTCTATATTAATCGCGCTAAGCCGCACGGAGGCCGCTGAGCCCTGCACCAACCACGACCACACCGGCCTGCTTGGGCGAGGTTTAAGTTGAAAAGGAAATTGGGGCAGACAAAGTTGACCCCAGAGATAATAGAAATGTATTCTATAAACAGAAGCAAAACATGATGGTGTCAGATGCTATCGATACATCCTCGGCACATGGTGGCTTTTTGGATCGGAAAATGGCGGTAGGGCGATAAGGGCGGCAATTGATAAGAGCGATGCAAATCCTCTCCACCGGGCCTCCATCCGTCCTCACTCTTCCCCAGACGAGGCATCGTAATATACTCTCGCATTGTCCGGCCCTTACGCGCATGCCATATCCAACTGCCATGTCCAAGCCAGGATCGAATCGCGCGGATCTCGTGCAGGCCCCAAAGAAACCACACCGGTTCCGCTCCTTAACAGGGTGTTTGACATGCCGTCGCCGCAAGAAGAAGTGCGATGAGACGAGGCCGAAATGCATGGGCTGCAACCGCAACCACGAACAGTGCATCTGGCCACCTGCCCCCGCACGCCGGAATGGCCGGAACCCAGTGCCAAAGCGTACGAGCAGCCCAGAGGAAGTCAACCCGTCAGTTCCATGGTTGAACCTCGCTGGCGCGTTTCTGTCTCCACTGAGAGCATCCGCGCTGACGAAGACATCCAGTATTCTTTTTGCGCACTACCTAGCTGAGACGAGTGGCCTTCTGTCTGCCTTGCCGCGTGGTTGCGACAATCCGTTCTTGACGGTTCTTGTGCCGCTGTGCTGCAATGATGATCTGCTGATGCATTCGCTATTGGCGCTCAGTGGTTCCCATATGGGACTCAAGAGTAGTGGGATTGAGGTGTACACAGCCACGTATCGACATTACTCGATCGCAATAAGAACGCTCCGGGACTGTATATGTGATCTCACAACGCCGGATACGGCCCGGGCAATGCGGATCCTGATAGTGCTAATGATGCTCTCTTTGTTCGAAGTACGTGTGCCATTTAATCCAGGTTTTCTTCCAAACAGACTGATATAATGTGTAGAGCCTAACCGGCAATGCTCAAGCAGCAATGTTCAGCCATTTGCGTGCAAGCCGCCAGCTCGTCCTCCAATTAGTCAGTAGTCCACAGCAGTCTAGCTCGGATGATAGTAGCCGCCTGCTCTCCTTTGTGCTGGGAGTCTACAGATATCTCGTGCTCATCAACAGCATCACCCCTTTCGGCGCTATCAGAAGCCGAGCTCTACCTGATGACACATTTCTTGATGACTTTGTAAGCACCATGACCCGTTTTGACACAAACGAGGCCATCTTCGGTGGCAGTCATGGCCTATTCAGGGTTTTACCCTCCATTGCAGCTCTCGCTGCTCGGCGTCTCACAGAGCAAGACCCTTCACCGGAGAGCTCAGAAATGTACCAAGCACTCCATGTCCGAATAGCAGAGTGGAAATCTCCAGAACCCATTTTCCTCGACCAAAAATGGCGATCCCAAAGAGAAGCAGCACTTGCGCTTTGCCGTGAGGCCGCCTTACTCTATATGGAGACCGCAATGTTTCCCAACGCACCAAGTGACACATTGCTGCGGACCAGAATCCAGGACCACGTAGATACGATTATGTTACGCGCAGAACAGGCCGCCGGATCCCCCTGCGAGAGCATCCTCTTATGTCCGTTGATAATTGCCGGCTCCTGCATGGTGCGGACAGACCAGCGCCAATGTCTCCAGGCTAGTCTGCGGTCTACTCGATTCCACATGGATCACTACGTGCAGGCAGCTCAATTGCTCGAGCTGGTCTGGAACGACCCCAGCGAACGTATTTTTGGGCCATACGGCCTGGGCATTGTCATGCAGCGTCATGAGATCAACCTGGGTGTTGCATAAATGTATAACAAGGAGCAGCAAACAATGCTGGTAAAACCCCACCGTAGGAACAGTCAATAATTACTATATCTAGCTAAGAAACTTTGTCCAATAAAGCAAACATCCTCCAATCAACGTAACTCCCGACCCCTCAAGCTTAGTTGACTACCACTACGTACCATGCATGATGTAGTTTTACCCTAGGCAAACTCCTGTTGACGTCATGGCACTGTCTGATAAGCGCGGCAGGAGATAAGGATAGTGTTCTTGATGTGGCAATAAGCCTATGCCGATCTGGGACTCTCATGCTATAAAGAGCTGTTTTGACATAAAACCTTCCAATTCTTCTTTTCAATTCTTAGTTCAGTATATAACCGTCATCGAGAACTTTCCTTTCCTTTTCCTACCGCATATCCCTGTAACCAACATGGCAGCGCCATCTGCAACACCCAAAAGGTGCGATGTCCTGGTAGTAGGCGCTGGTCTCAGTGGCCTCCAAGCAGCCCTTTCTGTACGGTCCGCAGGCTTCAGTGTTTGCGTCGTGGAGGCTATTAACCGAGTCGGCGGGAAGACATTGACAGTCCAATCCTGCGAGAAGGGGTTCAACGACATGGGTGCATCATGGATCAACGACACCAACCAGAATGAGATGTTCAAGCTGTACCAACGGTATGGAATCGATATGGAGATTCAACGGGACTGTGGACATACTCTTATTCAGTCGCCGGATGGCTCTGTGGCTAAAGTGCCGTATGGGCAGCTTCCAGTATGTTGTTTCTCCCATTCTTTTTGCAGCGGTTTAACAGTAGTGTTAGAGTGATACCGACGTTATACTGGATCTGTTCCAAATATTTCGGGACGAGTGCTCACTTATAGACCTCGATAACCCGACTAACTCTGCTAGCGCGAGGGAAATTGATCAGCTCACCTTCCGTGAATTCTGCGTTCAGAAAGCGCAATCCAATAGTGCCATACGCATTGCTGACATGCTCTCAAACGCATTACTTGGTGTAGAGAGTGATGAGCTCAGTGCCCTGTCCATGCTTCTCTACTTTAAGAGTGGTGCCGGCATCGACAATATCATATCTGAGCAAAAGGATGGTGGCCAATACCTGCGCAATCGACAAGGTAAGCTGTATAGACTGGTATTAAAATTAGTTGAATCCCAACTGACGCCACTAGGGAATCAAACAATTTCTCAGAAGATGGCGGAAGAGTTGGGATCTGATGCTGTATTTCTCCGTATGCCAGTGACCTCCGTGGACCAGTCTCAGCACAGATCTTGCGTGGTACAGACAGAGGGTGGAATAACCTTCCACTGTCAAAGGGTGATTGTATCGGTTCCAACTACTCTGTACCACAAAATCATGTTTAACCCTCCCCTACCAGACAAAAAGGTCACTCTGAGCAACAACACTATCACAGGCTATTACACCAAGATAGTCTATATTTTCAAGGAGCCGTGGTGGCAGAAGGCAGGCTTTTCTGGAGTGCTGAATTCTGAGAAGGGACCTATTGTTTTTACACGGGACACCAGCATTGCTGCAGACGACCAATGGTCCATCACCTGCTTTATTACTGGCGACAAAGGAAGAAACTGGTCCAAGCTGCCCCGGGCAGTGCGCTACAAACAGGCCTGGGACCAATTAAGCCGGAGCTTTGGTGCATTTACCAATGTTCCTCAGCCAGACAATACCCTGGAGATGGAATGGACTAAAGAATCTTTCTTCCTCGGCGCCCCATGCCCAGTCACGGTTCCGGGCATATTGTCGATCGTGGGAAGCGAAAGCGCCATGCCTTTTGGCCGCGTGCATTTTGTGGGTACCGAAACGTCTCCCGTGTGGCGTGGCTATATGGAGGGTGCTGTCCGGTCTGGTCAGCGAGGAGCTGCTGAAGTGGTGAAGGCATTGTCGACGCAGCCTGCTGTTTGATTCTGTTTGGTATACAGTCTTAACTACGACTCTATACACACTATATGCGTCCCAAATGCTGTGAAAATGCTGTTGGCTGTAACTCTTCCAGCCCCCCCCCCTTATAGTATCTGCACTCTATTGGGTTTCTTTTGTATTTTCGAACTTCGTTTGGAATCAACCTCAACTAGTTTAGGCTTCAAATGCATACAATACACTCCAACCTCTTTCTTCTACTGTATTAATGTTAGTATAGCTGACTCGTTATGCAAAACGCTCACAATTCGCCGCATCCGGAAGGTGGTGCTTATCAATGCTATTCTGTCCACGCCCGACCGCAACGCTCAACACATACATTGAGAACGCCTCCACATTATTTGAATTTTTATATATTTTACGTGAGGAGATATCCGGCAGCCCTTATTTAACTGCAATTGGTTAACTATAATATATCAAGTCCTTGGCAGTGCCCTGAAAAACAATCAACATATGTTTAAAGGTTAGACTGGATCCGAGACAGACTGTTTTGTTCTACCCTTTTAAATTGCCTAATAGGAAACAAGGAATGAACGAGGCAGTAATGTATACTGTACCCCTATATGCAAAGAGAACTAATTCATCTTCCTTGTGAGAACCCATAAGAAAGGCCCCTGAGAAACTGTGGTTCAATCTGCCACTCGTCTTGTTGTGCCTTTAACAAGAGTCATGCCTCAAAGCCTGTTTTTCTCCAGAAACGGTGATTCAGCCAGAGATAACTAAATGATTAGTCTTATTATAGACTCAAAAGAAGTCACCCTGAATATACTCTTGGAAAAAACTAATTGGATATCCCTATGTTACTTCTGCTAATCTTGTTCTATATCTTCCACCGGCTGTCAGTACTATATGTACCAAGCCCATCCTTTAACATAAGTATTATACCAGAATTAGGAATTACTTAAGCTCCCCCAAGTCCATATGGCCCTAATAATCTATGGGCTTGGGACAAACCCAACTGCGAAGGAAACTTGTAGGAGCTCACAAAGTTTGACGCTATATATTTTGCACGGAATATTGCCAATTTTGTGGTATTAAGAGATTTCAGACTTTCTTGCTCTCTGAACGGTCAGGAAGAAGTTGATATTTTCCTTACAACAGATTAAAGTTCTTAGTATCACAATAGAGACCACTCTTATAAAATAGTCTACTATATGACGCTTGCAAAGCAAGCTACTCAGTATATTGTCAGAATATATTTCCTTTACCTATTACCTAGGAAGAGGAACATAAAAATATATTACTACTTGTTGAATAATTACATAATTGACTATTTCTTTAGCCATTTCTAGACTAAGGCTAAGATAAATCTGGACAGATAGTTGTCTTGAATCTCGCTGACTATTGTAAGGCCGCAAAAGTACACGCGAGACCTGAAAAAATAGATATTGTGTTCTAGTATGTTCGTACTCCGTAGTACAAGATCGCAAAAGTGGGTCCGCAAAAGTAATCAGACTCCGTCACTGCCTCAGGCATAAGCCACTGTGTCGATCATTCTCACATTTTCAGGGGCCCAACCTTGAGATCAATTCACACCACGCTATAGAGATCGCAACGTCTCCAGCGTTAATCTACCGACGTGTCCATGACAGAAACCTGACATAACTACGCCTAGTTTGACCTCCTCAAACATCCAGTTCCTCCTCACCTGGGACCTATTTTGGAGGAGGAGCATAAATAAACAAAAGCCCGGATCGAACAGCACACACCCAACATGTCGACCGCCACACCTTTCACCCTTGACGTCGCGACATGTCTTTGCATCGCGTTTGCCCTTTCCTTCATGCCAGCCGCCTACATCCTGGGCCGGTCGTTAATCCCCTCCACTCACATGCGAAACCGTATCCTCTTCTTCTGGCACGCCTATGACGCCCTCACCCACATCTTCATCGAAGGCTCATTCCTCTACGAGTGCTTCTTCAGCTACACAAAACTCCCCTCCGGATTCAACCGCCCACCCTACTTCCTCGATCAGAAGGACCGCGTATACGGAGCTGCGTACGGAACTCGTCCCAGCTCGCGACTGTGGCAGGAATACGCTAAGGCCGATTTCCGCTGGGCGGCCGCTGACGCCAACGTGATTTCCCTCGAATTGTTGACCGTTTTCCTCGGAGGCCCCGCGGCACTCTATGTCTGCTATCTTCTGTGGAAGGCCTCCAGCAGCCGGACAAGTGCCGCGGCAAAAGGTTCCGCGAAAGCGAAGCTGTGGTTGGTGGCGCCTGCTCTGGCAACCGCTGAGCTGTACGGCGGGTTCATGACCTTTGCGCCTGAATGGCTTACCGGTAGCTCGCAGTTGGAGACGAGTAACCCCGTATATCTGTGGTTCTACCTGTTCTTTTTCAATACTCTCTGGGTGTGGGTTCCTCTGTGGGTGTTGTGGGAGGCTACCAAGGAGCTGCGCACCGCCTTTACGAAGGCTGAAGGTGCAGCTGAAACTCGCAAGAGCAAATAAACAACAGCATATTATAGATCGGTTGAGCAAGCGCCTGTGACGAAGGACTGTTGATTAGAGTTACAGAGTCAGCAATTTGACGCATGAGCAAAGGCGCTTATGGTTTCCATCTTTTTGCAAATGATCATGAGAATATCCCTATATATAATTAGCTTTCCAACTAGAAGCTTGACTATGTGAGATGAAGCGAAATTGAAATTAATCTCAATTTTGGTCAGTGAGCTTCGTAGCGCATACTATACTACGCCATCAGAATAGACACACTATTCTATAACAAAGTAAATAATTAGATGAGCAGAGTAGTAGTAGGATATAAATACAATTTCAACATCTTATAATGAAATCTCCTCGCCTTCTCGACCTCTACTCCCCGTGAACTTCAGGTAACTTAAGCATATAAATATTCCAGAAAAGGAAAACAAAATCAAGGCATGCACTAAATTGAAATAATCCCCTCATCCCAAATAGCCATTCCACACTCAACAATCCCTCACCAAGCCGAAATCCCATCCTTCCGCACCAACTTCCCAACATCATTATCCCTAGCCCCCTCCACAACATCCTTAATAAAAACACCCCCAATACTAGGATGTCCGCCACCCATCTCCCTAACCTTCTCGGTCAAACCACCCAAGCCCGTCGCCAGAAATCCCGGCCCAGCACCCCAGACTTTCACCCCATCCGCCTTGAGTTTATGATTCCAATCCAGCATCAGCATATTCAAAGCCGTCTTACTGCACCGATACCCAATAGTCTCAAAATCAACATTCTTCGGCCAACCCGCCGGCAGCGGCGGTGTCGGGAAGTAGGATTCAGCGGCCTGGGTGATCTGGGACAGCCCCGCCACGAAGACTAATCGCGGATCTGCCGACTTCAACAGTAATGGTATGAAGGTGTAGGTCAAGACATGTGTTCCGGCTACATTGACATCGTATGCTTTGGTGAAGCACTCGCGGAGTGACACGCGGCCTGCGAGGAGCTCGCCGTCAAAGCTGGCGCCTGAGTTAATTAGTACTATATTTTTGTAATGGGAGTCTTTATATTAGTGCCCGTGGTAGGTGTCAGTGACGTACCGGCATTGTTCACGAGAATATCAATGTGGTCATGGCTATTGCGCACTGTCTCATAGGCTGTTTCAATAGATGCATCGTCGGTTAGGTCAAGCCGGAGGAGTTCAACGCTGCTTTTCGTAGCGGGTACTTCGGTGTTGAGGGTTTCTAGGGCCTTTTTGGCTTTTTCGAGCGACCGACTACCTAGGAAGATGTGGTAGGTTGCTTTGGTGGATTGGAGCAGCGCTTTGACTGTTTCGTAGCCGATGCCGTTATTGGCGCCGGTTACTAGGACGATCTTGGGTGCCATTATGGGATTGTTTGAGTATGAATTGTATATTACTCAGTTGAAGCTTATTAGGAGTTAGAAAGGTCTGGGAGAGTGTCACCTCGGGTTTATATATCTTTTCTTGAACTCCAGGAATACCTGAAACGGTATCGATGGGATATCCCTTAAAGCCGAGGATTGGCGTATCTGAATCGGAAACATCGGTTTTTGGAGCAATATTGCTCGATTCAAAAATGATCGAATGTCTATAGAAACTCGGTGGCATATTGCGGGGATACCTTAACTCCGGTGGTTTAAGCTTATGTAGCTTCGCGGGTATTGCCTCTTTGGGGAATTAGCTCTGCTGCCCTATTTCCATTCAAGAGCTCCATTATTACCACTAGTGTAACTAAATTCGCTAGCTAAGGGTCACCAAAGCGGCAGTATTACGCTTTCATGTGGCCTATAAGAGCGACTGCCTTCCAATTCGTGAGATCTAGAGGACGGTGCCGCATCCGACGGCCAGACCAATCTCGGCCGTAGGTCAAGAGAGGACATATCGACAGAGCTCGCTGTATACAAGACCATGACTCTAGTATCTATTCATATCTCTTTGTCTATAAAATGTGCTCACTCCTGGCCCCAATTCAACTTTAACCGACCCTCGCTACACCGATACTCCAACAACTTAGGCCACACCTCCTTTACATCCAGCGCCTCAGCCAGAATGGACCCATTCTCACCACTGATAAACCCCTCCTCGACGGCATTGCGCACCCACGCCAGCAACCCATCCCAGTAACCATTAATATTCAACAACACGACCCCAACACGATGGATCCCCAACTGATTCCACGTCGTCATCTCCATAACCTCCTCAATCGTCCCAAATCCACCAGCCAGCGTCACAAACCCCGACCCAGGCCCGCCCTCCATTACCTTCGTCGCCATCAACCGCTTGCGCGTATGCATATCCGGCACGATAGTCGTAATCCCGTATTCCGACTCGGGGATCTCATCTCCATCCAATGCTTCGGAGACGACTCGCTCGGCTGCTTTGCCTCCCGCCGCCGCTGTGGGAGCTTCCTTGCTGTTCTTGGCGGATATTTTGACAAGGGCCCGGGGGATTATGCCGTGCACGGCTTTGGGGCCAGATAGAGAGACTAGTGTCTTTGCGACCTCGCCCATTAGTCCTGAGGTGCCGCCGCCGTATACCAATTGGACATTGTGTTTGTGGAATTCGTAGGCTAGGGCCCGGGCTGCTTCCAGGTGTACTGGGTTTTTCCCTGCTGTGGCCCCGCAGCTGGATATTCCCGGAAAGGGTACTAGTTAGCTTTACTCGGTTTAGAGTTTTTCATTGTTCTATTATCGGGGCTATCGCCGATCGTCGAGGAGCAGGAGAACTGCTAGGAATGGTTGACTCACAAGACGCAGACGACGGCTGGTTTATCTTCAGTCATTTTTAACGGCACTCAGAAAATCATGTGTGTTATATGGTAAGTGTATATAGATGTATAGGAGGTGCGCAGATGTATAAGGGAGAAAGGGGTACATATGACAAGAGCACTTGCCGTCGCCTGCACACTATCTGATAATGACTCATCTTTTATGGATCGACTCGGAATTATCGGAAGCTAACCGGAACTGGGGCCCAGCATTTCGAGCTAGTGTTCAGTAAAAAATGAGTGCGAAATCTTATTTCAACCCCGGTTAGGTCGTGCATGCTGTCCGATTCCGAGTCACTAGGTTTATATAGTCATGTACTCCACATAGGAAGTTCTTGGTGTTAGGCATGGCCATGCATTTACAACAAATTGTACTTGTATCCTATGGTATGTAAAGATTATCATGGATTCCTCTCGGAACAGACTAGCTTGAATCTGGTAATCCTATTGTCGACTCTATCTATACATAGAATATAGTCGGGTGCACAGGGTATTGTTCACGTATTGATAAATGACCACCAACTTACTAAATATTCAGATTTCCTGGCGGAATAAAAATAAAGCTCTGAAGAGGGGATGACTGTAGATACTAGGCACCCATTTTGTAGGAGCCGTTGACCAATTTTCGTTGCAAAACTCGGTCATAATATTCATTTTCCAGATCAGTAATCACAGCTGCTGTTCCGAGGATGCTGGTCGCTCTCCCCCAACCAGTAAGGCTAAATATGCGCGTTAATATGGGGCTTTGACGTAAGGGAAATTGGCGAATGCCAATTAGAAGCACCAATTTGAACATCGCCGTAGGTATCGGGTGGATATGGTGGATTCCATAGCAAAAAAGGCAGGATACCACCTTCGGGCTACTCTTCAACTTCATTTAAGAAGTTAAGATATCTAAAATTTGACTAAAAACACTAACAAAAGAACAAATACATTGTCATCGCGAAGGATCCGAAGACAATTCAGTAAACTAGTTATAGTATAGTGATAACCGAGCAAGCCGCCTAAGATATTAAAAACATGCATCTGGTGGTATCACTCAAGAGTTGCACTTGTTAGAATATTATCAAAGGTTGACGCATATGAAAGAAACAGAAAACCACCCAGCCCATGCCTGACCTTTGCCATACCCAGCATACCATTTATTCATACAATCATAAAGTGAAAGGGTCTACTCCAGTAGAGCAACCATCAGTCTCTGGTAATCACTGCTTGTCTCACCGCGAACTCTGTCGATCAGATCCTTTCCATACCGATGGCGGTAAGCGCGCTTCACCTGATCTTTATGCGCTCTATTCCAGTGTACCCTGACAACGCGGCTCACCAATTTGACGTCCTTAGTGCCCATACCCTTCATGCAATCCTCCAATAACTCGGCATCCCGCATGGCTGGATCCAATGCGCCACGCAGCATCTGAAGCAGAGCTTCCTTCATATGCCCCGAGAATTCCTTGTCAATGTGCTTCTCTAGCGAGGCATTGTAGCGGGCGCTGAATGCCTGGTTAATAGCGCGGAGTTCGTTGTCCGACGACCGGGCGAAGATCCCGCAGACTTCCTGAGCATTATTCCTCATACGAGCAGCCGTGGCAGAGTGCAGGGACTTTGTTTCTTCCTCAATGGTGCGCGGGTCAATTGGGAAGGATTCTTCATGGCGGTCTGCGCGAAGGATCATTCCGAAGAGACTCTGTGTTTCATATGACAGATCGCTTTGGACGTCTTGCTCGAGAGACCGGCTGTATGTGCGTTCATATGCGGCTTTAATAGCTTTTAAATCCGCATTCGACCGGCTCACTAGGACATCGTTAAGCAACCATTCCTTGGTGCCGATTCCCTTAACCGCTTCACGTGCGGAAGTCACGTCGTGCATCAGCGGGCCATCAATGACGGCAAGCAAGCCGTCGCGGAAGTAGCCACTCGTTTCGGATTTGACATCCTTGTATAGATCGCGACGAATATAGTTGGCATAGGTCTGGCGAATGGCGGCCATCTGGAGCGCATCGACTTTTGACAGTATTTGGATGAGTGACTTTTCATCTGTTCCAAAGCCCTTCATCGCCTTACGGAGCCCATCAGCTTCGCGGGTGAAATCACCAGAGGCAATTTGGCCGGGGATGTAGCCCGGGGATGGCTGGGCCGGTGGAGCGCTGTGGAATGGCTGTTGCGAATGTTGCGATGGGTAGCCTCCTACTGGGCCACCGCCATATGGTCCCGGCTGAGGACCTGGCGGATATCCTGCACCGACATGGGGAGGGAACTGTTGTGGGGGCGCTCCATATGGAGGGTGAGATGGAGGCGATGAGTGGTATCCGGGGCCTGGTGGGGGGTGTCCGTGCGGAGGATAGCCTGGCTGGCCTGGGGGTGCTACTGGAGGTCGATCATACTGGCCCGGATGTGCAGGAGGCGGCCGATTATATTGACCTGGAGGAGGGGGACCGCCATAGCCCGGCTGCTGAGGATACGGAGGTTGTGGAAAACCCTGAGGGGCACCGTGGGTCGGATAAGGGGGTTCTGCTTAAGACGAAAAGGACGACAGTCAGCCGATCAAGAATGACTCGGAGGGACTATATTGCTGCGACAAGGATACATACGATTTTGTGGGGGATAAGGTGGATTGTACGACATGATCAAGAATTCAAAGCTTCAAAAATTGCAGTGGGGTTGTCTACATTCCAGAGGGGAAGAGTGCGGGAGATTATATATGGCAATGACGCCAAGCGGACCCTTCCACCCGTTCGTCATCCATACTTCAAAAGGCAGGTACGAGTGTGGCGCAGTAAGGCTGGACTAGTGGGGCTGAGGCGGAGACAAGGCACATGCCGACTGGCAGGGAATTTCTAGAAGGTCGACTGGCTGTGCATCTGCATCTGCCTACATGCATCTACCACTACTTTTAAGTCTTGGACAACTTGTGATTTGATAATACCATGATGCAGGCAGCAGTCGAATACAATACACCACTAATATTCCGTAAAATGATGCAGTACGTACATCCCGTCCATCAGATCATCTCAACGTCATCATCTATGTATACATCAATCGTAAGTCGTCATTGATTTCATCGAGGCAGTTAGACGTTGTTTACAAGGGATTAGGCAATCTCCCCAACAACAAAGACATGTGTTCCTGGAAACAACCCAGTAGACCCAGCATAACATCCCCAATACCAATCATCGTTGATATTTTCGGCCTCAGTAATCTCCGCGCCGCGAGGAAACATCAGCTCGTCTTTGACACCATTCTCAGGATACCACGGCCATAGCGCGTGAACAACGAGGCCAACACCGCCATCAGGCGGGAAGCGACGTGCCGATGTTGCGTTCTGTGTGGGAGTGGTGGGCGTGGAAGGTTCAGAGTATGAGTTAGTACGGTCACCGAGGGTACTTGACCATGGGGCTCTGATGCGAGATGCTTTTTTGCGCCGCTCCGCTCCCTCTTTCCAACTCCAATCCCCAGTTCCGAGTTCAGGGGATGGAACAGTACCCGAACCTGCCACAAATGTGCGTGTCACGGGTGGAGAGGCGGGAGGGGAGGAAGGCTGAAGGTGTTCGTCTTTCAACGCACGGCCGCCCACTAGGTCACGAACGATAACCCGTTTCTGGCCCTCTTCATGATCTTCAAATCCAACTACCACCATCCGATGACCTTTCAAGCAGCGCCGCCAGCCGTTATGGCCATTCTCTTTACGGATTTTTGCTGTCGCCACAAGCTTAAGGTAGCAGTTCGCACAAGTATCATAATCACCCTCATTGCATTGGAGACAGTGGAAGCGCAGAGTAGATGGTGGAATTTGATTGGCGCAAATATCGCAATTCGTGGAGAAGGAAAGTATTTTCAGTGTTTCAGCTCCGGCAAGAGGAGCAGCCGAACCATTAGCTACATCACCAAGGACGGCTGGTGTCGCGGGAGTTAAGGGACTATCTGGCGTAACACGGCATATCGGTAGAAGGGCATGCGTACAGCATTTTCCTTCATTGACACATTTGTTGCAGAAACCCCAGTCGCCTTCGTTGCACTGGTTGCATTTCCAGAAGCACGTATCTGCTGACGACTGACATATGTCGCAGAAGAGCCCGGTTTGTAATCGTCGGGCGGGGTTTTCATTGGTAACCTCTCTTCCATCTCGTGTGGTTCGACGGGCGGTGTCGGACGGCCGATTATACTTTAAAGACAATAGGATATGTTGTGATTCTTGTGAAGGCGTGGCAAGACCGTTAGAAGAAGCATGAATTCTATCAAGATCCGCCTTTGCAGATACACCAAAGCCAGGCCAGTCTAGACAGCCACGTCCAAGCCGGTAGCAGCGTAGGCAAATATGGTAGTCACCATCCTTGCATAACCGGCATTTCTTGTGAAGTTCATACTGGATATTCGGCTTTCCGCATCTATCGCACGAGATAGATGGTTCACTATAATAGGCTGTGGCTTGAGAAACGTTCGATCTAGAGGATGAGGGCCGGGAGCGTCCTTCTGCCCTGACAGGGCTGTTGGTCTCAGGCGCCAGAGAAGTAGCCGTAGGTGAGTTTGCAAGGTTTTGTTCCGAGCGCAACGCGAAGGAAGCAGTTCGAGGGCTTCGCACCAATGAAGAAACTGATGTGGGAGAGTCGATAGACTGTCTGGCTGGTCTTTGTCGTCGTAGCTCCCTATCATTACCACCTGCCACCCATATACTAGGAATAGATTGTTCAGAAGCTGTCGCTCGACGTGTCCGTGGAGCTGAATCAGCCGCTCTAACCCGAGCAGCCTGGGAGCCCCGAGGGCGGTCGGCAATCATGTCGCTAGACGATCTTGCTGCAGGCCTCAGATTGACCTCTGACGACGAAGCGGAGCTAACAGGAATAGGCGATACTCTTTGACGGCTGCCTTGATCAGATAAGCGCCGCTGGTGGCCAGAGTTACCGGAGCGTGGCACGAGAGGATCGAGTAAATATGGCCTTGATACCGGAGGGTGCGCTGGTGGACCTCGAGCACTAGAAGCGGGCTGCGATCTCTGCATTGATTGCGACCGCGCCCGAGGGCGATTTGATGCATGCGCCTCTTCCTGTGCACCGCTTCTCTGCTGTGACCGCGAACGCAGTCTATGCCTCCGTCTATAAGCATCGGCAATGCGTTCACTAAGCTCCTCTTCCTGCGCGGGTCCGAGATTGTCCATATCAATATCGTCCAATAACCCTTCTTCCAAGATTTGACGTAAGATCTCTTCTTGCATGGTTTCGGTATCCGACAAGCTTAGCAACGATCGAAGGCTCGATTGGTGTTCTATTTGTCTCGTGCGATCGGAAGCATCGGGCAATGTGCTCCGAACGTGACGTCGCGCAGCGCGTTCCTCTTCTCGTTGTTGTCGGGATCGACCGTCTTCCCTTCGTCTATCCCCATCAGCACTTTCACCTCGACGAGTTCTCGATGATCGTGCCGACCGATGCTCCCTTGTTCGCGGTCCACTCTCACGCAGGCTCAGTTCACGGACCTCCTCCATTAACCTTCGGTCCTCATCATCCGACTCAGCAGTGCTGTTCTCAGGTGAAGCAACAGTAGGAAAGACGGGTTGGCCAGGTTTGTATCTTTGCGCGATTTCCTCCTTCTCAGCCTCAGGCCTCGCACGATCGGGGTTCGCAGTGAGCACCATGTCCAACAACGTAGTGACGGTGGCATTCGGTCTTGTTTCGCGAACGACGGCGCGACATGATGGGCAAGTGAATCGGACGGAGGATGACCGGTGGCGCGAAGCTTGGACGGAGAACCATTCTTTCAGGCAAGAGCCACAGAAAGTATGGAGACAGTCGAGGAGGGTGAGAGGTTGGTAGAGCAGTTCTGTGCAGATCTAAGTAGAATGGGCGGTCAACAACAGTACACAGCAATTATATCTTCATTATTTTTAACATCATAATTCTAGAATGTCCGATCTGCACAAAGGGATGTTGATGACAGCGGGCGAGCGATGACTGGGACTCCCCACGTTTTCAGCCTAATCAAAAATCAAGCCACGGAAAGGGAAAGAAAAAAATAGCTAGAACACACATACCGAGCAGATCAGTTCCTTTTCAAGGTCCCCTAAACCAGGACCCCCGGTAGGTGATTCATTTGACATGGGGAGATGAAGCCAACGTCGACAGAAGCGAAGTGTATGAGGGACGGAGTAAACAGCCGGAGGTTTGGTTGGGTTACTAGTCTTAAGGCTGGTTGTCCCACGGGATCGACCTTTTCGGCTCGAGTTAAAAATGGACCATTAGTGGCTCCACTTAGCTTCACAATCGGAAGTGCCTTGAGAATAGTAACAACAGCTTATCGTTATCTTGCTCCCCTCTTTCCTGTAGGAAGGGTCACCTTCAGGTTAGCATACTACAGTACAATTAACTGGAAAGTAATGACATACTCACACATACACAGGGTAACCGTCTCTTTAGTAACCAGACCCACCCACCTTTTGGCTTGGTGTTGGAATACTGTGTCCTGGAAACACGCTTTTTCTGGATTCTGCGCTCGGAGCACTCATGAGTGTTGAATCACCTGTGAAATGTGCACAGGAAAAGCCGCCAAGGGGCTTTAGAGGGTGTCATCGCTGGCATAAAGTGCATCACTACTTCATCTTCAGTGGAAGCTTTGAAAGTGCAGTCATCACATCCCTCTACACAGTCCAACCTGGAGGTCTGGTGACAATGATCATGCGTGCTAACCTCGAGGGTATGAATTGCCCAACATGCCAGGAAGAATTATCTGGACTCCAACAGCGCAGTGCCACTCTTGGTTAGTTCAAGCTGTAAATCCTCTCCATTAATATCGACGTAATGAAGGTTAGTTAACAAAGAGTAGCTCACAGCACTGTAGGCCCGTAGGCTGCCGTCACAATGAAATTTCTGATAAATTAGATCAAAGCCCATCCCCAATTTGTTTGCACACCACATACAGTCAATAATGAAGAACGGGCTGATGATGCTAAAATGTCGCATTTCGAATAAATTTACTATGCAAGGTCTTCGGATTCAACGGAGCACTACATGCCAGCTGGAGCATCTTGCTATCGAGAACTTACGGACTCCGGAAAATCTGGTACCCTTCAAAGATCACTTGGTCTACATTCATCGCAAGCCCTAAATGCTCAGCACTTTGACTGGTATCAGGTGTCTGAAACTGTTATGGCCCGGCTCTGCAACCCACCCTTGGAGTGTCGAGAGCGAGTGCTGGATAATCAGTTGGAACTCTCGGGACTCAACGTGAAAGAGGATATGTATAAGTTAAATTCTATAACTTTTGGTTCGCAAATTCATTGAGTGGACAATTCTCAACTGTCCTGGGTATTTGGAGAGGAAAGAAGCAGTAGGCATTATGACAAGACTATCATTGACAGAGTCACGATCCAGGCCATATATAGTTGATAGTGCAAATAAGCAATTGTTCGTAACCTAACCCACCCTGAGACCGCTATCCTACGGTTCCCGGTAACTTCTTCTTTTCTGTCTTCAGGATCTCGTGCTTCTTGTCAATATATTGAGCAGCCCCCCGCCCCCCAAAAAGAATTATAGCACAACAGTTTCGCTTATACCCATCACCATTATCCAAATCCTCAAGATATCGCAATAAACCTCATACTCACTCCTCTAATCAAAGTTCAAGGTCCCAAGTATGCAAACTTAGATGGAGTCCAATCCTACCTCACAACAGTATTCCGATCATGCTGCTTCTCAACACTCTGCCCCGGCGTACCCCACAAAACAGGTATCACAGACCCCATAAAGAAGGGAACCTTTCCATCTCCCATCCTCCTCCGTCTGAGTTCCTCTTCTAACTCAAAGCGTCGTTTCGTCCGCGCCTTCCTCGCACGTTTCCTTGCCCTCCTAGCACTTCGTGAGTGGGTGGTTGACTCTTCTTTATGGATAAATAGTGTCTTCAACCAGTTGAGCATTGAGCGTGGCCAGGTCTGTGTGATGTACGTAGTCTAGAGGGTTGAGCTGCTGGTTCGAGGCCGTGTTAGTATGCCAGGTATGAGAACGCGAAGGTGGGGGTGGGTGTTGTGTTCTACCTCATGTGATGTGAGTTGGGGGTTGGGGTTGGAGATGTTCTAGTTGCTGGGGTAAGAAAATTGTCCGGCTTTGGTATCTATCTGTGTGGAGTTTGTTTGGTTATATGGACGGTGGCTGTGATGCTATCCTTCAGGCGTCCAATAGTGGGGGCTAAGAGTCTAAGGCAACGATCGATGTAATAGATCATCCAATCATATTCAGATGGCCATGTGGCTTAGCCAAGACACGATTTTTATGCGAAATATTCCTGATATCGAACAGCTACTTCTCTTTACTATATTGTACGCATTCTGGTTTCAAGATATACGCTAGCAATAGAGCCATATACGTGATCAGGTAGATTTGACTTATTTTGGGATAGCAAAACATGGAATTTCATACAAGCTTCACGGTCTAGGCATATACGATTCGAAAGCTATCTAAAGAAAGGAGAGTCGATTTTGGTCGGCACTGTCCAACAGTTTATAACTTCAGATGACGGGGCCCATTGAAAAGCTCCGGGTTTATATAAATACTCCTCCTAGGTGGAAGATAGGAAGATCCCAGACTCTTGCCTCTAAACTATGGTTAGATGGTTCTACTACACGTACTAGTATTATACTATTTCGCATCCCGTAGAATTAGAGTCCACTTGCTTGCCCTTGCGCAACCGCTAGAACTATACGGTTTACGGGACAAAGTAAGAATTACTCAAATTAATCAAATTGATCAAGGCGAGTACATGGGCCAGAACCCCCTGACAAGGAAAAGGAGGGGGAACAAAACAAAGATGGAAGCCCTGCCTCAGGTTGAGCTCTGCATCTTCGACCAACCCTCACAAAGTCCAAACACCGTGCGACAATTTTTACCGACCTCAGCGACTAGGTTAAACTTCTTCCATGACCCTTGGCCGCGATGGTGCACTAATGCTGTGGGATCTGTGTTGGGCCTAGAGCCCATGTTCCCGTACTTTCCTCTACCGGGACTATACATGTTTTGTTAATCGATCTCTCGTGTACGATTTTCTCAAAGAAGGATTCACCTGAAACTAGAAATAGGGAGGATCAGCACATCGTCGACTAGCTTGGCCTTCCCTCCATCCTGCAGGCCAGTCAGCGCATTCCACCTCAACCCAGACGAGGCATTGAGCCATTCCTGAACAGCATAAGTCACGGCCTCCGGACCTGTCAAAGTCAAAGGATCAAGGGCCTGTAGCTCAGTACGAGCGGCTGACGTTTGTAATCCGCCGTATTGATCTGCGATTGCCTGTAATTGGTGAGCCAGATTCTCGAGGTATCGGTATAGGAGAGGATGGTCTCGTGTTGAGGCGAACGACCATTGAGTTAGCTGGATTGAATACGGATAGCCCATGCGCCAGCATGTGTGGTCAGTGGGCAGACAATCTGCTTCGATGCCGAAAATTGCCCGAACAGGCTTCGTAGAGTTATAGACGGACCTAGTCTCGAGGTCTGTCCATGACAGAATATCCTGTGGAGTGATCCACTGGGCAGGTGACTTGAGTGGCACGCTATCGAGATCTCCATACTAACAGCTGGTCAGTTTAAAGTCGGAGGGGATCGAGCCGGCACGTGTATGATAGGACTTACGATCCCGCCAACAAATGTAGCGACTAGGATACGAAAGTAGTCTGTTTTCTCAACCATTGATGGTAGCGACGAATAATGCTCATGGGACTCAGGCGCAAAGTGATCGATAAAGTCTACCATGCCCTCATCTTCCCAAAGAAAATATGCCATTTCACCCTCGACCACGAATTGCAGCCATCTTTCGACACTTTGCCGTAAGTCTTCTGGCCAAGTGTCAATTCGCCGGTGACCCCATGTCTGATGGATGATTCAAGGGATGAGTGAATGTGGCACCAAACGGCGTGCTTCGCCAGATTCAGTCGCTTGGTTTACCAATTGCGCGGCTTCGATTATAGTTTGAGGTTCGGGATTTGGCTGCACCCAATTTGCCGCTATAGACCACAGTAAGATATATCGATTCAGTGACTGTTAACAAAAGCGCATAAGACGAAATCATCCTTTGGTGAAACGAAAACCAGTGTGTGGAATGTGTAATGTATCGCTTACCTCCCCCATGTCGTTCAAAAGTATGCACGTGTTTCCAAACCAAAGGGTATCGCTCTTTCAACGAGGACACGACTGGCACATGGCGATGACGATTAGAGAAGGCCAAGAAGCCCAGACATACTATTAAAAATGCCGAGAGAAACGTTAATCGGCGGTAGCGGGCGCGAGACACCATTTGGGAGGATCCTCAACAGTCTTGATCAAGCAAGGGGTAAAGACATGGCTTTGACGGGATGAAGTTTATTAACCGAGAACCACAAACGAAAACTTGCAGATTGAAGGCAAGGGGAACAAAATGCGCAGAAAATTGAGAGATCTTCAGCAACAGTAATGTTCGTGCAACAGCCTGGAAAATTGCAGGTGAGCCAAGGCAGAACACATACCAACCACTTCAGAAGTGAACACAGCGCGACATATTTTAGCTGAGACACGACTCACTCCGTTGGGGATATTTTCGCCGGGTTGACTTCTACACCATTGGTTACTTTTAAAACAGACTGCACACTAAATTCCAATGGTGAAACAAAGAACAACGACCATTCTGGAGGATATCAACCAGACTCCCCCTAATCGCTCAGTACCAGTCCACATTATCATTAACATGAAATGGGCGTAATTCCTAATTTATAAACAGGGAACGGAGACGAGGATCTCATTTTCCCAGATGATAGGCTGGCTTCGTACGTGCTTCAACTAGAAGAGTCACTGCTAGAAGTTGCGTAACATCAGTCTGCAAAATTTATATTGACAAGCTATGAGCCTTATTCACCGCTGCGAATCTCGAATTGCAAAAGAAAGCAGACGATTCATATCTAGGTTGGCTCTGTCGTAAGGATGATTAACCGTTCTTCTGTATCTGAAATAAAAGGAATCCGATGGCACAGAACTCAATCGATGCTAGAGCGGAGGCAATTGCTCATATTATCATCAACCATCCGATGCTGTGTGCTGCAAGTAGAAAAGTACCGGATATTCTTCCATATTGACAGTCATGGCCGCAGAGTGAGCACGCATGCAAGTGTACACATGGTCGCTCCGAAACCGAGTTGGACAACGTAATAATCTCGCAGTCTCTCGACGGAAGGGTTCATTGTAGAGTTCGATCTCGAAGTCATTTGAAGGAGTATTACAGGCAAAGCTCGATCGGCGATTAAAGAACCTATTGGATATATAATTGTTATTCTTGGATTGTGAAAAGCACAATAAGAGCGATGAACTATGTGATTGTTTACCGGAATTGCCCTTGTCAAGTATGGATACAGCCCCCAACAACAGAATGAATGCCCATGGTTGAGCACCCAGGTAGCGTGCGACCTTGCCAACAATATCTCAAGAGAATTGCATCTATCCATTCCGATGGCGATATCTCGGATCCGACAAAGTGTTTAACCGCTATGGCTTCGTAGAGCTTCAAGTTTCTACGAGGAAAGTCAATGCTCCGTAAAAAGTAAATCTTAAGCGAAAGCTAATAGGATTAGACTGTTGGCTCATCAAGCGCGCGAGGAAACTATGTTCCAAGGTTTGAGACTATCCACACAAAGATACCTCGTATTCCCCAGAGCACACCAGAGAAAAGTGTCTACCCAAGAAGTCCAGAACCAACAAGTTCTCTCCTATCATAGCCACTCCACAACATCAGACCAGAGACAAACCTATAAATCAAACCCTACCAAAACCTACCTCTGCAACTCTTTTACATATCCGTTAATCTACCCCGCAAGCTAATCAACCTATCGTAGAGACCTTCCTAAACAACCCTTCTCCACCCGGATGCTGCAGAGCATAAAGCAAAAAAAAAAAAAAAAAAAAAAAAAAAAGAAAAAAAAAAAAGAGGAGTTTCGCACTGACCGGTAAACTACAGATACGGAGTATGGGGTACAGACCTAGGGGGAAAGGACAAAGCTTCCCAAAGCGGGGACTGGACTGATGAGTTGGCAGTCTCGGCTTGAGCTTACTCAGTTCTGCGGTATGTTGTAGGCTACAGTGATAACAATGACGATGATAATCACGATGAAAGTGAGCATGTATGTAAAATGTTACCCCGCGTGGCTGTGTTTGTGATACCTACTAGTAGTTTCAGGGGGTCGGACTGGCGAGGGGATTTGGAATTGGTGACTCGGATGTATTTGGTGCATATGTCTGTGGTGCGCAGTTTACCAGGAGGAACTTTGACCTACTGAGGTATAGAAGTGCAGAATATCCGTGATAATGTCGATATTGAATCACATACATTGAAGGGAGGGGGAACGTACACCAGAAGGGAATAAGATGGAGAGGGGATTTCAACGCTCGGATCCCTGGTGTCTCATCAGGTGTTCTGCCCACGTACATACACCTACCTACCTTGCTCACCGTAGTCACTTTTGACCCCCCAGTCAGATAACGTCCGTGCGAGCTACCACCCCGGTCCAGTGGCAGGTACGGCCTTTGGGGATCCGGGCTAATAGGAATCGGGGGACCGCGCTGTCTCTCGGGCGGGGAGTGAGGAGATGGTCTGAAGATAAGAGTTCATGTGAGCTGTTGCAGTCTGGGCGATGTTTGTTTGTTATTTAACTGAATATGTAGTAAGAATTGATATTGGGATGAAAGCCTTGCTATGGGTATAGATTGTTCAATGTGGCTGGTTAATTAGTTAGGGTTACATTATTAGAAATTTAACATGCATGATTTCCTGGTGGGGCCCGCCGCTATAGCTTCATAGTACTTCAAGCATGTCAACCAAGACTGGCTTACTTAGTATGTACGATGCTGCTTGCCTCCTATGGTGATCTTCGGAAACCAGATGGCCGGCGTTATTGTTTCAATAGGCGAAAGCGAGCTACGGGTTCAGAGCCCGACACGGATAGCCGTAGATGTCTACGAGGTAAACTCGGGTGCTAAGTCTTTGGCGCCTGTCTGAGACCCTAGCGCTGTCTATGCGTAGACATACGTACTCGTACTAGGTTTTAGTGTAGTACTTGGGGCCGCACTTTCGACCAAGCTTTAACTTCACTAAATGGGGCCGTTACGCCAGCTCTGGGTACCGTGGCCGATGGTTGGTTGACTGACGAGCTTGCACGGACGTCTGACCCCTAAGGTATACATTAGTAGATTCTCCTCTTCGTTTACTTTTAGATACACTTTTCAACAACACCGGCTCTTCAGGTGAAGATATGCGCTATTCCCCCCTCATGGATATTGCGCTCCCTGTTCGATGACAGGCATTGTGAGCAGTCAGTGACTCCCCCTATTGTAGACCTTTTCTTTTAACAAAGTTAGACACTAAGGATGTTGATAGATAGCTTCCCCTCGCAACCAATGCATCTCCGCATGAATGGTCGCAACTCTCATGACCAGGTCAAGACCGATCGAGACCATTGATTGCGAACTGTATAGATAGTACTGTATTCGGTTCAGGCAAAGTGCTGTCACAAAAGGTCAATGCCACACTGAAGCCATCGCTCGTCTAGAAGTTGTTGGGAGCAACGATCGGAAGGTTATTCCTATGGTCCACTTTGTAAATGCTTCATCGTTCAGAGCCAAGTCAATTTGATATCGAGTTAAGTGATAAGGAGGTTTGTCAGCACACTCGCCGCAGTAAATTCCTTATCAACAATCCCCACGGGGCATTTTGACCCAAGCATGAGAGAGCGCTCCACCTCAGGTTCGGGACCTATCGCTGTCCGGACAGGACTAGAAACCTCTCCGCTCAATGCGTGGGGGATTGACTCTACATACATTGACCCATCCGTAAAGTGCTTACCGCTAAGGACTAAGTAGCAAAAAATGCGATCGCGTGCTTCCGACATGATCTTAAGGCTGTCAAGTTGAACAGGCCGGAGAATGGTTGAAAATCTCCAAGGACGTGCGCATCCGGCAAAATAATTCTCACCGCCGCGCTCGGGGTTTCCAAGCAGTTGGCGATGGCAACAGACAAGAAAACTCTAACGGCCCATATAATTTTTGGGCAATACGGGAGACAGGCTTCCGGAAAGACGGGTCTCGAACACAGCCGTATCTGTCGATCAAAGGGCGAGCGTGCGAAATTTTGATTAATCGTCGCCGATTACCCGCTCGGGCCCCAAGTCTCCGGTGACGGACCGCATGGAGACGGCGTACGCACTAGCGAGTCGTACGGCGTAGGTACTAGGTATGTACTACTACTTGTTAGAGGTCAAGGTAGACTAGAAATGGGGCCGGTGAATAGCGCTTTGGACGACAGGGATGTCGGCCATAGTCTTGCGTGTTGATCGAAAGTGGATGTTCAGACTTATTCGAGTTCATAGAGTCTGATTTCCAAAGAAGAGGTGCACGAAAAAACTAAATTTCATGCGATGTGCTATTGTGTAAAGTTGTTAATATTAGTTATTATTATTATTTATGTAAGTTTTCTGTGGCTGGCGGTGTGTCCAGTCAGGGGAACTTGTTTGCATTTCCCCAGTTTGCGCGATAGACGGTCAAAAGTGTAGTGGACTTCGAGAAGGTCTTTCATAGTTTAGATAAGCGAGGCAATCATGAATACCATCATAATAGTCACACTCTCTAGGACCTTCCCTCGTCTGCAATAATGTCCCTGTCAATTGCGCAGACGATCGGTATCGGGGGGTTCGGAAGGAAACCTGACTCTTAAGGGCCAATCCGCTGCCGAGTCGGAGAGCAACGTTACCTAACCTGACTAGAATATTTTCCCGACACCTATTAAACTATTATTGATAGGGTTTGAGTATATATTAATTACTCGAGATATCCGCGACGCCAGTGGCAATCAAAATTCGACCATCCTCGCAAAGGCTGGTAAGAAGCACTGCTGTGAAACCTGGGCTATAAGATTCATCTATTGCCATGAAACATTAGTTACTATGCATATCGAAAGAAAATAATTTAAAATCTATGTGCACAGACGGCGCATAGTGAGCTTGGGATGAGATTTTAGGTCGCGACCCATGTAAGCCCAGGGGTTAACGAAGCTATATACCAGTGTTGACATTAGGTACCTTGGGATGCCAATGGACTGGGGCAAAGGTCTAGATGGAAAACTTGAAAGTGGGTACTGAGAGGATGCATGCATCCAACGTTACACGGACCCAATGATAAGGCAGTGGATATAAAAAATTTTAGACAAAGAAATTGGCGAACAAATTCTTTCCCAGACATACCCAGGCTTTGGTTGTATACCTCCTCTTCATCCAGAGCACTATTTACATGAGTAAAAGGACTTCGCTTCCTATCAGCATCAATGGAAAATACTTATGCTGTACGACAGAAGGCCAAATCACCCAATTGTGCGTCAGCAGTTCCGTCTACAGTATATGCCGTGAACGGCAATTAGGGACTCTTCCGACCAGTAAAACGCCTATCCGGGAGTCATGCCAAGACCGGACCGCGTGGGGTTCGGTGGCTCGTTCAAGAAGAAAATTTTCTTGGGTACAGTGCATGCACGGACATCAGTCGAAAAGTGGTGAAGAGAAGGGAAAAAGTAAAAGAGGAGAAAAAGAAATACAAAGGGAGAGAGGGACTGAGCTCGGATTCAAATCCTTGGGAAAGAATATCTGATGTCATGATTGCACGTTCCAAGGAAATAACTTGTTGGGAGGACGGCGCTAGTTCTCTTAGTGGATTTTGTCAAGGGTAGTATCAAGGTTCCGGGAATGAACATGAATTAGTCGACTACGTTATGTACCTTAATTGAGTGGTTATCAATGTGGACTGATTCAGTCCTTCCCGTCAGATTGAGGTGTAATGATGGCACTTGGACCAAAAGTAATACACCGAGTGTCGCAAAAGGGGAAGGAGTTCAATCTTTCCATTACTAGAGTGCATGACAGTTAATTGGTTCGCATGCTGTACGTCAGGAGATTCGAGACTGCATCTGCATAACATTCATGGGGGACATATCTCTTGACTACTAGTAGTGACTAGTGTGTCAAAGCAAGGGGAGCAATCACAGTCCTAATATAAGCAAAGTAACAATATTCTCCTAGTCTCAGACCATCGACTCTATCTAGACCGTTGAGGGCCATCGCGAGTGAGCATGCGCAGGTTTCATTGGTCGCTCCTGATAACGATACCGGCGCTAAATTGGGTTCTGGAGAATGCAGGCTAAAGAGGGGGGGGGGGGTGGAGAACTGATAGGACACTGACTTACTTTAGGGTGCGGTGACTAAAATTGAGGGTAAAATGTATCGCACGTCAGGCCCCATATACTGCCAATTACTTTGGTCCTAACCAGAAATTGGCCCACCACTGTCGCAAACAGCAAGACAGCATTTCCAAGAGTGGTAATATTTCCTACCAGCCCGTATCCCTTATCAATGGAACATGTATTAGATCAGAGTGAACCCCACCTTAAGTTAGGGGGATCCCGAGATCAGGGAAGAAGAGCGAAAAAATACCCTTCCAGTATGATGTACAATCGAAGAAGATTGAGAATTTAACCAGGTGAGTCGGATATGTATCGCGACATCATTTACAAACTAGACCTGCAGGGAGACACGTATTCCTTGATTTAGGACATTCCTGGGCAGTGACGCTAGTGGACGTCCGACCTCCTCGGAGACATGCAGACCGATGGATCTTGTCAGGGTGCTAAGTACTACTCATCGTATGTAAATATACCTGCATAATGGAGATGCATACACACATATCCGCTCTCCGCCATTGAGAAGGCCCTGTTCATTCCGGAGCTGCAGCCTTGAAGATCACCTGCCCTTGCCATTGACCACCACATGCACATACTGACAGATAAACCGACATGCATCATCAACACATACGGCACCCGATCGCAAGGATTTGGCGAAATGCCATCCATGGGAAAGACAACGCGATATCGGGGATGACGGGTAAAAGATTTCTCAAATCATTCAGCAGGTGGGTGTATAAATTTTATAAAATATATGAAGTAGATATACTTCCGATTAGATCCCTTAAGATTTGCCACAGAGCAAGCCACCATGAAACTGTGACTAAAGGAATATTGGACGGCGGTCTGGCCGATGGGAGATCGTGGGGGGCAAATCAAATGTCGTGAGAATCTGGAACTATAACCTGACCGTCCGGTACCCTCCATCTACCTGGAGCTCTTCCCTTCGACCCACTGGGTCGGAACGCACTGACTGGTCTGTTGGGGGATCGTCCCACTGTCCCAGACCGTTCGATCGCCTATTTTAAGTTGGTGTATTACCGCTAATACCACCTCCTCGTCCTCTCGTTATCCATTGGTTTTGGCCGGTTTCCGGGTACGGCGGCAAACTTTAGCCTTAGGCTACGAACTTATCGCCATGTATAGTAACGGTCACGGCGGAAAAAGTAAAAATAACACTAAAAACGAAAAAAAGAAAAAAGAAAAAAGAAAGAGCACTAAAAAGTGGATTGCTTGAGTAACCGATTGAATGTCGTTTTTGCCATCAAGGGGTTGATGATAAAAAATTGAAAAATTAAAAAAAAAAAAACCACTAAACATAGAAGAAAAGAAATCGCCATGGAAGATTAATTCGACAGTGGGAAAGAAAAAAAAAAAAAGAGTCTGTTTCAACTTAATTTCGTTTTCGCCCCTCTTGACTATTAGGAACAGTAGCAAGTCAAAAAATCCAAAATTCTCCGGTCATTAGGTTTCTTATCAACGATCATCTCATTGCCTTGATATATTGTGTACTGCGGCTCCATCTCCGGTCCCCGTTCTCCTCCCACCATCATCATCTCCACATCTCCCATATATTTCCTTTCTCCCTCCATGATTGATCATCCCATCTTTCTCTTTCAACATCGGGGTTGAGTCTTACTAATTCCCCCATCTCACTCTTGTCTCCCCTCCCCAGTTCTTACAACTTGAAACGCGATTGCTTCACTGGAATTATCTTGCTTTTTCTTTTCTTTCTTTGTTTCATCTCACTAGATGTCGAGCTTTCAAGGTATGTGCACATCTGTTCATCGAATCGTGATGCAATTTCCTTCTATGGCACCATCCCCCTTGTCATGCCACAGCGATTCTTACGTCGGTGATTTTCTCGAATCCCGTTCTTTGCGAGTCCTTCTGTATCACCACAGGAAGGGATGGGGTGTTGTGATACGCTCGCCTTTGCCTCCATTCCCCGAGTACGGAACTGATGTCCAACGCTCCTTCTTGTGGTTTCTTATGCACCATTTCTTTCGCATTTTCTCTCCAGGTTGCGTGCCGATCTTTCTTGAACACAACAGTTCTACCTTGATTTCAATTCACTGTCCCTGTACGACTTGACCATATGTTAATCTGTCGCCACCCTTGTGCTCAGCTTCAACCTAATGCTTCAGCATTGCTGTCCACTACAACACACTGTGCTAACTCATCCAAAAGATCGTATTGACGGGGCCAGCTTGTATAAGATCCTTGTCTCTTAATATCTACAACCTTACGAGAAGCAAAAGTATCCCTGTTGCTCTATTAGATCGCTTCTTGTGTTTGATCACACAAATCCGGCCGGATGCCATACACTGCGCCGCTCAAGTCGTCGCCTTTCGCGCAACATATTGAGAACATTGAGCCAGAGTCTCAGTCTTGCCCCACGTCACCTACCTTGGTTGACCCGCCGGCGGGACGACCACGCCTGTCTCGGTCTTACTCTTCGACAGCTTATGTACGCAGACACCGCAGAAGCCCATCAACCAGCAAATCGTTCACTTTCCCGGTCCCAGAGAATGTGCGGAAGTCCAAGCAGACAATAGATTCTCATGCTACCATCAGGCAATCGCCACCTCCACGAAGTGATGCTCTTATCCCTCCTGGGGCGATGATCTCTCCTCCGGAATCTGCCCCAAACTCTAGTGATGAAGAATCCAATGATGGTCACAGGGAGGGGCTTCGCCTGCAGGAGTTGGAGGTAGCTGTGAGGTCTATCGAGCAGAGGCGCGTTTCTTCTCCAGAGCGAGAAACTCAAGAGAGGAAACCGTCGTCTAGCGTAGCGCAACTAACTAATCATACTAAGAAACAACCTCATCCGCCTCTTTCTAAGGAAGCGCGCAAGATCTCCCATTCACGCTCAATCACAGAGCACGCCATCGATCTAAAACAAGAGGAGGCTGTGACGAGCTCTCCCGATGAGAGCGATGGAGATAACGACTTGAGGACGAAACGACCCATGGTGCGTAAGAAGTCAGGGGAGCTCGTTAGACCGGCTCTCCGTCCTCCTGCGGCGCGACGGCGGCCGTCGAGCATGCCTGGGACGCCAACATATGCCAAGGCCGTGCACTTTGATGCTCAGCTAGAGCACATTCGCCACTTTTTGCAGTTGGATAAGCCCCAGGCTGTGAGTGCCGGTGCATCTCCAGTAGACGACTACGAATCTGAAGGAGGTTTTCCGTTCAACAAGGATCAGCCAGACATGTCTTCCTATGAATGGGATATTAGACTCCCAAATTTTCCTAGGGATGTCTCAACCCGAGTGCATCAACGAGTTCGGCTTGAACGCTTGTTTTTGTCGTCGGACAAGAACACCTTGGTTGGTGTGGTGGCGGTCGCTAATCTAGCCTTCCACAAACATGTCGCAGCTCGTTTCACATTCGATCATTGGAAGACGATCTCTGAAGTTATTGCTGAATACAGTGATGACGTTCGCCGTAAGCAGATTAATGATGGATACGACCGATTTTGCTTCAGTATCAAGCTGGACGAGCAGGCAAATCTAGAAAAGAAGACCATGTACCTTTGCGTTCGTTATTACGTCAATGGACAGGAATTCTGGGATAACAACCGGGCAATGAATTATCAGGTTACCTTCCTTAGGATTCCTACAGCGAAGTCGGACACTCAAAGTCTATCTGTCAAACCGATCGCAGTATCTCGCGCCCCTCTTCCTCGGAGTAAGACCTTCGCTGGCTCTAGCGCCAACAACCAAGGAAAGCCCCCATCCTTCGATGACTTTTCGAGTATGAACGACTATCTTTCATTTGACCGCAAGACCCGAGGTGCTAAAGATCGGCCTCCATATGGAGGTAAATCACATGATGACGACGCGGTGGCTCCCGTGCGTCGTGACAAGCAGTCTTCCCAGATATTTGGTAGTCGTTATGATTTCGAAGCATCTTTGAATGCTGCGATGCGTACTAAGTCAGCGCACGACCGGACCACGCTCACTGCTCGGGCAAAGTCCGAAGTCTCCCCACCAGGGGGCGGGAAGTACAGCCCTGTCAAAGGAAGAGGGACGATTGTCGACCAGCCTCTGGGCGATAATTATTCACAGTCAAGAACCCAACCTCAGGCCGAACCATTGAAACCGTCCTCCTTATTGTCAAGCAAGCCTCATCGAGAATCCTCGGTGTATAAGGAGCTTGTTGACCGATATTGTTTCTTTGGTTCCTCGAACCCTTCCCACAACCCTCGTCCTATACCAAGCTTGGATAAGTCTTCCCCTCATAGCACGCAAACGTCTTCTTCTCAATCCTCACCAACAGCGTCGCCCAAGATGGACACAGCTACTGGCAACAACTCCCGAAATTCTTCACCCACTCCACACAGCTATCCATATATTGAATCCATGCAGAGCAGTTTCCTCAAGGAAACACATAGACCAGCAGTTATTCACGGATGAACGAACCTGCACCCTAACGACGAACTATATTCCGCCTTACACGTCTGACGAGTTGGGCGTTTCGTCATCTAAATAACATCTACTACTATCCAACAACATACTGCGCCCGCTCGTCAGATACGAGAATGATTGATCATTTTCCCTCCGATGTTTATTCTTACGATGTATCGTGCAGTATGCGACATGCCATTTCTATTGCAACCCTAATGTTACTTTTGTGATACCTCTTTTTTCTCTGTTATAATTGTGCCTCTCTCGTGGTGTTGAAGCTCGAAGTATGGCCTTTGCGATGGTAATAAACCGCGGGTCCTCACTTCTTGCGCTTCCTTTCTTCCGCTGAAGGGGCATAAAAGTCATGGTTACATGGCGTTGGTACCTCGATTTGTATGCTCTCGCCCGGGTGTTGGTTGTTTTTCTTTTCTTTGCTTTTATCCTTCTCATGATCATGAAGTTATGTTTCTCTAGTAATCTATTTGTTGGTCGGCAGCATGCATTGAGAGCGGTTTTATGATACAGCATCCGGACGAGGATGTCGTTAAAAGAAGTCGATTGCATTCAGCATGTTGTTAATTATCATTATTCGACTTGAGCGTTGTACGGAGTTCGATCGCACATTTTCGTCCAACTCCCCTCCCGAGTTTCTTTTCCTTTCCTTTCTCTAAAGGCGTCTTGGTACGATAGCGGGAGTATGTATGACAGATACAATACGGAGTACAGGTTTACAATTAAGTAGGTGGTTTTGACATGAGCTACCAATTCTCGACGATCTCTGACTCTACATCGGGTGTAACTGAGTTAATCCAACGTAACATGACGAGTCAGTTGAACTGTTAGATTCAAAAGTCGTACACCTGTTTCGGTCACTGCTGGCCGTGGCGCGTCCTCACTCAACTAGGTATGTAGGCGACCCGCAAGAAGAATGTAAGGTTGGGCTTGTTCATCCCCAGGATGTCCAGTGGTAAGTGTGCTGGATCAGAAGTTTCAAGTATTTAGCAGGGCATTGCAGATATACAATTATTGCTTTGCCTTGCTTTTTGTAGAGAATCAGGAGTGCAGGAAGCCTTCAACAGAGGTTGAGATATCCGGATGTCAAAATCACGTGACCTGGGGACCCGCTCTCGGGGTCCCGCGTTCCAACGGGTGATGCACCAACAACGAACGCCCAAAAACACGGGCTTGAAAGCGGTCGTTCATAACGCCCATTTTCACCCCCGCTACCCGCCAATCAACACGCTGCATTGCTTTTGACTCTCCCAGGGCATCCTCCTGCGATTAGTCATTAACCCTGTGGGAAATTCTCAGGCGAAATCACCCTTTCCCTTGCCGCCCGCCCGGAAAAGCTATATAAGCTACAGCCCCTCTCTTTACCAAGCCTTCTCTGACGCTCTTTTCCCCCTTCTTCTTGCAACCTCTGATTTCAGCAACCGGCCCGCAACGCGTCGCGTCTATCGCCCTACAACCCACCGTTACCATCTATATCTCATCGATTTCCATCTCTTTTCATCCTACTTGAACTTTAGACAACATGTCTGGACGTAAGTACTTTCCTGTTCTTCTCCTTTAGTCTTCGAAAACTCTCTCAGCGTCGTCGGCATCCAAGTTGATGATGCGCCCCTGGGGCACGTGATGTCATGTTATGGCCTGAGGCAGACAGTGCCTTGTATCCAATATCCCATCCGCCCTCTGGCTTTCTGTGGACACTCCCTAGCCTACTTACATCAAACCGTCGTTAATTCTTGCTGACTTCCATTTCCTTTAGGCGGTAAAGGTGGTAAGGGTCTCGGGAAAGGTGGCGCCAAGCGTCACCGCAAGATCTTGCGTGACAACATCCAGGGTATCACCAAGCCCGCCATCCGTCGTCTCGCTCGCCGTGGTGGTGTCAAGCGTATCTCCGCCATGATCTATGAGGAGACCCGTGGTGTCCTTAAATCCTTCCTCGAGTCTGTTATTCGTGATGCCGTTACCTACACCGAGCACGCCAAGCGTAAGACCGTCACCTCGCTGGACGTGGTCTACGCCCTCAAGCGCCAAGGCCGCACCCTCTACGGTTTCGGTGGCTAAATGCCCGACCTTCGATTTCTTTTTGTTTTGTTCCTCGTCCGACGTTTAATGGCGGTTGTCGCCACACGACCGATTCTCGCTGGCTCGAATGGACGGAGGTGCTGAGCGCTTTACGGTGTGATACTTGTTTCTCAATCAATTTTCTTTTTCATGGAATCTGTGTCATGATTACCACTAGGTACGGGGTTTTGGGACGGTCGGTTTTCTTTTTCATTTATCCTGAAGGATGGTATTTGTCGGGCTCGGTACGGTTTCGGTTGGAGGGAGCAATGGGTTGAACTTTTTGTAGACTCATTGGAATAACAATCAAACTACCTAGTAACATATACTTTCGATTCAAATTTCGTAGACAAAAATAATATTGAAGATTCACAGCTGCATCCTGGATCACATGCCGCGACTGTTCCATGCACGGGCCACACGTGAGCATGACGTTATTGCCAATCCAAGGCTTTGAACCTCGGCCGATGTTTAACGAGAAGACCTCTACATACTAATCATCTGGACATTGCATGATAACGATTCGATCCATTTCTGTTTCATATCTTTTCGATATGAGCCCATCCTCGGCTGCGCTGTATTCAATCTTGATCCCACAATCCGCGACGTGAGCATTATTATCGACCTTTACATGTACTCCGCATAATTCCCCACTTTGATCACAGCTTTCCCCAGTTGGACTGAATCCCGATACTGCAATTTTTCCTGGACAAAATGCCCGAGTACGCAGTGTCATATAATCCTGAGTTGGTATGCTGACACCGGCGTTGTTGACTTCGTACGGGATCTCATTTCTAAACACTGATTGGCCTACAGGATACCTACTCCCTTTACCAGCGATACGAAGAACCCCGACCGAACAAAGACTGGAAAACGGCCGCCCTCCGTGGCCCAGCACTTCCAGCTCTGGGAAATGCAGTAGCTGGTGCCGTGGGAGCGGCTATATCGAATGTCGCTACATACCCGCTGAGTCTTATTATTGCCCGGCTGCAAACACAGAACCAATGCAGCCCCAAAAAGACAGCAAAAACTAAAGGAGAGAGTGAAGAAGAAAAGACGGAAGGACAGGACAAAGACACGGAGGACAGTAATGAAGAAGACGAGAAAGAATACACCGACATTCTAGACGCGGCACGCAAGATCTATGCCAAAGAGGGGCTTGGAAGCTTGTACACCGGTCTTGCCCAGGACACGATCAAAACCGTAGCCGACTCATTCCTGTTCTTCCTAGCGTACGGATTCTTCAGACAGCGGAGGATTAACGCGCGATATGGCCCCTCCCGGAAAGGCGGGAAGCATGTAGTTCTACCTATATTGGACGAACTAGCCGTCGGTGTTTTAGCGGGCGCGTTTGCGAAACTGTTCACAACACCGTTGGCCAATATCGTGGCGCGGAAGCAAACCTCGAAGTCTTCAGCCAGCACTAGGGATATTGCTGCTCATATTCGAGCCGAGAAGGGTATCAAAGGTTTCTGGTCAGGTTATTCGGCTTCACTTATCCTTACGCTGAACCCGTCCATTACATTTTTCCTGAATGAGTTCTTAAAGTATAGCCTTTTCCCACGGGACAAGCGTGGAAAACCGTCCGCGGCTACTACCTTCCTGTTAGCTGCTATCAGCAAGTCGGCTGCGTCATCAATCACGTATCCGATTTCCATGGCTAAGACTCGAGCTCAAGTTACCAGCTCGAGCTTCACCCCTTCAACCAATAACGGGGAGAAAGATGACTCCGACGATGGACTGTCATTGATACCGCCCATCATTTCCAATGTGGTCAGTATAGCCCGCACGGAAGGCATCCAAGCTCTCTACGCAGGTCTACCAGGCGAAGTACTCAAAGGCTTCTTCTCCCACGGGTTCACCATGCTCGCAAAGGACGCAGTATACTCCATCATTGTACAGAGCTACTATCTTCTCCTCGTTGCCTTGCGACGATACCCTACACCGGATGAATTGATCGAGCGAGCCCGCCAGCAAGCTGAGGAATGGGCCGAAGCTGCCCGGGAAGGTGCCCGCGACCTCGCAGAGAAAGTCAAGGATACGGATACCAATGTTCTTGATCACAATGCGGGCAATGTAGCTGTCGAAATGAGTTCTAGCGGCCCCGTTTCCCCAACACTAGGCCTGCCGGAGGGAAACGAGACGGCTGAGTTGGTGGGAGATTATGTGGAAGATGAAGCGACCGAGTGGAGGAGCTTATACCATTGGTTCTGGGAGAAGGAGAGGTATGGAAAAGAGTAGCTCCATCCTGTATCTTACTATTTTGTGTATGTTGATGACGTTCAGCGAGATTATAGATATTTTGCGCAGTCGATTCGGCGCTAAATGCCTGCTCATGTCATTGTGTTGTATTTGTTTTCTCGATATATCATTAATAATAGCATGGAGTAGCATCATGGAGATTATACAGTATATGCGTCTACCGTGTAGGTTTTCTCTCGTAGTATTACTGGTTTAGCACGTTATCCTTGTACGCTTACTTGGTAAAACGAATCTCCCGTTGTACAATGTTAGATTATTATCAAGTCCATTACTGCTCCAGGCAGTTCAGTAAGTAAAAAGAAGCGTTTCATCAAACGAATAACAGGAACGCAGAACACTTTCCTATACAAAAACAGGAGGTAAAGATGCTAGATGAACAAATCAACCATAGGTGTTCAGACAGCCGCCAGGTATGCAAGCAGAACAAACAGTCCTCAGACAGAAGAACAATATGCACACATACAATGTCTTTGAAACCCGTAAATCATCTGTGTCACAAATAAAACCAGAACATAAAACGAAACAAAACAATAAAAGGTATCATAACAATCTGTTTTTGTCTTCCTCTGACCGTTGCCGGTATGCATAGTAAATTATCGGTAATATTCGTGACAACTGAAACACTGTCATGTCGGTTCGTAGAATATTAATGAGAATATATTAGTTCATTCATAAATCGTCAATCCGTCGTTATTTATCATGAGATTTCATGAGCGGCAAAAATCGCCGTCTAAACGCTTGCTGTTCTGCGTTTCTCGCTCGGCTTCTGTGCATATGCGATCAAGAGCCGAAACCCAGTGCCTCGCTTCTGGCATTCGCGGAGTACCTTCTTATCGGACCAGATGCTGAGGCCTGCGTCGCCGTTCGCTAGGACGGGTATCTCATAGCACCTTGTGTACCACCAGCGACCGACTCTGGCGACGATTTTCCGGATGGATTCGTCGTTGGAAGGGGAAGGGAATGGGTCCGAAAGGAGATCGCCGAGGGAGAGGTCGGTGTCGTTGGAGGATGATTTGCTATGGGCTTTTGCCTGGGCACCTATCGATGAGTTGGAGGGATGTGACAGTGCGGTTGAGGAGGTGGCTGTCACCGCTAATGTGGACGGATTCGAGGATGATGTGGATGAGGACGAGGCTGATGATCTCACGATCACTCCTGCGACTGGAATCCGTACCATACAGCGTCGTAGATTGTCGAACCCGTGTCGTCCCAGAAGGCGTTGTATGCTGTCGCTTGAAGGCTTGAGGCTGATACTGGGGTCTGTTAGGTAGGTCCTCTCCTTCAGATTTCTGACAGCCTTTCGGGTGCGGATCCCCATGTTCACCATGTCGAGATCGAGTAGACTCATCTCCATATAGCCCCCGGGGCGCAGTACACGCTTGCACTCTGAGATGATATTATCTTGAACATATTCAGAGCATGCTGCGGGGAAGCGCAGAACAGTCACTGTGAAGTATCGTTTAGGAAATGGAAGCCGATCCTCAAGGCTTGCATGGTGGATAGTGTGGTGGTTTGATGGCGGCTGCCAGGCGTCTGGATGTTTGGATGCTGTGGGAGTTGGTGCATCGTTCAGGTTGTACACTTCTGCATTAGGATATGTCAAAGCACAGTAAAACGACCAGTCATCGTTTCCTAGTCCATCCACTACTAGGATCCGCTCTTCCTCTCCGGTTTTGATGTGATTATGAGCAGGGCTGAATAGAACCCTTCCGAAGGACAACCATCGACTAGTCATGAGTGATCCCGATCTGATGTTGGTTTGTGCTGTCGGTCCCTCTCGGTCACGCTCAGCGATATCAAACAAAATTGTATTCCGTTGCCGACAGGTTTCGAAGCTTGGTGAGGGATTCAAAGAAGGCGATGTGAGGAAGCTGGACTGCTGCTCAATGGACAGGGATGGGGTCGATAAATTGTGGTGGTTCTCCTCATGTAGGCTTTCTACACTTCCATCATTATGGTAACAGGCAATTATGTCACTAAACGAGGGTTGACTAGAAGGCACAAGCGACGAGTGTAGAGTTGGGGCAATCTTGGATCGCCTAAGGTGGAAAGACCCGGTGCTTGAAGTTGGAGATGCTGGAGTGAGTGCTACAGCCGGATTCTCAGCAGCTGTGGGAAACGCCTGGCGATCGGAGAGTCCGTTGAGTTCAGCTTGAAGAACTCTACTTGCCATAGCGGCCAGTTCAAACTTCTCATCCGCCTCTGAATCACCTGGACAACGAGCCCTCGCAGTTTCAGGAGAGAGAACATGATCAATGAGGTCATCATATTCTCCCCATACTTCATCTTCAGTTAAAGCAGACTCAGGCTCCGGGATAACAGCTGTGACTGCTGCTAGACTCTCGGAGCCACTTGAACTTGTTATGGTCGTCGTTGAATCCTTTCTAGGATAGAATGTCAAGAATTGGTCCGAGGAGTAAGGTCCGGCAAGAAAGTCCAAGACACTACGGCCCGTAGGGTCGCCAAATGGTTGAGTAAAATCAAAGGCAAAGCTTGACGGATTCCCATGATACGCCCCTGTTTGAGCCTCCAGTGCGGCGGGTAAGCCCGGCGGCGAGTAGTCAGATAGCGTTGTTGCCACGGGAGCTGCGATCGAGGGAGAATCGGCCATACTGAATGGCCTCGAGAAGGATTGAAAAGCCGGTTTGTGCTGCCTGTCTCTTCTCGAGACTACACGTGGTATCCGACCAACTGATGCAAGGCGTGTTTGGCGCTGCTCCTCCGGGGGTTCGGCTAGATTTGGGGCGCTGGGAGACACCTGATCCCTATTGAAGTAGACTTTCGTAGAAGCCTTGAATTCGCCGTTCAGCTTAGGAGGGGACGGCAGCAAAATAGATTCGCTAGGCCTCTTAATGTTCAAGGCCGCTGGGATCTCCACCGGAGTATCTATCTTTTCCTCCTCAGTTGGTGGTGAATCTTCAACGTTCCGTATAATATCCTCCAAGGTGTCAGAGTCAACATCAACCAAAGCATAATGCGCAATAGGCCGACGAACTGCTGCTGCTGCTGCTGCTGGCGATACCGTGGCTTGGACACGATGGGGAGGTGGAAGTGGAGCTTCACTCTCGGCATTTTTAGTGTCGCGGCTTTTCTGGAAAAAATTCCATTTGAGACCTAATCCTTTCCTGGGTGACTTATTTGACTGACTCGTCGCCCCATTTGTCTTCACAGGATTTGGTGAATCCCTAGCACCTGGGCGAGATTGCCCAGAGCCAATTTCACGTGGTTGTGGTCTCTCAGAACCGACATATGAACTTGAGATTGGCTTCTCCAAATTTTCAGTATTGCGAGTCTTTGACTGGTGAAAAGATGCAGGGGCTGCCCGCACGTTCTTTTCTGGCGTGGTTTCCTGACCGGTCTTTTCAAGCCTACCAATGGTATTGGTCGAAGACGTCAATGACTCGGTGGAATAGCCGTAAGGCTTTGGGGTTGTGGCCTTCTGGGATAGGCTCGTGGCAGAGCTTGTACTGAGTCCACTTGAGCTTTGCTCACTCTGTGTTCGAGCCAATGTCGCACCATCAACACCTCCGCCATTGATAAAGACAGGTTCGAGACGATCAAGCAAGAAATCATCGAGTTCCATTTCTGGGCGACTGCTCATACTGCCTTTACTAGAAACAGACCTAGATGCACTTCTCACTGTGCTGGTTGATCTTGTCCTAGACCCGCTACTGGTGACGCTTGTCCTTCGACCGCGTTGTGCGTACTTGCCGTATCCTTCGTGCCCTGTTCCCGCAGATGGGCCTTTTCGAGCTGTGCGACTTCCTTCAGACGATTGTGCTTCCAATTCTGGCTTGGACTTCTTGGTGAACAGCCCAAATCTTCGACTCTTGGATGGGCTTGTCGGTGTCTGAGGTGTCGGTCGCGCCTTTGTTTGTCCTATTGAGGTCCCTGGAGGTTTTCTTGAAAGCTCAGGTGACAGACGGGAAGGCAGTTGAGAAGGACTCCTCGACGGTAGTGAATCCACTGAAGTTGACGCCGATTGAATGGAGCCTGGAGGAAGTCTCTCAGAAGAGAATGAGCTTTCCACTGATGGACGTCTTTTATGGCTTGTCACTGTGTCAGGTGACAGGTTACTTCGGACAACGGGTGATGGCTCCACCTGCAACATATGTGTTCCCTCCCTACTTGGCCGTGCTGGTATCTGCGTAACATTGCTTTCAATTTCCTGGGCCCCATTTGCTTTAGTGCTCTCAGGTGACCGAATAGCTTGGGAGGTCTCTTGGCTTGAGGAGCCTGACTCTGTGACAGCCTTCTCTTGTTTCTTCCTCGGGAGACAAGACTTGGCGACTGTTTTCCTAGGGGAAAGGCTGTCAGAAACAGTGGAAGTATCCACCGTCAATCCTTTCACTGCAGAATCCTGACTTCCGCTTTTACAAGAGTTTGCGCTCGGCTCTGGGACGGAACCAGAGGATTTGTTAGCCCTCGGCTGGACTGAATGTTCTTGCGATATTTGTTGCACCTGCCGCGACGATACAGGAAGTCTGGTTTGAGATGGGCTTGGTTGTCTGATACGGGGTACGACCTTAACCGGTTGTACAATTCCTGGGGAATAGGAAGATAAGGATGTGGGTGTAGATGTCCTACTCCACATACCTGGGGAGCCAGAGTATCTTGTTGATGGACTACTGGCTGAGGCAAATATAGGCGTTGGAGGAGGTAGGTTTTGCGTATTGATAGTAGTTCGTAGACTTGCAAGCTCCTTTGGTCCATTGTGAGCATGCTGTTCGGGGGTTCTTCCCACAGTTGTATCCTGAGGTATGTATGGCGAAAGTGTTTCCTTTATCGACTCGGTTTGATACCGCGGGGGTGGAGAACTTCCATCCATGACTTGGTCCGGAGAGGTAGTATCTGGAATCATAACATTTAGCTTTTCTGGCTTTGTCGTCTCGATGATTGACTTGTTATTCCCAGTGTGTCGACCAATAGTCGGTGCCTTCCTCCGAAGAACATTCCGGGGTTTACCACGGACAGGCTGTTGATAATCAACAGCCAGTGGGTTCGAAGGTGTCTCAGTGTTTACCCGTAGCGGTGGTCCTCGTTCAGTATTTAACACACTTGAGGTAGAGCGAGCTACTGATGACAGCGGATGCGTAGCTGCTCGTGGAGGTAACAACGAGCGAGCATTGTGCGTAGAGGGTATTTTAGAAGGCTTCGATGGTGCTACAGGATGACCTGAATCGGTGTGGGATAGAGATGACCCCTTGTTGGCCCCGGATCTAATGTTTGTGGGTCTTGTCATGCGCAGTGCTGATGACAGCGAAATTGAGGAATTAGAAACTCTCGCCGATGCATTGATACCAGGCAGTGGTGCGTTTCGCGACTGGGACGCAAGGTCCTTTAACCGCGGTATTCGACCGCTCTCAGACTTGTGCGACGCCATGGTGCTACCTGAGTCCAATTTCCAGCTCCAGTCCGAAGACTAATAATCCAACCGTGGGTGAAATACAGTATGGCCATGGAATCATCCCGGCTAAATAATGATCACCGCTTCTAATAGAACCGCTAACGACGTAAGCATCACACTAAGATGCGGTATGGAAGCCGATATTTACCTACCTTCCATCATCAAGACTAGAAAAGTTTGCCAGCAATCAATGCACCCGTGTCAGCATGTTTGAACGGGTTGTATAGTAAGAAGTCGGGGGAAAATAAATATTAATCGCGTGGGGGAAATATCTATTGGTGGGACAGATAAGCACCAAAGAAGAGCAAGCAAAGTAGAGCGAAGGTAACTTTGTCAAAAACCTCGGTGACCTCTTCTCTATACGAGAGGAGATAGTGATGTAATAATATCCAGGATAACGAAGTACTTAAGAGCGGTGAATTTCTTTTTTTATTATTTTAAAGAAGGACCGGACAGCTTGCATGTACTCCGCCACAGCCCACTGTGGCTAACATGCAATGCAAAGTTGTTGACTGTTAGGAGCTGTGTCTGCACGACCACGTCAGAGGATAATTGTTTAAAAAAGGGCGATAGAAGTTAATAGTAATTTAGTAACGTTGACACAGAGACCAGCTGTGCAAGAAGTAAAAGAAAGAAAAATGTGAGAAAGAATTTTAACAAGCCGAATTTAGATCATGGAGCGAGGAGCCTTGGGACAATCTGGACTTTTCAAGTTCAAGAATGTGCCCAGCGCTAATTTGGACCATAACAAGACAGCCCGGCACAGCGGGGAGACATGGTTTCTATTCGCAGACTAAGTACCCATATAGAGAGCGCAGAGAGAAATCCAGGATGGCTCTGTGCGATCGACATCGGACCCGTTGTTGAGCACAGATGTGACCGGGGAGACTATTGGTGCGAGGACGGGTAACTTTGTTTCTGTTAGCGATTGTTTTATGCCTTGGATAATTTAGAATCGCCAAGAATCGACAAGAAAGGTAACAATAGTGTAGATTTCCTCTTAAAACACGACCCCCGACTGGAAGTGGATCGCCGTCAACCGTAAAAGGAACGTGCACGACAGGAGAACAGAAGTCAAGGACAGGTCTAGTACAGGGACCCAGTCAGTTTGTCCCGACTGGTAAGCATTATTGTCTCAGCGGATTGGATACACTGGAACATGGCAGTTGACAGGTTGGAATGGGGTTGAGTGGCGTGAGATAGCGGAAAAGACCGTCGTATGCGCAATCGGCACTTTCGCCAAAAGCCCCTCGTTAAGCAGACGCCCAGATGGCAGATGCAGACATCAGCAAATCTGTTGGTAATGCGGTGCTGCAGTAGTCTAGAGCTCTATTTGGTCTGTGTGTCGGTATACAAGCTGTGATAGGATGGAATTCGGACAATTTCTTACGAAGAATTTCTTTTCTTAGTAATGGATGGTCCCCAAGTCAGGTGGTGGTCAGTGACTTGCGATCGTCCCCCCGGCGAGGCCGAACAACACTAAACGATCATCATCATGCATGTACGACGCTCTTTTTTGCCTTGTTCAACATGACAATTTACAATTCCTACACGAGCCGTTTCGTACTTTAACGAGATGGGCTTCTCGCCCACCGTCTTCTCTCTATACAGCTCTATCCAAGATGCATTCTGAAAATCGACCATACCCAAGTGCCAGAGTGCTCTATGTCTGTCAGATATTGGCGTAGCTTTTGCTTTCCCGTCAACCATAACCATAGATTCTACTCTCTGGTACGCCGAAGGGTTCGGGGCGAACCTTTGAATACACACAAATTATTCTCCATCGTATCCGTGGGATGCCAGATCAGTTCACGGCCGAAACGGGCCAAATGGATGGGTCTCAAGAGAATTCCATAATATAACAAACAAGAGCCACTCATAGACGTGAAAGGACATCCCGGACAAAGAAGCTGAGACCCCGGAGTCAATTAGGCTGGGCCCCAAGTGAAAAATCGCCCCGTCCTGTATGTATCCTTTGTGTGTGGGGACGCTGAGCCGTGGGTCCTTGATCCGCCGCTAAATGGAGAACCAGCCATGGGCGATCCTGATTGACGGAAGACGGCCTGACGGGCACGCGCGAGGCGACATGGGTTCAATCCGCCAGGCTTAGCACCCATGGGCAAAAGGCAACTGCGGTGAGAGATTCGCCAGACCAAAGCAGAGGCCTCCGTGATACTTCCGGCCCCTGTGGGGACGGCGGTAAATTTGAACATGCTTTAACGGGTGTGAAAACAATGTCGCTGTGCCGCAGCAAGTACGGGAGTCTAGACAAATATTCCAAATACCAATCACGGATCGGCGTAGAAAATCTCGAGATGTTGGCCCAGCCTGCGTGATCGGACTGGTTGACAGAGGGAATCCAACGTGAACGTTCAGGCAGACTAAAGAGAGTAGTTGAAGTAAAGACCAAACCTGTACTTCTGTCCTTCTGCAATAGCGATCATTCTGCGCACTTGGCGAGTTGTCGATCAGATCCGACCAGGAAATTAGTTGACATACTATTCCGAGCGAAGTGGGCGCTGGTTTGCTGCAGGAACGGAATCCGTCCTGCACTTTTCAGCTGACTCGTGTATTCCGCCACTTCCACGAGTTTGACTCCCAACATGATAACGTAGGACAAGCATATGGCATGCTACGGGAGAAAGGGGGGAGAAAGAAGAAAAAGAAAATATACAGATAAGGTACTACATATGTCTGTGACGCTGATCGGTCCATGCTCCCAATCTAGTTACATTGTCTCTATCCTTCCTATAGATCCGTCTGCCTATTACGGGTTTCGAACCCGGCTCGCCATATTTGTCTAATTAGTAGCACGCTCACTTGTATGTACGTACTCTGCAAGTAGTACGAGTGTCTCGTATTACTAGTAATAGCTATTCAGGTTGACCCCCACATTGCTGGTGACTTTTCAACAAAAGAAAAGAAAAACAAGAAAAGGAACAAGGGAGATAGACGTTCCGTGTAATGTGGTAAATGCATATACTAAGATTCCACAGTAATGATTCCCTCAAAACGCCTATGAAATCGCGCCAGGTTTAGAAAAACAAGTAGAAGTGGTAATGAAACATGGATCTAATCACGCAGCAGCCCCAAATCGCTTCTTCCTAGCCTCCATAGCGAGCCTATCCTTCTCACTCAAGCCGCTGCTGGCAGGCTTCTCATTGCTGCGTTGGTTTTGACCTTGGTTACGGTTACCCTGACCCCGTCGCCGGTTCTGGTTCTGGTTCTGGTTCTGGTTCTGGTTCTGATTCCTGTTCCTCCCACCGAAATCCCGTCGTTTGCCTCCCCGCTTGCCTTGATCATTCTCGCCGCGACCCCTCTTGCGGGCCTTCTCGCTGGGAAGTGCCTGGTCCAATTTGCTAACTCCGGTTGCAGCCGGTTCCTCAGGAGCAGCACCAAACCGTTTAGCCCTCTCAAGTTTTCTCTCCGCTTCTTCGATTGCGGTCTTCGAGTCTTCAGTAATGCCAAATTTTTCGGCACGAGCCTTACGCTTCTTCAATTCCTCTTCCATGTCGGTAACGGAAAGGCCCATGGAGTAATCGGGCGCTGGCTTCTCCTCAGCCGGAGCTGCCTCAGTCGTCTCGGCGGCCTCAGCAGGTGCTGCCTCCGTTCCCTCTTGTACAGTAGGGGCAGCATCCCCATTAGATTCTACCTTAAGATCATTTGTAGTGGCGGGGTTGGTGTCTTGCTGCTGGTTCGGAACAACGGTCGGGTTAGAAACAGCGCCCTGGCCACCTGCAGCGATCGCAGTAGCACCAGCCTCCGTTGACGGCTTCGCTGCAGCAGCATCTGCGGCAGGCACATCATCGTCCTCCCAGTCAATCACATCTTCTGCGTTATCGGCTTTTGCTGCTGGCGCTGCAGTCTGCGCCTTGCTGTTGTCATCCTCCTGGAGGCGGGCAACCATCTCCGCCTTCTTACCAGTGTGAGGCAAGGAGCGAGACTTGAGGATCTCCACTAGCTCGGCATTAGTCTTCTTGCTGTAGTCGGTGGCCATTTTTGATGAAATGGATCGTCAATGGTCGATAACGTTCGGAGAAGAGCGGCGATTCGTTGGGCGCGACAACCACTGGGCGACGGAGGAGATGAGCGGATGGCGCGGGTTCAGCGCGCGGGATTGATAAATAATATATTATTCGCCAGCAGTCATGCGATCATGCGACAAGTAGTATCGTTGATTCGGATTGGTACTGAAAAGTTAATAGATGGTGTAGCCAGAGGGCAAAATGGAACCGAGCTCTTGGTAGAAACGTCGCGTTGACGCGGTAGCGGACACCTGACCTATCTGCGGCTGACTTCCCAATCGGGATATATAGTCACGTGAATTAGTGTAGATTTCACCACTCAGACAGGCCTTCTGTCTTCTGAGAGGAGGAATTCCTGGTTACTCCCTCAGACACGGGATCTCGAAGCTGAACATCCGAATAAGTTCTACTGTAGTCACACAATATTACTGAGTAAAGAGGAAGGGGCTACGCGAGGACCGGTTAGCTCCTGTTGATGGCGGTGTCTCATCAGGAGGATTCCGTAGTTTGAACCATGCTTATAGCCTCCAATAACAGTTTGCCAACTGGACCGCAGAAGGCACTGCTATGATGAAATTGATCGCAATACGTTCGGATAGAGAATATGAGCTTATCGGAGCACTATGTGGGTAGCTGAACGAGGCGGGAAGCTGGAAAGAGAGTGATGACATGGCAAGCCGAGACGTGGCTGTGGCAACTCTCCATGCTCCGCGCCACGGCGCCACCGATATCATCGTCATGTGATCTATGAGCATTGTGCGACATTCATCATGGCTTTGCCAAACAACAACGGTCTACATTCATGAGTACCAAATTCTCCCCGTGACTGTAACTTACTTAAAGAACAAGACAGGATAATTGTGGCCGTCGCATCACTGCCACTTGTACGCTCATGATAATTAGCTTTGTCCTTGTGAGATACTTACAGGCGACATCACCCTAAAGGCCCATTATTCAATTGAGGTCCGATAGTAGTTACAAATGTCGACACCTTGTTGAACGAAAGTTTAAGCAAAGCTGTAAATCTGTTATTCCGAAATTATTTTTATATATGTTGCGCCCAAGGGATTGTTTGACCGAAGGAGTATGTAGGTCATAGGCATCTGCAGTTTCATGGAACAGATGAAGTTGTCATTATCGTTTTCGCTTAAGAGGTTTAGTTATCATCTATGATCTGGAAGAGCGCCAAATATTTTCTTAGGAGTGGTTCTGCTGCATCTACCAGTAAAGTGTAAGCTTGAAAGCTCCTTCGGTAGACTTATAACAAACGACAATATGCAGCACTGGGTGTCAGCACTAAAATCTCAAGTGCATTCACCAAGTCGGCTGTTATGAGAGCAAGTAGATCGAGTCTACATCTGTCAGATGCTACATCAACCGAAGCCAGCTCGGAGTTCACGAGAGCTGTTTCCCTGGTTGCTCCATTTCTAGACCTGTGTAGACGGTAGTATGACTAGGGTTTTGGACCACCCTTCACCAGTTCACATGAATCAATTGCAGACAGTCCAAGATATAGTTAACGTTTGGAACATCAGGGCAGGTCCTGTTTCACCTGTGCTAATATAAGGCTGGTAGTGCATTCCCTAAACATTCTTTTTCCACCATAACGTACTAGTACATACCTTGCATAATGTGCGTACTAATATATCTACTGCAGCAAAAAGAGTTTGACAATCATAACAGATGAAACGTCAGCCTCAATCATCTGGACACACACCAAATAAAGATCACCAGCCCTGGTTGGTAATAACCTCCACCTTAAAATGATCGAAGTTGTAGTTTTAGTTTAGCCGAGCTTTAACTCGGTAAGTCCCTGGAAGAGTTCCCGAGCCAGTGACCCACGTGCCGATTACCCGATATCAAGATTTTAATCTGACAGTCAAAGCAAGCCTTTTCGCTCCACTTTCGTTTCAGTCGTTTACATATCAAGAGAGTGAAAGATGGACAGATTCGATTCGAAACGGGTACTTGAAAGGAGATTCAAATCGAGAACTCCTTGGAGTCTATTTATGAGTTTTGAGTTTCGGTACCCCTGCATGGCAAGTCAAGTTAACCCCTTACATTATGGGATGCCTGGAGTCTTCGAGTCTTGCGTACCTTGTAATGTGGGTCATCGCGCAAAGATCGTTTCGGTTCAGTTGTGACTTTTCTTTTTCTTTTCTTTTTTTTTTTTTTTTTTTTGTTTTTTTTTTTTTTTTATAATACTAGGTTTTTGATATCTTTTTCAAGGTTTCCGATATAGCTCTTGAAAATCCCCCTGTCCGATACAAGATGTAGCTCTGCCGATTTTTTTGACCTGTTGCGTTGCATTGATAAGACATAACTAGTAATACTTGAGACCCCCCACTGAAATGGAGGCAATTACTCACTTCTCATCAAAGAAGTCATCTACTTCTACCTACGACTGATTATCAATATAGAGTATCTTCTCACATTCTCTAGCTTTACATGTGTTCTTGTTTACCTAATCTATCTTGATACTCCTGACAATCGCATGACTTTTTATCCAAGATAACATCTTTGAATTAATTATTTGCGGTACATAAGCACAAAATGACAGCCCGAGACATAGAAAGCAATCCGAACGAAAAGGTCCTCCCGCCGGGGGTGTACCGACGCAAGATCCCTTATTTTCGCATGCTCATCGATCAAGGTGCCATCACCCACGATGTCCTCCACTTTGACTACCCCGGTTCAGGAACGGAGGAGGATCCATATGTCGTGTCCTGGATTCCAAACGACTCCCGCAATCCCCAGCTTTTCGATTTTTCCAGGAAATTGACCATCACCCTGGTCGTCGCGTTTTCAACAATGATTGTCGCCTTGACATCGTCTGCATACAGCGGCAGTGTTGGGAGTATTGTGACATCATTCGATGTCAGCACGGAGGTAGCGACGCTGGGACTATCACTGTTTGTCCTAGGGTTCGCAGTGGGTCCCTTACTGTGGGCACCCATTAGTGAGGTCTTCGGACGCCAGAGACCCTTCTTTGCCAGTTTCCTGGCCATGGCTGCATTTTCAGCTGGCTGTGCCGGCGCTCAGAATATCTGGTCACTAGTGATCCTGCGCTTCTTCGCAGGTGCATTTGGATCTGCACCATTGACCAATGCTGGAGGCACGATATCTGATATGTTTACAGCTCGCCAGCGTGGTTTAGCGCTCAGTTTGTACGCTGCTGCACCCTTCTTAGGGCCTGCCCTCGGCCCAATCATCGGCGGCTTCCTGAGTATGAACGCTGGCTGGAGATGGGTGGAAGGCTTTCTAGCGGCTTCTGGAGGACTCGTATGGATCATGATGGCCCTCGCAGTTCCGGAGACCTACGCGCCTCTTCTATTACGGCAACGCGCTGAGCGCCTGTCCCACGTCACAGGCAAGGTCTACCGTAGTAAGATTGAGCTTGACAAAGGCAAAGTGACGCTTAGTGCCTTGCTTAGAAGGTCCCTCTCCAGGCCATTGGTGCTGCTTTTCACAGAGCCTATTGTCCTCCTCTTCGCCATCTATATCGCCATCATCTACGGTACACTATATATGTTCTTCGCCGGATTTCCCATTGTATATGAGCAGGGTCGAGGCTGGAACCCCGGAGTTGGAGGCCTAGCCTTCCTCGGAATCATGGTTGGCATGATAATTGGCATCATCTTCACTCTTCCCGCCAACATGCACTTTATGAAGATCCAGGACCGACTCGGTGGCTTCGCACCTCCAGAAGCCCGACTCCTCCAGTGCATGGTCGGTGCTATAGCCATCCCGATTAGCCAGTTCTGGTTCGCCTGGACGGACTACCCTTCTATCCACTGGATCGTGAGTATCATCGGCACGGCACCATTCGGCTTTGGCGTCATTCTCATCTATCTCGGCGTCATGAACTACCTGATCGACTCGTACACCATCTACGCAGCGTCTGTGCTGGCTGCCAACACCATCCTCCGATCGATATTCGGTGCCATCTTCCCCCTTATTACGGGATACATCTACGACGGCGTCGGTATCCATTGGGGGCCGTCTATTCCTGCATTTCTGTCGCTGCTGTGCACGCCCGCTCCCTTTTTGTTTTACCGTTATGGTGCTGGTATTCGCAAGCGGTGCAAGTATTCCGCCGAATCGTTCCAATACATGCAAAAGTTGCAAGAGAATGCGGCAAACAGTACCAACACGGAGACCAAGCAACCGGCCGTGCAGGCGAGTGAGAAGTCTACTGCAGAAACAAAATAGGCAGCTGTTATATCTGCCGACAAGAGCTGGCCTCTTAAGACTACATTATTAATTGTATAGGCGTATAGAAAAGTTGTTTGCACATATGTATATAGACCATGGGTACTAGAGACCATGCTTTTAGACAAAAGTTTAGATTAGACCGAATGAATAGATATAGGTCAATGACGTACTTTAGTCTTCTTCCTACTTTTTTTCTATAGACCGCTCTGTAGTGTTTCTCGTCACAAGGCAAGGCATCAATATACTGAAATATCGAGAAGACCTGGAACATATATATCTGGTTCTTGCTGAGAAAATAATGAAGGTTACCATTATGTAGTCCCGAGTGCCATGACGATAGGACTCTGATATACTTCAATCTCCCGGGAGTTTTAGCTAATTGTCCATGATAAAATCATTGCAACGCGTACCTAGTATACATTTATGCCATCGTGAATACCCCAATATAGATGTAAAATTAATGCAGGCTGTTCATTATTTATATCCTGTACATTATCATTACAAGGCGCTCGATATATATTTTGCTAACAAGCGTAGAGTATCATAAACTTTTATACATCCCAGACAGCGATGTAGACCATCTCCAATTAGCCGTACACGTCACCCCTCGTCCAATTGATGTCCCTCCTTATATCCAACAATCATGCAGGAATAAAAGAGAGAGATATAAAGTAAAACAATGTACTTCCCATATGACTAAGGTTCGAAGCGGATGTTCTCCGCATCTCGGACAAGATCCGCAAATCTTCCCCCCAAAAAAAGAGACGCGGGGCAGATCCGAAGCGGAACAGCCGAAGGGAAAAGCCATGACTATATAATCACCATACACGACCAACAACTATACATAACCTAATCTTCAAACCAATCCACCTCAATCAAAACTCACTACAATCAACTCCATTGTATTTAAGAAGACAAAAGCCCATAACAATATGGACCCCCAACAAGAAAAGAAACACATCGCCGCGGGGGACGCAGAATCCTTCACCACAAAAGTCCTCACAGCAAACGGCGTGCCGCTCGAAAACGCCACAATAATCAGCAAATGCCTGGTGCAAGCCGACCTCCGAGGCGTAGACACCCACGGCATAAACCGGATCCCCTCATACATGGAACGGATCCGGCAGGGCGTGCTGGACGCCAAGGCCCAGCCAGCCCTGAACCAGATCACGCCCGTTGTCGCGCAAATAGACGGACAGAATGGGTTCGGGTTCGTGGCGGCGCACATGGGGATGGCGCGGGCGATTGAGATGGCGCGCGAATACGGCATCGGGTTCGTGTCCGTCAAGCACTCGAATCATTTTGGCATGTCGGCGTGGATAGTGCAGCAGGCGTTGGATGCGGGGATGATGAGTCTTGTATTTACGAACTCGTCGCCTGCATTGCCGGTTTGGGGCGGGAGGGAGAAGTTGATGGGAGTTTCGCCTTTGGCGTGTGGGGCGCCGGCTGGGAAGGAGAAGCCGTTTATATTGGATATGGCGCCTTCGATTGCGGCGCGGGGCAAGATTTACAAGGCTGCTCGGCGGGGGGAGAAGATCCCTGCCGATTGGGCGTTGGATGGGGAGGGAAAACAGACGGACGATCCCAATCGCGCATTGGAGGGCGTTATGTTGCCGATGGGCGGTCCCAAGGGGTCGGCGTTGGCGGTTATGATGGATGTGTTTTCTGGGGTTTTGTCGGGGTCGGCGTTTGCTGGACATGTTACGGGCCCTTATGATCCGTCGAAGCCTGCGGATGTGGGCCATTTCTTGGTGGCTATTAAGCCAGATCTGTTTATGGGGTTGGACGACTTCAAGGAGCGTATGGATTATCTTTATCAGAGAGTGGTCGGATCTGAGAAGATGGCTGGTGTGGACCGGATTTACTATCCTGGGGAGATTGAACAGATTACGCGTGAGGAGAGAGTGAAGTCGGGGATTCCTTTTGTTCAGGCTGAAATTGACGCTTTGAATAAGGAGGCGGATAAGGTCGGGGTGGAGCATCTTGTCGTGTCATAGATTGCTTGGGTTTATATTGCAAGGCCTTTCATATCTGTAACATCATCTCTGGCTATTTTTAGGATTTTTAATGAAGATATAGTCTCCAGTCATTCAAATAATACCACAATAGTAGCATAATAACTAAGCAAGTGGTATAAACGACCGGTGATGAACAGTAAACAAGGATAAATGAAGTACAGCACATAGAATAGCAAAGCCAGGACCTCCATAACACAAACCGGTAAAGCAAGAACCAAACGAAGATACTTCTTCAACCGTAAAACCAATACTCGGCCGCATATTCCACCTGAAACGTACCCTTACGATTTTGGCAATTAGTTGGAGGCTGACCTCCCACAGTATGCAGGCGGTAAACTTCCTGAGAAACATATCAGCATCAATCTACAAATGACAAAACATACCCAACTTACCCTGATGCCAGTTCCGTTGACGGAGGTAAGCTTCAGCCAAGGCACGTTTATAGTGCTATCGTCGGGTGCTCCGCTACTAGCATTCTTTTTAGTTGCCATCCAGTCACTCCCACCAGCAAGTTGCAGATCGAAAACTGGCTGGCCGGCAGCATTAAACTCATGTTTTCCCAAGATGAATTTTGTCGATGACGAGGAGAGCTGGCTGCCAAGCAGGGCAAGGAATGGTAGTGTCTCTGAGTGTACTGCTCTCACGACAGGAGTGAAGTTGTGAAGAAGTGCTGGATTGAACGCAGCCAAGCAGGAAAGATCGAGCAGCGTTGCAACGGCACCCACTGCCTGGGGCGCTGTAGTGTTGGAGTTTTCTTGGCAAGTGTAGTTTTGGGTTCCTCGGCCCACCGTCACGTATTTGAGATGGAGGCCTGGGCTGGGGCCAGGGAGCGATCTATGAGGCGGGAGGTTGGTGGTGGTGAGAGAGCAGTTGGAAATGTGGGCGTTGTCGAGATGGAAGGAGATCTGGGAGAACGTAGTGGTGAGGTCGGGGAGGGAGGGTGAGGCTTCGGCATGGAGTATAGCAAGACAGAAGAGGAGTATGTTGATGAGCAACATATTGGATGGAAAGTTGCTTAACGTGAAGGAAGAGGAAAGTGACAGTCAGGATATTGAGGCTTGTGGAGAAGGACCCAGGGCTGGCAGTGTAGGGAAGTTGTTTGGAACATGGATTGCCGGAGATATACTCGCCTCATATATAGTGTTTCTGGGCTTAGGAATTCACTCTGACCCATTAACACATCCAACTCGCTCATAATTACCATTCCATAAACCCTCTCAGATCCCTTATCAAGTAATTGTGAATGAGGAGTTCACAGTTTATGCCTTGGCGGGTCTTCAACTTTGATAGTACTTTAGTGAGAAGCTCTACAAAATACTGTTCCATAGAGAGGCATGAATCTGATAGAACCTGTTGGATATGTACACTGCCTCCTTACATAGACCCTCACTCGCGAATAGCTTACCAAGCCAGAAATCCTTCAAGGCTAACCACAAGACACCGCATCTTCTACAGCCGCTCGGTGAGGATAGCAAGTTTTTTGGCTCTTTGTAGGTTTTTGTACTCTGATTTTCTATCAGACCCCTTTAGCTGAGTTAATTGAACCCCTCGGTATCGTTTCGACAATGTTTCTTTGTTCTTACTTTGCTACATTGCAAGTATGAGACCTACAGGTAGCAGAATTAGCCGCCGGATCCTCGCCTTTGTATAGAATTCATAAACGATAAAGAGCCGTGCATGAGACCTCGAGGAAAATGTGCCCCACCATTCCGGTTGATAATAAAGTTTTATGCACCGCAAAGCCATCAGAGGGCGCAGTGAAGAGCTGGAATGTTGGCCAGGATGAAAAAATATGCCGGAGACATAACCAACCGCATACGGTTGTTAAGCGCCGTACATCGACACGTGTCATGGATTAAATTGATACAATTACCTATCTTAGTAGACTCGGATAGAAGGGAATCTATTGTTGCTAGGCGCTTAGTGAAAGTGAACTCCCGCATGAAATGATGCTCGACATTCGGTAGAACGTACCTAATCCATCCCAATCAACTGAGACAGAAACTGAGTGACAAGTGTGTAAGGAGCGCTTTAGGTAGAATATTCTCTAACAACAGGTCATGAGATAGAGACAAGTCACCAGACTAGGATAGTCATCGGAGTTTCATCGATGCACGGCACAACCCTATGAGCTTCTACTTCCGCTGACCTGCATAGCTAGCTGTTACAGTGTGCATGCCTCATGACACCAGTTAGAACTTTTGCATGTCAGAAAAACCGTATGTTCGGTAAACCTCAGTGTAGATATCTGTGAATAGTGTTATCTAGCACTCCACCGTCTGTAAGGGTATCAAAGCTCGATTGAACTGGTATCTAATTATAAGTTGATAATATGTCATGACAATGTGTTCTAAATAGCCAATAGCATAAAACACACCCCCTCCTCTAAGGCTGCACTATCCTGAATATCAAACGTTTCTGCAGTAGTACAGGGGCGTCGTTAAATCTCGTCATCCTTGGTCTCTTTAACCAGATGGCCACTACTACCCTCATCGAGTTCCGTATAGCCGTTCATGGGTCGTGAGCGACGCTTAGAGCCGAGCATGGAAGTTTGTCGGAGGTGGCCTCCTGGAATTGGCTGCATCTCCAACTCCGGGTCTCGTGAGACCGTTCCTCCGCGTCCTAGGGATGACTGCTGCCGAGTCGTTCCTTCGGTGGTCCTTGACCGAGATGCTTCCCGCTCTCCACGGTAGAACCCGTATAAAACTGGGGCATTAGCTACAATTGCCGCGGCAAAAAGCTCCACAGATGCCCAGGTTGTACGGTTCACCTGCGCTGTGGAATGTTGGGCATTTTGAGGAAGACGGATGACGGTAATCACGACGATGAAAAAGCCAACAGCGAAAAGGGCCGCGAGTTGTAGTTTCCTGATATTTGCCGTGGTCAGTAGGTGAGGTTAACAAGAACCCGTTGCCAAAGCACGTAATCCTTGACGTGATCAAAAAATGCTCTTACTCCATTAAAGGCCTTTTGACCTTGACCAATAGTGGGACCGGCAAAACGATCAACATCAGATCCGTAACGATGTTTAGGACGCCTTTAATCACCCCACAAGCTATTAGCCTCTCTCTTGCCGGAGAAAACATCAACTTGAGTGTACCCACCTAGAACAATCAGCTGTAGCTGTGCTCGAGAGCAGAGTCCTATCGGTCTTCGTTAGTGAGCGATCCCGGATGTCCAAGGCAATAGGGCGCACGCACCAGGGTCTGGCAGCACAATCCAGTAATGGTCGAAAGGGTCGCATTCCGTGAAGGTCACAATCTGAACTGTCACGTAGGTGGCCGCAAATATGACGACATATGTGCCCAGGGTTATGCGTTCCCAGCTGAGGTTTCGAAGCAAATGACGGTACGTGTCGAGCAAGATGAACTTCTGAAGCCAGAGACTGAGATTCCTGGCGTCAGCTGCCGGGGTTCTTTTTTGTTCAACAGATTAAAAATTCATGTGCGTACTATGTGTTGTAGAAGACTCGATTAACCAAGGTGAACTTGCTCGCGGTTTCTCGACGGTAGATCTCCTCCGGGGTGAAGTGGTGCGAATATCGAAGTCCAGGCGACATGTTATTTGTGCCCCAGATAATAATGACATGGACGAGCGCCAGCCGGATCAATGCACAGAGAATCGCACAGAGCGACAGATAATCACCCAAGACAAATGCTTTCCCACGAATTTTCCGCATCACCAAGCGTATCGAGATTAACCCGACCGCACACCAGGTGAGAACCCATAGAGACACCAGAGTCGCGTCGTCCATGGTAGCTCTATCACTTGAGCATCATGTCGGCTGTGTTGAATGCGATCGAGTTCAGCAGCCGAACCTGGTGCGATCCTATATGAACAGATCGCAACTCCCGGTTGGCCTCGGTTTTTCACCATTTTTCACACTCACCTCCGTGCAGAGACCCAGTTTCAGGATTCCAATACGAAAACTTAATTCTTTAGGGTTCACTAGAAGTGTTAGACTGGGATCGTTCTTCTGGTACGTACTACGAGAGTATGCGCTAAGTTCCTTATAGCAAAGTCTGCATCCGCCTTGGGGCAGTTCTGGACGAATCATTTTACAATAAGAGTACAATTAATATAGGGGTAATTGTATGACTTACATTTTAGGGCCCACCAAAGGGAGATGTTCAGTTAACCTTACCTTTCATAGTAAAATGGGACGGAACCGGTGTCTCACTGCCACCACGAAGAGCTCCACTATTCCACCGGCAACCCGATGGTCTGATTGCTCTCTGCCGAAGATCCCCCGTCTTCTCTCCCAACTCGGATTGATTTTCTTTTTTTTTTCCTTCATATCCCTGTCAACTGTATATTCCAGAAGCAGCCAAGATGCGGTTTGGTAACGCCCTAGCAGGGATCTTGATCTCAATTACCGGCACCAATGCCGTAGCGCACACCCCCATCGTTTCCAACGCTGAGGTAGCTTATCACCGCAATTATCTGTACGTCGGGGGCCAGTATGTGCAGGACAACTCAGGCGGACATGTCTTCACTGATCAGATGTACGTGGAGAAACTCACTCCCACGCAAGGCGTGACCAAGGAGCACCCGATTGTGTTTATTCATGGTCAAGCGCAAACCGGCACGGTAAGCTTCAAAATGTCTCAACCGCGGAAAGAAAAGGCTGCTTGACTAACTCTGGGGCTACAGAACTGGCTGAACAAGCCCGATGGTGGAAGCGGCTGGGCTTCCTACTTCCTCTCTCAAGGCTACGAATGCTACCTGATCGATCAGACCTTCCGTGGCCGCAGCCCCTGGTTCCCAAGCAATGGCACCCTTAAAACCTACGGCGCTGAGATCTTGCAGCAGCGATTTACAGCCGCGAAACATTACATGCTCTGGCCCCAGGCCGCGCTGCACACTCAGTGGAACGGTACTGGCATGATGGGTGATCCCGTTTTCGACACCTACTACGCCTCGACTGTGGAGTTCTTTGGATCCAGCACCGGTCAACAGTATACCATGCAGGAGGCCGGTGCGGCGTTGCTGGACCTGATCGGTCGCCCGGTAGTTCTGCTCTCCCACTCACAGGGAGGTCTTATGCCATGGATCATCACCGATGTACGCCCGGACCTTGTCCACGCCATCGTGTCCCTGGAACCTACCGGCCCTCCCTTCCAGGAGGCTGTCTTCAGCAACACGTCTTCTCGTCCGTACGGTCTCACGGACATTCCCCTTACTTTTGAGCCCGCCGTGTCGGATCCCAAGAAGGACCTCGTGCGCCAGGTTATCCCCAGCAACTCCACTGCGCGGTCCCCTTGTGTTATTCAAGCCGATCACCCGACGCCTCGCAAGCTTGTCAACCTGCAAAAGGTGCCGACTATGATCTTGACCACCGAGTCTTCTTACCATGCTCCCTATGACTGGTGCACTGTCAAGTTCTTGCGCCAGGCTGGCGTGTCCACGGAGCATCTGCAGTTGGGTGAGATTGGCATCCACGGTAACGGTCACATGGTGTTCATGGAGAAAAACAGTGACCAGGTCGCGGAGGTCATCCAGACGTGGATTGAGCGCCAGTAACTGGTCTCTTGAGAAGGACTGTTGTGGCTAGTCTTGGCCCTGTTGAATGAATCCTGGCGGGACCAGTGAAAAAGAAAACACACCGACGTATAATCATGTATTATAACTCCTTCATTTATGAATACACTCGAACCTGCATGGCGTCGCGCCATGCTCAGTCTATGTATGCCTCGCAAGACATAGGCTTTTGATTAATCTTCAGGCTCCTATCATCTTCCGTGGCCATTCCAAAGCCTGCTCCCATACTGGGTCTTCACCTTTAATCTCTGCCAACAACTCAGTTACCAAATCCCGACCACACCCCTTCGCCCACCAGAAATGACTCCCGAGCTCATTCAACAGCACACCCCAATGCATCAAAACCAATAACGGAAACGGTTGACGCATCCGCATCCCATCAATAAATTCCTTCTTTGTATAGACCAACCAAGCAAGAATAGCCACCGGATGAGACGAACGAGCAAACTTAGCAAAGCAAGATTGTAACAGGTCAATTGCCTCGCGGTTAGCACCACTTTGCTCGGCACCAGCGATGCAAGTATTCAATTGGCTCAGTTTCTCTATAGCAACAGTCTTCTCGGAATCTAACTCTCCAGCTTCTATCATCCAGAAGTCGTATTTAGAAAACATGCTGGCTTTAAGCCACGGTCGACTAATACGGGAGACCTTAGTCGAGCCTTGTAGGAGCTCGAACACGGAGATCATGTTCTCGATCATACTGAAACATTCGCCTCTATGCTGGGCGCTAAGGCGTGGCAGGGCGATGCCAATGACGGTTATTATAGCGGACTGGGCGAAGACTGCGTCGCAGTTTAGCGGGGTGATGGCGTCGAGTGCTTGTCGGAATGGGGCGAATGATTTGTTGTGGTAATGAAGCGCGGCGTCAAGATATGACAGCACACAAGCGGGCTCTGTGGCTGTGGCTGCTACTTGCAAGGCTGCTAGTGCGAGGATGCCATGGAGTAAGAACATATGTTTAGATGCTTGTTGGGGGATGAGGACCTGCCAGTCATCCATGTCGGACTGGTCTCCGCATAGACATTTGAAGGTGTCGGTCGAGAACTTGTGCATGAGTTCGAGATCACGAAGGCCAAAGCTGGGCTCGGCGGATCTTACGGAGCTGATAGGCTGCTTGACATGGCTCTCTGACTGCGATTGCCCCTGGTGTGGTGGGTCTGGGGAGCGATCGGCCACTGCATGAGCGGTGCGTCTCGGAGATGGGGCTATAGGGTTCCTCAAATAGGTACAGATGAGCTCCCGAGAAGTACAATTGGAGCATATCGGATGTTTCTCGTCGCACTAGTTCGAACAGGTTAGAGTATGTATACAGGGCTGATGGGACCCACAGGTTATCTTGGAAGAGTTCCATATAAGAGGCACCAGGGCATTGCCGGAGCATAGGTATTCCATACCTTTACTCTCCTCTCTTTGCATTGATCGCAACCATTTCGTGATTTCTTGTGCGACCGTCGTGGTGGCATCTTGAGGACCATGTAAAGACGACCCCGGCACTGGAAGTGTTGCCATGTAGAGGCTGAGATAGACCACGCTCGATGGGTTGTCTCTACTTCAATCACGCGTATTAAACTACGAGTGTGACAGACACGGTCTACCGTTATCAATTCTTGCCTTACTTTCGTGGTCAAGAAACTGATGTGAGTGTGGTTGATGGTTTGCTAAGTTGTAGTCATGGACGGACAAGCTCTTGGGGCGACACGACAACGAATACGAGAACGAGAACGAGAACGACCTGCCTTCTGTCAGAAAACAATGCAACGCCATGATTACCCCATCTATCATCCCCTTTTCAATTCTCTTATATTATTGTTCATGATAGAGCTCTAACTAGAGAGACTTGACACAATCAGCGCAAGAGCCAGACCTATTCTCTCCGTACGGCTCATTGCAACTTTGAGCCAGCATCTAGCTTATACCTCATCTCGGCTCCTGTCGGAGAGCCAAAAGCCACTCTAAGAATTGGTGTCTGCATACTGGTGCTGTTTTTTTGCGGCAAACCTACAATGTTCAATCTGTTGGAGACAGAGCAAAACAAAACTGCATAGGCAACCCAAGTCTAAAAAGCTAGCAGAAGTGCAAACTTGTCTTTCAATGACGCTACGGCAACAACGAGTGGACCGAACTAAGCCATAAAACGAGTATAATGACCATAGCGAAAGAGACTACTCAGCGTTCCACAACGGCCCCAAGCCAGTCTCAAACTACAACAGGTGCTCCTGGTCGCAGTCTCCTCCAGATATCTATTGTGATGTCATGTCTTTGCGCCGGAACATTCGTGGCTGCATTAGATGCCACTATCGTCACTACCTCTTTGCCTTCTATTGCTGGCCATTTCCACTCAGCTTCCGGCTACACTTGGATTGGCAGTGCTTACATACTGGCCAACACCGCCTCCATTCCCTTGTGGGGGAAACTGTCCGACATATGGGGAAGGAAACCGCTTCTGCTTTGCGGAAATGCAATCTTCTTTGCAGGCAGTTTGATCTGCTCTGTGGCCAACACAATGGCGTTGTTTCTGTTTGGCCGTGTTATGCAAGGCCTGGGTGCGGCAGCGCTGATGACATTGGTCAATATTTGTGTCTGCGACTTATTCTCTCTCAGAGATCGTGGCCTATATTTTGGTCTGCTGTCCGTAGACTGGGCTTTAGCTAGCGGAATTGGTCCTATATTGGGCGGCGTGCTATCGGAGAAGGCAACGTAAGTACTACTACTACTCGAAGGTCTTGACTGAGTTCCTGACACACTAACCAATTGGCACTCAACAGCTGGAGATGGTGCTTCTGGATCAATTGTATGGCATTCTCTGCTTATCTGTCAACAATGTAATAATATCCGACTGATCGCTAACTGATCAATACTGCTACTCTAGTACCAATCACAGGACTTGCATTCCTATTGCTCTGGTTAGCCCTCAAACTCGACAACCCACACACACCAATCTGGGACGGTCTCAAGGCCGTCGACTGGATCGGCTCATTATTCGTAATTGGCAGCAGCATCATGCTACTCCTCGCCCTAGACTTCGGCGGCGTCACTCACCCCTGGGACTCAGCAACGGTCATCTGCCTAATCATCTTCAGCATCGTAGTTCTGGGTTTATTCGCCCTGAACGAGTGGAAACTCGCCAAATACCCCGTAATACCACTAACCCTCTTTCAGCACCGATCCGGCATCGCCGCATTCGTCGTCTGCTTCTGCCACGGATTCATCTTCATGGGCGAGGCATACTACCTACCGCTGTACTTCCAAGCTGTCCTCGGCGCCAGCCCAATCATGTCCGGGGTCTATCTATTAGCCTTCGTCATCGCCTGCACATTCTCGGGGGCCTTTACGGGCCTCTTCATCCAGAAAACAGGCCAATATCTTCCCCCGATGTGGCTCGGCCTTGGCCTGTTAACCCTCGGAGTGGGACTCCTCATCAACCTAGAAGCAACAGCCAACTGGGGCAAGATCATCGGATTCCAAATCATCTCAGGTACAGGCATAGGCATGAACTTCGAAGGGCCACTGCTCGCTCTGCAGGCGATTGTTGGTGTCGCGAACACCGCTACAGCCACCGCTACAATCGGGTTCGTGCGGACTATGTCGACAGCGATCTCGGTGGTTATCGGGGGAGTCGTGTTCCAGAACCAGATGGTGAAGGAGGGCGCCAAGCTCGTGCAATCCCTGGGTGGTGAGCTGGCTGGTCAGTTTGGAGGTGCGAATGTCACGGCCAATATACAGCTGATTCTGACACTTCCCTCGGATCAGAGGGAGGTGGTCCGGCAGGCGGTGTTTGCCTCCTTGCGGACTACATGGATTATGGTTCGTTTCTCTCTTCTACATGGGTAATGCTTGCTGACTGTGTCGTTAGTATGTTGCTTTTGCGGGAGTCAGTCTTGTTGCTGGGTTCTTTGTTGGCGCTCATCATCTGTCGGAGGAACATGAGATGGCGGTTTTGGGGCTGCACGGTCAGAGTGGTGACTCCTCGGAGGATACTACTAACAATACTCCAGCTACTCGGACCATGGAGATGCATTAATTCTAGCTATGACTTGACATGAGCGGTTCAAACCGAGTCCACCCAAGCAGAAAGGTATAACCGTCAATGTCCCATCAAGCAATGAAGCCAAAGGATACAGGATACAACAATGTAAAGACATCATCACCCCACAACCAACAAACGAATCAAATCAAATTAACTCGCACTCTACAACTCAACAGACCAACCCTAGAAAGAGAAACACACAACCCCAATTCTAAACCCCATACATACCCATATCCCGCGAGCAACCCACGCCACCTCTTCCAAACCAACCCCAACCCCAACCCCAACAAACCACAATCTAGACCCTAAACTCAATCAAAATACAAAACCACACTACCAAAGCCCCCAACATAACTAACAAAAATACTCAAACCCCCCACGCAATCCAACACACCACACCAAAGGAAAATAAGTAAAACAATGAAAACACAAGCCATACAAGATTCGCCACTGGGTAAGATGCGGCTCCTTTGGCCTAGTGGTTATGGCGTGGCTCTTATGTGGTAACTCCGTTTTCTCGGACTCCGCATGCCGACTAGCTGAAGTCGAGGGTTCGACTCCCTCAAGGAGCATGTCTTTTTTTTCTTTCCTTTTTCTCTTTCTCTTCGGGGCCCATAGCGACATATACATACTGTACATACACCCTGGAATGGCATGGAGGGTGGGGGGTTTTGTGTTGGTAATGAATGATATGTGGAAGTTAAGAGTTCTGCAAAGTATTTGGGTCTTGGTTGTTGCTTGGGTTGTCTTGGTCTTCATTGGTGAGGTTCTAGGTCGGATGAGTGGCTAATAATAGTATGGACATACATTGTTGATAATGCTTGTACATATGCTTGTCTGGAGGATGTATATCTAGTTGCGTGTATCGACATGCCATCTAAAACAAGTCTCCTGTGCGGAGTAAATATACATACATAGCTACAATCTAACTTCGGATATCTCCAGTGGGTTCTCCAGTCCTTTCATTCTACTCTGTACATCCTCTAATATCTCAACCCAACCGTATACCCACCAGAACCAGAACCTATGGATGTTCAAACTAACCATGCATGTACTAAAAACATCAAAAAAGGCCTGGAAATCCAGAATACCCTTCTACTCGGACTTGCGGGGGAAGTAAATCATTGACATATCGAGATCAATGACGCTAGATGTCATGTCAGGCAAGTCCCAGTAGAGCAGCCTAGAATATACGAGCAGAGCATCCGGATCTTGGATTCTACTTCACTAGTTGTACCTTCAAAGATACAAAAGCTTACTATACTTGTTGACTATGGTTGAGCCTATCCAGTGTAGTTAGTTTATTATTGAAGGTGCATGTACGGAGTACTACTGTAGTATGAACTGTGGCTGCCATTTTTCGGTAACGGGACATGCATTCTTGACATGAATCAATGTACTCCGCTGTACGGAGTAAAATACTGTTGGTATGCTGACTCGTGTAGGTCTGCTTTACAGGACAAGGCCAAGTATGTGGATCATCATGCTTTCTCGGGTTTCTTTCTCTTTTTATTGGATTTGAATTTTGTTTGTGGTATCTGAATGTACCGATATCTAGCAAAATATTTATAGGGATATGGGAATCCTGATTTCAGAATGAATCTGTATTAGACAATATTATGGTATAGTAGTAGCGACCGTAGATGACACATCGTGTCTATGCTGAAATCCAATCCAAACATGAACCCCAAACATTCCATTCCATATATGCTCCGCTCAATTGCAACGGGTATCAGTTCCTTCACGTTCAATTTCACCCGATATGTAAAAACCCGAGCCAATTCGCTACTGGTCGTAGCATCACCAATGGAAAGCAAAGAAAAGTAATGCTCTAAAAAGAAAAGAAAAAAAAAGGGACAAAGAAAAGAAAACGATTGCCCGCTGCGCATATTTTCCGGATCCCAAACAAGCGATGCCACGGAAACGCAGAAAAGAAGTCAAACATGTCACAACCCAGTTGGTATCTGAAGATTCATGTCAAAAGAAAAGAAAAACCAAAACCCTAGTCTAAGCGAGAGAAAGAAGTAAAATCACCATCCGGAAAACAACCAGTACCTCTATGGTCATAACGTGGGAATAAAGAGACATCATTGCGAATTCCCGTTGCCCTTGTGCCGTGTCCAGCCGATCCATGATAAAATGAAAAGCGATAAATAAAAAGGGGTATCAATTCTCCGGTTGTCACGGAGACATAAAAGAAGAGAAGTCACGAAATTTGAAGTTGTTGTACAAGGGGTAAACCCATTCCGAAAGAAAAGAAGGTTGCGCAGCGCAGTCCGTTGAGTATCTCGATCCAAAACTCTTCGTTGCTTTGCGCAAGGACCAGGCTCAAGGGAAGGGTAGTAGAAAGAAGGTCGTGCAAGGATGAGACTTATTCCTCATCCTCACCCGATGCGCCTTCCTTCTCGCCCTTGTGAACCTTCTTGTGCCGGCGAAGGTTGGAAACAACGGAAAAGTGTCGACCACAGCCCTCTACATCACAGGCGAAAGCTATAACCCAAATCATTAGTATCGCTTGCGTACCATACCGGATTTTCCCAAGAACTTACGTTTTTCACCAGTGTGACTGTACATGTGGGTCTGCAAAGAGGATGGGCGGGTGAAGCGCTTGTCGCACACCTTGCACTTGTGCTTCTTCTGAGTGTTGGAGGGCATTTTCGAACTGAACTGGCTCATCATGGACTGGGGTCCCGGGGGAGCGCTACCAGTCAGGAGGTTCGATGGACGAGGAAGAGTCCGCGACAGGTGTCCGTTCTCGTAGGACTCGGAAGTCGTGGAGCTGTAGTCGGTCACAGAAGACTCGACGGATGCGACTGAAGCGCTGTAGTATGGGTAGCTGCCACCGGACGAGATGGAAGAACCAGAGGAGTGTGTAGAAGGAAATCCATAAGAATCTGCAGAGCCCCGGGTGTTGCGAGCGTAAATGTTACGGGGAGTCAAGTCCTGACTGAGCGCAACCATTCCGCGACTGGCGTCGAGAGCGTCACCGTAGGTAGGAGCCGAAGAGGGTTGTGATTGGCTGGCACGGGGATCACTGTAAATGAGAAAGGTGTAAGCGCACAATTCCAAATTTCAAGACGCGCGAAAGTCTTGTGGCTGGGAAGGGGCTCTTACGCATGAGATATCCGACGACTATCCGGGTGGTGCAGAGATGGGGCATAGCTGAGAGGCGCATAGCTGGGCGGCGCGAAACTGCTCATGGACGAAGCAGTCGTGTAGGCAGGAGCCTGTTCGAAAGACGTGCGAGGCAGATCATGGTGCAGACCCATCACTTCCGGTGCTGGGTAGCTGGTGGCAGGTGTAGTGGAATAAGTGCTGCTGGTGACCATCGAGGGCGCGGAGACGGGAATGCTCGAGTAGGGCATGGAGAGAGGGGACGGGCGGCTCACTTCCTCCTGCTTGGGGTGGTTCAGGATTGGGTTGGATGCCATGGATGTCGCGTAGACAGGAGGTGTCGAATGCGACGTAGTGTGGGCAGCGGTCCACGGGTCAGTGAACTGCGGCGTGTTGTGGTGTGGCATATTATGTTGGTAAACATTGTCAAAGCCCATACCGCCGTATTGGCGGTTCTGGTTTTCAATAACCATAGTCATGGAGGATAGTCTTGTCACGGAGATAATTTCTCAGCTTGTTTTGCTGTTGCGCGATTGGTGTTGCTGTGGAGGAACCGATATCCCCTCAGCAATTCAAACCAACGTAGGTGATAAGGACGATCAAGGGCACGACGATCGAAGCCAAGTAGAACAGAAGGAGAAGCGTGTGTGTGTATGATTGACAGGTACGGGTGAGGGGCACGATATGGAAGAGGAAGAAAGGGGAGTAGGAAGGGTGAAGATCAATTGAGACTGATCAGCGCAAAGGTAGAGAGAAGGAGGAAGGGAGTCGATGGTAGAAGTAGAAGTAAATAATGATAATCTTTCGCAGGAGGGAGCCAGGAACAAATAGATCCAGAGACAGAGTAAAAGAAAGGCCCTGAAACCCGACAGACAGGAAGAATGAAAGACAGTCTGGGGAAGGGCCCGAAGGGGATCGGCGAAGCTTATGAGCAAATACAGGATCGCAGCATGAGTGATGGAGCGCAGGGACGAAAGGAAGCCCTGTCGTTGCCGTGTTGGTGATGGGCTTTAGTGCCACTGACGACGTCCCGTCGGAGACGGTTGCAGATCGTTACTCTGGGCCGCTTAGGCTTCGAAACGGCGCCAGTGTTAAAAAAAAAATTATTTTTTTTATAATGATAATAATAATAAATATCATTTTTTATTTCTTTTTTTTTAATTCAAAAAAACGAGGAATTAATATTAATTGCTTTTTTAGTCCCAAAGTCAGTGTGGGTTTTTCTCAATCTCCAAATAGGAACCAGTTCCTCGGGTGACCCTCAAGGTTTCGATGGGTCTTTTTTGGCTTTCCTTGGTTTTGGATTTTGTGGTTTTGAATTTTTCTTTTCTTTTTCTCTCTTATTTTTTTTTTTTTTTTTTTTTTTTTTTTGTTTAATTTTTTTTTTTTTTTTTTTTTTTTTAGTTTTGTCGTACGTACCACCCGGAGAGACACGTTTTTAATTTTTCCTCTGACTTTTATTTTTTTCCCTCTGGGTGAGAGAGAGGGGAAATGGTTATCTTACTATCTAAGAATTTGCTTATTTTATTTTATTTTTTATTCATGAAATAGTATTTTCTACACATCTCCAATCCTCACACCCACTCTCTCTATAATCTCGAATTATAGGAAAGAACTCATTTCCCTCATCTCTCCAAAAAAGTCTAACACCCTAATTTCACGGGAAATTAAAACCCAAAAACCCAATTGCTTATTTTCTATTTTTACCCATGGGCAAATTTCCATCGTCTTCAACATGAACAACATAATCCTCGTTGTAATAGCGTTTAATCATTAAGATAATCTTAAAGAGAAAGAGGGCAAAAAAAGAAAAAAAAGATTAGGCTTGAGAATTATACGACACTTGTTTCAAAAGTAAGATCCATGACAAATCGAGATAAATTAACCAACCCCAAGACTCCCACTTAATCTGAGTAAAAAGCAGGGGAGAGGGATAGGGGAAACATCTGAAACTCCGGCATCGGAAAAGTAGTAGAATCATTCTTATTCTTTCCTTTTTCGATTGAAATCTATAGGTTGTGCTGTGCGTAAGCTGCAATAATATCACGACTCTAGTCCTATCTAATAAAAGGTGTCGGTGATATTTGGTTAGCCATGCAGGATGGAGCCAAAAGGAAAGAGAATCAAAAAAATAAATAAAATATGATGAATTAAAAAAAAAAAAAAAAAAAAAAAAAAAAAAAAAAAAAAAAAAAAAAAAAAAAAAAAAAAAAAAAAAAAAAGAAAAAAAGGAGGGAATCGATGTGGGTTTTCCGCAGAGACAGTGAAGTAAAAGGCATATGGAGTCGTAAAAGCGCTGGCTAAAACTACGGATGCCCTCTCAGGAGGCAGAGAAGTATGGAGTCCGACAACACGCGTACGTACACCGTATGTCACATAGTACTTCCGTGTGTCTTGTCGTCTGTGCAGTGTGTGGTGTGTGAGGAAGTGTGTGCGCGAATAGTCATCAGGGGCGGTGGGCTAAACACAAGAGATGTTGACGACTAGCACGACTAGGGAAGAAAGCTCCCTCACAGCCCAATGTTGAATGTTTAGTGTAA